TGCTGCGCAGCTTGAGGGACTCGGTGACGTCAGCGCGCGCAACAAAGTCCGCGCGGTCCGCGTCGGCGCCGAGGCTTCCTTGCGGCAGGGGTGCGGCCTGGCCTTCCGGCCGCGGCGCCGACGGCGTGGCGACGTGCGGGACTCCGGGCGCGCGGGGCGGGGGAGGGGCGGGGAGGCGGTCCCGGAGGACGCCGCCGGAGCCGTGGGAGCCCAGCGGCCTGCCTACCCTCGCGGTGGCGGGCGCCAATGGCCGCGCTCTGCACCGAGCTGCACCGCTATCGCGGCCATGCCTCCGGCGGGACCCCGCGGTGCCCCGCGGCCGAGCGCGGCCGGCCACCCGTCTGGGCAGCGTCTGCCGCCAAGGCCCCGCCGCGCCGCCGCGCCGCCGCGCCGCCGCGCCCCACCGGGCTGCACCACGCCACGCGCCGCCAGGCCTAGCCTGCCCGCCACTCGGAGCCATTCAAACGGAAAGGGCGTCGCGGGCAGATAAGCTCGGCGCGACGGCGCTGCACTGCACCGCGTGGCCGCGACATGGCGACCGAGTGACTGACTGTCTCACTTTCTGCGCCTCATGCACCACCGCGTCGCGCCCCGCGGCCCGGCCCGGGTCGCCAGGTGTCCCTACACTGGGGGCAGTGGCCGCCGTGGCCGCCGCGGGTCCCGCCCTCGGCCTCATCAAGCGAGCCTTGCCCGCCGTCCGCGTGTCCGCTCATTGCGGCCACAGGAGGCCGGGGCGCGCGCCGCCCAGAGGCGTTATCGTCCGTGGAACCCGCCCGCGGTCCGGCCGCCTCCATCGACGCCCTGGCGGCGGACGGCGGGCGGACGGACACCACCGCCAGGCCGGCCGGCCAGTGAAATTGCACCCATCATGTTCGTTTTGAGCCGCAATCATATTATTCCGCTGCCGATCCCCGGCGGCCTGCCCGCGGCCGAGCCAGATTGCAGGGCGAACTTTGCCCCTGCTCCCCCCCCCCCCCCTTTTCCGTCGCATCGCAAGGCTGGGCAAGGCATGCGCCCGCGGGGTCGACCAACCCAACCCGACCCGACCGTTCGCCGCCTTGGCACTGACTGCCTAACCAGAGAGGCCTCACACCTACACCGTCCACACCGCCGGGAACGACGGCCAGCGGCCACCTCATCTACAGTAGTGCGAGTTGCACACCTGTGGCTGTCCCGCCCCGCGCCACTGGTGGGCTTCGCTTGCTCTCCTCGCTCTGCTGATCCGACCAGCGGGCACACTGGTTCCGAGAGTGGTTTTCGCGGGTTTTCGGTTGCTCTGTCTCTCTCGCGCCTACACGGAACGCTGAGAACGAGGGAGGCAGAGCGACGAAAACGGGATCAGTCTGCGCACTTCCAAAGCGATCAAGAAGCCCCGCCACGCCGAGAGCGACGGCAGGACGGCCAGGACATTGTCAGAGCCGGTGCGAGCCGGCACAGGGCTGCCCGGTCCGAACAACAGCCGCGGCAGCAACGAGGAGGAAAAAGAAAAGAAAGACTGGACAGACGGAGGCACGCGGCGATAAGACGTCGAGGCCCGACCACGTGGTGCGCCGTGTGCCGCGCCAATCCAGCAGTGGATCCGTCGCTCTCTCTCTCTCTCTCGCACTCGTGGGGTCTCCCGTAGGGGTGCGAGAGAGGCAGCGGCGCGCGACGCCGTTAGAAACCAGGCCGCCAGGCCTGCAGCGCCCACAATGCACTGCGGCGACGCCGGTGGGTGACGCTCCCGTTGCACCACGCCGCGTCGGAGTCCAGCATTCGGACTTCCCTTTCACGCCAAACGCACGCGTCCCGCGGCCCGCGGACCGCGTGGGCTGCGCGCGCCGCCAACCTTTCCACAACCCCGGAGGGCCACACCGAAACTTACCCCTCCCCTTTCCCCGCGCAGCTGCAGCTCCGACACGGCCACAAACACGCCAGCTTTTCCACGCCCTTCCCCCGGGGGTCTCCGCAAACGCCGAAACGCCGCAAACGCGGATGCCGACGAGTGGCCCGGCAAATTGAGCCCCAGCCCCGGCATCGCCATCGCAGCGGAGCCAAGCGCAGCCTGACGCAGCGGTATTAGTTGTTGGCCGCAGGCACACACCGCCCTCAAACACGAGGGAGACGCAGGGCCAGACGCAGTGGGGCCGGGTCCGGCGGGGCCGCCCGCCAACCCCGGCGTAGCCTAGCGAAGCCCATCGCAGGCTGATTCCGAGAGTCGTTTTCATCGCTCTACTACCTCGCACTCATAAGGGGGCCCCCTATAGGTGCGATAGAGACAGAGAACCGAAACGACTCTCGGAATCAGTCTGCTGCCCCGCCTTCCTCACCCTGGCCGAGTGTCCCCGGTGGTCCCCGGTCCGGTCCCGGCCAGACCCATCTGATAGCGAGCAATCCAAACGGATATCGTTTGTTCTGTCTCCCTCTATCTCTCTCGCACCGCTACGGAACGCTACGGAGCGGCCCGGGAGTGCGACAGAGACAGCCGGACGAAACGATCCGTCGGCCGGGCTGGCTTGGTTATCGACGGCCACCCGGTCAGGTGCTGGGCCACTGTGATTGCCGTGAGCACCGCGAGTGCCGTGGCGGCCACTGTATCACTGCATGCGGCGGGGCGGGGGGGGGGGGGGGGGGGGGGGCAGAGGTGCGATCGGCACGCTGCCCCAAATCGGCCCGCGAGGCGCAGAGCGACGTCGCTTGCCGAAGGCCTTGCCGGCCTTGCAAGGCGTTGGCTGGAGTAGCTCACAGAACCGCATGTAGAGTGTGTAGAGCCCTTCGCGCCACACCCCGTTCTCCCCGGTCATTCCCCGACGCCGCAGCGCGCCGTGTTGTTTCTGTTCCGCGGCAGGCGCGGCGTTGAAAGGCGTGGGCGGTAGGGGGCAGTAATTACAAAAGTCCAGACGAGACAATAATGACACGTTTCAAAACAATAGGCGACCTAACCAACATTTCAACAAGGAGACTTCGGCCGGCTTTCGATAAGCCCCCCTGTTGACACAGTGGCCGTGTTGCACAAGACAATAACGCGAAACGGATGAAAACACACGAGAGGGTCTCTAAGCCCCCCCCCCTTTTCCCACCAATCTGCCTCCCCCTCCGAACGCACGTGGTGTGGATTCGACCCGCGAGGCGCAAAAGTGAAGCCTCTGGCGGCCACTGTCGGAACTGCGTCGAGGGTTTTAAGCAACAAAAAGTTACAGGATGTTTAGTAGGAAGAGTCAAATAGCATAAAGGCCTCGTGAAGCACGACCTGGACCTGATGGTGAACACAGTGACAAAAGTAGTAATGGGAGGGATATGGAGCAGGCTTGTGATCCAGAAGGGTTGCCTGTTTCCAATGTGATTTGTGACATTGACAATTCTGTCGTGTGTGAACTCGGTTGTCCTGAGGCGGCTGATGTGAGCACCAGCGCATCTGATAGTGCTTCTTCATCTATTGGGGCGGCCATAGCAGCCGCAGCGGCCGCAGAGGCCACGGCCCGCGACGTCAACCCCGCGACCTCAGCGACCGCCACCCCCGCGTGGCAAAGTCCTTCCCTGCCGGAGCTACCCACGCCGCCCACGCGCCGAGTGCTGACGGTGCCGCCAAGCGGGCCCGTCTCGTTTCTACTTCGGCCAAAGACTATTTGTATATTTCGCGACTAAAAAAGTGGACGGCAGATAACGCGGAGACGGCGTCGCGGTACGATAAGCGGACCAGAGCGCCACAGCCACAGCGGCAGTGGCTTTCCCTCCGCCGGGCAGGGCCGGGCCGGGGCGCCGCGGCTCCACTGCGAGTCCACTCCGCGGTGTGATAATACTTGACGCACATCGCATCGCGCACCCGCGCTTGGAGTTCGACTCATCCCGGCTATCTTGACGCCGATCCGTCGATCCGCGTCCGCCGCGTGCGCTTGGAGTGCGTATCGATGACCCCCTGGCTGGCGCCCTGCGCCCCGCGCAGTTCTATAAATTGCCGCGCCGAATCCGCGACGCAGGACGCAGCGCCGCAAGGCCTGGCGGCATGACGCTGCAAGGGTCGTGCAGGAAGCCGGCGGCCACGACCACGACCGCCACCGCCGCCAAGGGGCTTCCTCGGCCCGCTCAGCAAGTGCACCAGCGTCGCGTCGAACCTCGCACTCACCTCCACCTGGATGTACCACAGCGCGAACATGGCGGCCGCGGAGCCGCGGACCAGCGACACGGCCTCGGCGACCACGGTTGTCGCGCCAAAAACACAGACGCCTCCTCGGTTCGCCTCGCTCGCTTCTCGCGTCTCGTCGCGTCTCGGCAGCCGTCCGCGTCTCGTGAGCCCGAGCCGTACCGCGACACTGGCGTGTACCGCGACACCGCGGGGCCTGGCTTGGCTTGGCTTGGCCGCGCTAAGCTATCGCCATCCCAATGTCAGGCCGCATAATCGGCGGGATGGACGCGGAGCGCGGAGCGCGGACGGATATGCGGCAGCGGACGGCGTCGTCATCGCCTCGTAATCCGTGGCTCGCCGTCCGCCGCGGCGCCGCGGCCGAGCCGTCAGTGACCGGCCGGGCCTGTCGCCGGGACGTCCTCGTCGACGTCCTCGTGCTCGTCCTGCCCGCCATGTGGCCCGCTAATTGGATCCGGCGCGGCTCGGGGCTCGGATCGGGGCTTCCGCGGACTCTTGACACTGTGGTGCCGGCCGGGCCTAGGCCGGGCCGGCCAGGGCGGGGAAGGGCAGGGGTGCGTCCGAACCGACAAATTAACAGCGTCCCAGCATCCGCGACTCTCCCTGCGTTCGTTCGGACGCGTCCCACACATCCACGCTACACTGCATCCGTGATGTGAGTGCGAGCCGCGCCGAGTCGCGGGGTAGCGCAGAGGTGCCCCGCGATACCCCGCGCGACAGAGACCCTAGCGAGCAAACGCAGCAGACGCCACGCGCCAAAGAAAATGTTGTCGCAGGCGGCAGTGCCGGATGGTGGTATCGATCGTTTGCTGGCCCCAAAATCTTACTTCTGACGTGCGATCCCGAAGGTGCACGACCAATCAGGGAAAGTCATACTCACAGTGGAGTGGCGCCAGTATTTGATGAGGTCATGGATGTTGGTGCTCGGAGCATACATTAAGTAATCACGCCACTCATCGAAGCTGATGTTGAGACTGCCATCTCTGTCCATCCTGAAAAATTGTTTCAACAAAATTATTACGACAAAAGGACAAAAAAAAGCAAACAGGCACATGCCAAAATGAATGGTGCCGTAGAATTCAGTTACGGTCTTCAGACAGGAAATATCTGCTGAATAAAAATTGTGTTTAAAAAATAAATTTATATTGTGAAAAAAAAAAAAAACTGAAAGGGATAGGTCCTATGTTTGGTAATCAAAAATATAAGAGGGTAGACTAGAAAATGAACTATAATCTTAGTAACGTTAGTACACATTCTAGGGGTATTTTAAATCAAAAACCACATGGAAAGGGGATCTACAGGTCACAGAATACTAACATACCTACACCCACCACCAAATGACAGGCCGGGACTCTCAAAGAACTAGTGGTGATACAGAAAAGACAAGAAAAAAAGAAGAAAACATGAGGGAAGAAAGTTAACTGAAAAGTTAAATGATTAAAGTTTGATTGGATTCCATAGAAATGTGATAAGTCACTTGCACTAATCCAAAAACTGTTTCTTAAATACACTGATCATTCAAGGATTACTGTATTTTGAACCCAGTACATCACAACCTATGATTAATATGAATAAATTTAAAAATAATGTCAAAATTCAAAAATTAAACTAAACAAAAGTCTATTTGAATCAAGATAAGCCAAACACATGACTAAGCAAGATGAGAAAAAATAACTTCAGATAACCAAAATTACACTTACCGCTGCAGGAGTTTAAGAGCCTCCCTGTGATCAATATCAACTCCGAGGTCCTTGAAAGCTCGAACAAGTTCATCTTGATCAATGCGTCCTGTGGTTGTTAAAGATAACATTAAGAAGACTTGCAACTAAAAATTAATTAAGAGAAGAAATATTTAATGAGCAACAACAACCCACCATCTTTATTTTTGTCAATGTGACTAAACGACAACCGCAAATGCTTCTCATGTTCTCGGACATACTCAATAAATTCGGATAAGCAGACGTCACCGCTTTTGTTGGCATCGGAGTGTTCAATGAATTTCTGCAAAAAAATAAAGACTCATTAATGAAATGATAAAATCCAACAAACTAATAAAAATGGCAAACAGAAAAATTTGTGACTAGGTTAAGAAAAGAATAATCTTTAGAAAGGACCAGGAAGGACTTAGTTAACAATCAATGGCAAAAGGGGTCTATTATGTAAAATCATTAAGGGGTGTTGAAAACACGTTAATCCCGTACAGCAAACACGTCATGTAAATGCCAATTACGTCGAATCTGGTGAGTGAACTATTTCCCCTCCAACTCCCAACTGTCATGCTAGCTTGCTAGGTCGTAAACGGCGACCTTAACCTCAATAACACAAGGCCCACTTACCTTGGCATAGGTGTGGTGCACGCCCGAGTCTTTGAGCGCGTTGGACAGCTCCTGGATGTCAATCCTGCCGTTGCCATCTCTATCTAATTGCTTGAACAGTTCTTCAAGACGTACTTCATCCGCATGGGACAGACCAACTCCATGTCCTGGATCGTGAGGAGGACCTTCAGTTCCACCCATTGTCAGTATGAAAATAGAATTTCCAACGGTTGACAGCTAAAGTTTCCTAAGTCGAAACCACTACGAGACACTACGAAAGTAGCACCAAGTCATGTAAAAAAGCTAAATTTTAAGGCAGGGCAGCACGGCACGTCAACATGACGACAGCGCGCTGCAGCTACTGCCACTGCCGAGCTAGGCAACCCGCAAGGCAGAGGCGGGGATGGGACTGGGGCGCCAGGCAGCCAACCCACCGACAGAAAAGGTACCGGTACCGCCGCGACGCTCCGCCGGAAGTCCGCTTGGCGCGCGCGGCATTCGACCAAGAGTACCTCTCCGATTCGAAACAGGCGCAACCCTTGACGGCGGGCGGGCGGTCCCTCGTACGAGCGGCCGCTCGGGTGCGTGTCGCGGTGGCAGCCCTGGCGACGGCGGGCGGGTGCGGCTGCACGACAGGTTCCGCGAGACGGGTACCGCGAGGACCGCGAGGCGAGGCACCCGGGCCAAAGGTCCCGCCAGCGACGCGACGGGCTCGTCGAGTCCGGGGGACGCCAAGACCGGCGTCAAGGACTCGGGCACCCGAGTAGGGAAAGTCTGGGAGAGCCTCGAGGAGGCCCGGGGGAAGGGTCTCGAAGGGATGGCTGTGGCTAGGCAAGGCCTATCGATCCGGGCCCTGGGCGGCAACGGCAGGCAAAGGGGTGGCGGAGGGCCGCACGCGGAAATCCAGTGCGAGCGAGTACGAGCCGCGCGGATCAGCTGGAGCCAAACGGCCCCACCGCTGGAGCCAAACGGCTGGAGCTGCCTGCAGTGGGTGGAGCGAGGGGCGGCCGTGGCCAGGCTTCGGCCAGGCCTTGGAAGGACGGGGCGGGCAGCGCGGACAACCCCCTCCCCTCGGCGAGGAGCGCGCGGACCGCCGGGCTTCGAATGGAATGAATGGACTTCGGGACAACGCCCCCGCCGGACGGAGACGGACGATTAGATAAGGGGAAAACAGTTAATTCTGCAACAAGCGGTCCACGATCTCTGCTCACGTGGATGGAGGCGGGGGCTTCCAGAGAACGGCGCTGGAGGGCTGGAGGGTGCGATCGCGAGGTATAACTGGTCCTTTCGGCAGCTGCATTCAGTTTCCAAAGCAAAATCAAGGTGGATCAGCTCCTTGGGAACACGCCGCACACTCACCTCTCCCTGACAGACACAGGTCGCAGGTGCACCTGGAGAACACCTCGACGCGCACCGTGCTCGTGGACTTGGGGATCTCCATCTCCGACCCCGTCGAGCTGGTCGCGGCGCTGGTGGTACCGTGCCTCGCTGTTTGCAGCGAGGCTGCAGGCTGCAGGTGGACTCGAGGAGTGGGGCGCCAGGCCAGCCAGGCCAGGCCAGGCCGCGGGGGAGTCCTTGAGACCGGCGCGGGCGGCGCGTCTTCGGGCCGCTCGGCTGTTTGCCTCTGTTCGCCGTTCGACTGCGACCTGCGGAGGCAGCCTGATTTATTCGCTGCAACGAGAGCGAGAGGAAAGGCGGTGCGGTGCGGCCACTTCACTGTTGACATTCGCCGGCCGGGCAGTGAGTCCAACCGCCCGGCGCGTTACGCAAACACACCGCAAAGTCCGCTTCCGTCGCAGGAAGAAAAAGTGCGAGGCGCGTCGAAGGGATCATAAAAACCGTTGTTTTGTGATGACCGCCCCCCCCCCTTTTCCTCGCCGTAAACTCCGCGCTTAAATATAGGACGTCCTAAGGCCAGACATAGAGCAGGAGCAGATGCGATCTGGGAAGTCACTAGCGGTGATGGGACCCAGAACGTTCTCTACTCACGGGGATCAATCTCGCGGGAAGCTGAATTTCGACTTCTTTCCTTACCCCATATTTCTTAACTGAGGTTGTGACTCGCCACGAATTTATTGGCATTCGTGCCTTACAGGAACATGGATTCATTGAAAATTTTGGCTTCATCTCGTGAAATAAAAGCTATGCAGTTGGAGGTTATGGACGCTTGTGTACTGCTTTGCCTACCCAGCAGGCGCTATCGCCGGGTGTCTCTTCTTTAGGCAATTTCATGACGCAATTACTTGAAAATTATCTATGCGTGCTTCGATGCGCACAACTGCCTTCTAGGCATCTTAGCAACATAACGTTCAGCATAAACGCCATGCCTTACAAAGGGAGCATTTGAATGTTCCCGCTCATATGATCCCCAGTGAACTTCATTTGTCTCGATGTGCTCCTGCTCTATTCCTGAACTGCGCGGAGCGGGCGGGGCGGAGCTTCCCCTTGTTGCCGAAGACCCGCGGCATCCGTTTCTGCGAGTGGAGTGGACTCACCTTCTGACTTAGCGCCCACTTTTTCTTCAAATGAATATTGGGACAGTTTGAAAAAGCATCACTGCCAATATCGACCTTCGCCACACAGCAGCGGAATAACACTGGGCGCCAAGCGGAGTCGTGCCCCTCCCCTCCCCCTCCCCCTCCCTCAGGCCCTCATCGAGGCTCCGAGATTAGATTGCTCTTGCTCTTATTGCATTTGTGCGGTGAAGTGGTTTCTGTGTTGTTATTATTTGTTGGGACTATTACAGCGCGGGTCCATTGAGACTTAATGATATCGCGGGACGACGGTCAAATTTCAATTTTGCGTAGGAAGAGTGTTGTCGAGTGTTTTTCCTACGAGTTCTGGGCGGTTCCAAACGTTGCGGCGGAGAAAAACCTTTAATAAAGTAAATTTCATTCAGGAAAAAGTGAAAAGACATTATTGGAGCACATGAAATAATTTTTGCAGAAACTGTACAAAGAGGTAAAATTTATTTACAAATAAATTATTTGTACACATTGGCATGGCTGTCAAACCGGCCATGTATGTGGCGTCTTTCCCAGGCACCGGTCGGGGCAGGTCTCGAAGTCCCGAAGTCTCGGCTCGGCTCGGTCGCCGATTCCGCCGACGCGGTGCTCCGCGGCCACCCGCGACACCATTTCGAAAGCGCTGCGTGGGCGCGACGCGTCCGTTTCGGTTCGGGGTACACGTCAAGTCGGCGGCGAACAAAACAAGAGTATTTTCATGAGCTGTCCATTACTCTACGTCCACGTCAGAGTAAATCAGTCAGTCTTTTCCGAGGGCTAGCTCCCGAAAAGGGTGGTCTTCGCGGCCCGTCTTGGGGAGGGCTGCGGCGACCGCCGTCTCCTCCAGGAGCGGCTCTGGGTGCGGGGACCCGCGACCTGAGGCTCGGGGGTCGGCAGCGGCTCAGGGGTGGGCAGCGCTGTCGTCAGCAGCCTGGACAAGACGGGCCCCCTGTCGGCTCGCGGGGGTGGCGTGGTGGCGGGCACGGGGCGCGCGCGCGGCGTCGACGGCTTCGAGGGCACCGCGGTGGGGGTGGTCGCCTGTGGCGGCGCCTCCTCGTCGTGGGTCGAGTTCTGGAAGGGGTAGGCCGCCACCACGGGCTTGTACTTCTTGCGCAGCTTGCTCTCCGGCCTCGCTGGCCAGTACGGGTTGTGTGTGTGACCGGCCTCGAACCCTGACTCCTGGCCGTGGCCGTGGTCGCGGTGCGGCCGGGGGGTGGGCGCGGACAGGTACGGGTCGCGCGGCCACAGGGGCGACGTGGCGGTGCGGCGCGTTGTCGTCCGCTCCGTGGTGCCCGAGGAGGAAGTGGTGTCCCTCTTGGTGACGACGTGCTGATCGGCCTGCTGCCTGGCCTCCGCCATCATCTGCTCGAACTCGGACAAGGTGGGCACCGCGGTGCCGGGCACGACGTACGGCGAGGGCGGCAGCGTGCCGTCCGGGAAGGGCGTCAGGTACGTGGCGGGCCTCTTGCCCAGCCTCTTCTTGTGCTTCTTCAGGCCCACCTTCCACTTGTCGAACTCCTCCTGCCGCTGCCGCTCCAGCTCGCCGTTGGGGAGGTCGTCCACCACGCGGAACGCGGTGAGGGCCGGGTTGGGCGGGCCGTCCGCGGGGGTGGCGGCCGTCAGCACGACGTGGCTGGCGCGGTGGCGGTCCTGCGACTCCGCGGCCCGGCTGGACTGAGGTTCACTGCTGGCGGTCGGGCTTGCTGAGAGGGCCGGCACGGCGTCGTCAGATGCGGTTGGCAGCACGTAGGGCACGGCGTCGTCGGCAGGGCGACCCTGGTCCGCCACCAGCTGTGCTGCGATCTGCTGCGCCACGATGGCCTCCTGCGCGACGCGCTGCTGGTCCGCGATGGCCTGCTGGATGGCGGCGCGCTGCGCGGCCCGCTGCCGCGCGGCCTGCTCCTCCTGCTGGACGCGCTGCTGCTCCGCCTCGAGGAGGGCGGCGCGCTGCCGCGCCACGGCCGCGTCCTGTTCCGCGCGTCGCCGCGCCTCGACGGCTTCCTGCGCCGCCTTCTGCTGCGCGGCCAGGAGCTCGGCGGCGCGCTGCTGGGCGGCCACTTCCTGCCGCACGGCCTGCTCCTGGGCCTCGGCGGCCTGCTGCTCGGCGAGCTGCTGCGCCGCGCGGTACTCCGCTGCGCGCTGCTTCGCCTCGGCCTCCTCGCGTTCGGCTCGTTCCTGCGCCGCTAGAAGGTCTGCGGCTCGCTGCTGGGACTCGCGCGCCTCCTGGGCCGCCCTCTGCTGCGCCGCCAGCTCCTCGCGCGCCGCGCGCTCCTCCGCCGCCAGCAGCTCCATGGCCCGGGCGCGTGCCGCCACTGCTTGCTGGGCGGCGCGCTGCTCGGCCAACGCCGCCTCGTGAGCCGCCCACGCGCGGAACGCGTTCTCCGCCCTCAAGGCGGCCTCGGGGGACTCGGCGGCCCCGGGCACCCACGGCTGCGGGGAGTTGTCCGGCTGTGGGAAGTTGTCCGATTGGCGGTAGTGGCCTGGCTGGGGGTAGCTGTCCGGTTGAGGGTAGTGGCCTGGCTGAGGGTAGTGGTCCGGTTGAGGGTAGATGTCCGGCTGAGGGTAGCTGCCCGGCTGGGGGTAGCTGCCCGGCTGGGCGTTGTTGTTTGGCTGGGGGTAGTTGTCCGGCTGGTGGTAGTCCGGGGACGGCCTGAACAGCGGACCGTTGGGGGACTCAGCCCCCGACACCCACGGCTGAGGGTAGTTGCCCGGCTGGCGGTAGTCCGGGGACGGCCTGAACAGTGGACCGTCGGGGAGCTCGGCCGCGGCTCTGGCTCCTTGCTGTGCTATGGGAAGCGCTGCACCCGCGGCGGTTTGAGAAGCGGGGGATGGGGCGGCGACGCCCTGGGCGGGAGCCAGTTGCTCGGACGAGGACGCAGTGCCGCTGGAACCGGACACCACGGCTGGCGGGGATGCGGCGCTGACGCGCCCCGCGGGCTGCAAGGGCGCGGTGTTGACGTTGAGTGCAGGTTGGAAGGACAAGGCGTTGTCACGGACCACGGGCCGGAAGGGCTGAGGGTTGAGGTGGATCTCTGGCTTGAAGGACAGGACGTTGTTGCGGATCACAGGCTGCACAGTTGGACCGTTGACGCGGATCTTTGGCTGCAACGACACGACCGTGTTGTGCACCACGGGCGGCAAGGGCTGGGGATTGACGTGGACCACTGGCTGCACAAGCTGGGCGTTGGTAGAGCCCGCGGTCTGCACAGGGTTGGCGTTGACGTGGACTTGAGGCTGCACAGGCTGGATGTTGGTAGAGCCCGCAGTCTGCACAGGGTTGGCGTTGCCGTGGACTTGAGGCTGCACAGACTGGATGTTGGAAGAGCCCGCGGTCTGCACAGGGTTGGCGTCGAAGTGGACTTGAGACTGCTCAACCAAGGTGCTGTCTGTTGGCAAGGCCTGAGGTGGCTGGCCTCCAGCAGACACAGACGAAGGTGGCATCTGTTGAAAGAAGACAATTTAGTGAACACGAACAAAAATGCGCGAACAGCCTCGAGACGGTGCCTTGTGCTTACCTCGTTGTTGACGCTGCCCTTGCTCTCGAAGGAGGCCAGGGTGGTGGTCGGCATGGGCGGTGCCAGGGCCTCGACGTTCTCGTCCGGACGCGATGCGGGCGTGGTGATGACGCTCTCGTCGATCACGCTCTTCTCCAGCTGCTCCACGGTCTGGACGTCCACAGGCTTGGAGGGTGGCGTGAGGGCGCCGTCCGCGCCCTTGTCTGACGCGTTGTCGGCAGGCGCAGCCCCGGAGTCAACGGCGGGGTCCTTGGCGGCGGCGGTGCCCTCGGTCACGACTGAGTCCTTGTCCTTAGAGTCCACGGGGACGATGGAGTCCTTCGCAGCGTCTGTGTTCTTGGCAACGACGGCGTCCTTGTCCTTGGAGTCCGCGTTAACCACGGCGTCCTTGTCCAAAGTGTCCTTCTGAGAGTCCTCCTTGTCTGTCGCGTCCTTCTGCGAGGACCCCGCGTCCTCTGTGGCGTTGCCCTTGCCGGGCTTGTCGTCCTCGGGCGTGGCGGCCCGGGCGGCCGCGGGCATGGCGAGCGGGTCGCCGCCCGCTTTCAGGTTGATCCGGATCGGCGGTATGTTTTGCCTCCTAGAGGCAGAAATGATATGTTAGCTGCAAGTTTAATCACAAATCCAGGAAAGAACAGCGATCCCGGGTCCCGGACACCGACCTGCGCTCCCGCTCGTCCTTGTAGGCCTTCCTGATGGCCTCCAGCCGCTCTTTTCTCCTCCTCCTCCTCTCGGCGGGGTCGGCTATGACGGTGGTCTCCTTGAGGGCCTCCTTCTTCTTGAGCTCGCGGTACAGCTTGCTGGCCACGGACAGGCTGCGCCCGTCGCGGTCCGCCATGTCGATGCCCCTGCAAGCCGTCAACGCCAACGTCAGCACCTCCAGCACTCCGCGCGTCAGCGCGGCGAAGTGGGTCAACGGCGGCAAGGGGGAGTGAGCGCTTTCCAGTGAACGCGACGTCGCGAACTTACAAGTCTCCGTTGGTCACCAGCTGCATGAACTCGGGGTCGATGTCGTCGGTCAGGGCGTTGGGCTGGCCCAGAGGCTGGCCCAGAGGCTCGCCGAGGGGCTGGCCCTCTCTCAGGGCGTCGTCACTGCGGACACGGAGAGGAAGGCGCGTTAGGAAATGGGCGGAGAGCAGCGGGGGAAGTTCCTTCGGAGCGCCTGCGGGATAGGCAGTAGGCAGCGCGACGACAGCGGTGTCCCGCGGGCCTGCCTACCCGGCACGGCGCTCTGCCGCGCCACTGCAGTGCAACGGCATGGTGGGGCGGCACTTACCCGAGGCAAACCGCGGCGACGGCGACGAGCAGGAGCAGGGCGGTGTTGGCCATCCTGTGGCGTCGCGCCTCGGGCTGCGGCTGCGGCTTGGCGTGCGGCAGGGGCGGCGGGGGCGGCCGCCGAGGGCAGGCCGGTGATGCACGGCGGTGCGGGGGATGGCCGTCGTGCGACGCGGGAGCAACCACCACCTGAACGAGAAGACGCTCAATTACAACTGGACTGCCCGACTGCCGCGGTGGGCGCCCTGCTCGCCCTGCCAGTCCGACTGGCGGGCCGCGGCGTGACGGCGCGTTCGCGTAGCAGTGTAGGGGTGCTTGCGACACCGCGGGCCGCGCGGCACGGCACGGCTCGCACAGGTCGCACGCGGAAACGCGGAGCTGAATTCTCTCCCAAAGGCACACCAGTGTGACCAGGATTGGTCCGTTACGTCGAAAAAATATATATCCGCTCGAACAATGTAGTTGCCTAATAATCACATCCCAATTTCAACCTCAATTTTGGCAACCCGCGAAATTATTGAAAATGAAAACCGGAAACAGAGTTTGGGAGAACTAAAAGCAATCAGAGACAATTTGCCCGGATCCGTGTCCCCGTGCCCCTCCACGGTGTGACCTGGTATCTGCGTGCGCAACTGAAAACAGTCCCGCAGCCCCAAAACCGTCGACAAGAACGCCTCCTCAGCGTAATCCACGCGGCGGCTTGGCCCGGCCCGGCCCGCCCAGTTCGGCACTCGAGTCAAGTGCCAAGTCGAGCAGATTTGCATGGCATCGGCAATTGAGCGCGCCGTCGCTACCCCACGCCGCGGCGGTCCGTCTCGCGAGGGGTCTCGCCGGCCGCGCGCCGAAGAGGCTGTAGTGGCTGTACTCACGTAGACTTTGTAGTGGCGCCCGGCGGCGAACAGGGCCTGCTGGAACACGAGGGATGACATGATGGCGGCAGGGTGCTTGTCGGGTTTCGGTCTGGAGGCGCCTGGGGCCTGCTCCTGTGGAAGAAAGAAAAGGGAAGGCCTTAGAAATTTTTTGGGCACGAATACACTTGACAGTGACTAAAAATCTCTAAAAACAGAAATTTTTCATTTTTTTTTCAAACTTTAGTTCTCTTTGAGCGAACGCGACGTCCCCACACAGCTCCCCCAACGCCTACTCCACTAGAAAGTCAAGGTGCGCCTGGGGAAGCAGCGAGTGGTCGAGGCGGCCTGCACTTACACGAGCAGGCTCCGCAGTCCTCGCAGCAGGCCGCGGGGAAGATGGCGGCGCTGGGACTCAGGTCGTAGCGGCCTTCCCTCCGACGCGGCACGACCCTCCACCACTTCCTGGCGGCCGAGAGGAACCTCGCGGCCCTGGTGCGCGGCGTGGAGCACTCGGGGCACCGGAACACGTCGAGCTGCGGCGACGGCGCGGTCTCGGGGGACATGCGGGTCGCGGCGCTGGTCATGGACATGGAGGGCGAGGGGCGGATGAGAGGAAGCGGCGCTGCCGCGGGCGAGAGACGCTATGGCGCTCCCAGGCCGACGCGGACCTATAAAAGTGGATTCGGCTCCGCCGTGCTCCGTCGTGCTCCGCCATGCTGGGCGACGCGGCGACGTGTCACGTGGCTGCAGGCAAGCCGCACTCGGAAAAATGAGTAAGCCGACCAATGGCGGCGGGGTGGAGACACGCATGTCTGTCGTGAGCCCCCGCCCCCCGCCGCCTGCAAGAGGAGACTCGCTCCGTCGCTCTGTCTCTCTCGCACCTGTACGGAACGCCTCGTGAGTGCGAGAGAGGCAGGGCGACGAATACGACTCTCGGAGTCAGTCCGCAGGCCGCACTTGCCGCCCCCCGCCACCCCGCGCCTGACTCACGCACGCACTCGCGAGAATCGGCGGCGGCTGCGAGAGCGACAAGGACGGGCTTCTAGGGGTGCGGACGGCGCCGCCCGCGCCACTAGAAGACTCGGACGCCTCCCCCCTCCCCCCTTCCCGCTGTCGGCGCTCTCGGCCGGCGAATTGTCACGTACCGAGCCGTGCGCCATGCGTCGGCATAGCCCCGCCTCCAGACCTACACGCACGCGACGCGGCACGCCGCTCGCACCGCGTGACTGCACGCGTGACGCGCGGGCCTCGGTGCGGTGCGCCGCTTGTCTCTCTCGCACTCACGGGGTGTCCCGTAGGGGTGCGAGAGGGACAGAGCGACTGCCCGGGATCGGGACGTGTGCAGTGCTGCAAGTGGTGCGCTCGCGGCGTCCTCCTCGCTCCCGCTCGGCCGCCGCGGCGGTGCGACGGAGACGGAGACACCTGTTGATCGCGTGCAGCGGCGCGGCGTGCAGAGTCACGCGGTCCGCGTCGAGGTAAATAGCGGCGCCCCGCCCTGCTTGACTAGGGTCAGTGCGTTGTGGTGGTCGCGGGCCGTCGGGCAGGTCGGACGGCCGCCGGGGCGGTCTCGGGAAGATGGCGGCGGGGACGTGTTGACTTTCCTTCCGAAACTGATTCCGCTGGCAGCGCAGCGACCGAGGCAGCGACGCACTCGCGCAAACGCTGACCTGGGTCGAGTGTCGCGTTGCCGAGCCGAAAACGGCGACGCACTTTCCGCGCATACCTCTCCCCGCGCTCCAACAGCCGGAACTACTAAAGGAAGCCAGACGGAGCGCTTTGACCAAAGCTAGTTTGGGAGCCACACGGCCACGGAAAGTTGCTCTAAAATTACTCCAAAAACTTTAACTTTGTTTAAAGTTGTTCTCGACGCCATTAAAAGCACACCTCCAATGTTGTGTTTTGAACACTTCAAGGTGCCCACGACACTGTCCACTCCGTGCCCGCTCCACCCCGCCCCTCGCCCCCCTCTGCGCCATATGCGTCATTTCCTCCCCGAAAGCCAACTCCATACAATTCCCCGATTTTTCTCCAGTTCCGCCGAGACGCGCCCCCCGCGGCCCCGCCGCGATGCCCGCGCTGCCCACTCAGCGCCACCGCACTGTAAACAGGCCGGGGTAGCGGCACGGTGGCGGCGATACTCCGTACTGCGACTCACCGCCCGTTAGTCATTTGAGTGGCCGTGATGCAGGGCCGCGCCAGGGCCGCGCAGTGCAGGGCCTGCACTGTCTGCTGACTCCGCCGCAGGGCGCGTCTTGCCTCTCTCTCGCACTCAGGTGCGTGCCGTAGCGGCGCGAGAGAGACAGGCGAGACGGGGCGACGAAACCCGAAACGCTCTGCGGAATCAGCCCGTCGCAGTGAGTCACCGCGATTTCGGACGCTTTCTGCAACGGCGGGGGAATGACCGTGGCATGCCCGCCATTCCTCTCGTCTGACTGCGATTCGCTGCGATTGCGATGTTTCCCGCGCTTATCTTCTGTACACGTAACTCTTTCGTGCCCAGATGAGAGAGGAATGCAGAACCCCGAATTTGGATGTGGGTCGGCCAAAGTCACCCCACGAGAGTCATCGAGGCGAACGGGTTGCGCAGAGTTCCGAGTGCAATGCCTCCAGAGGCAATGCAATGCACCTGCTGTGCCTGCCTCCAGAGGCAATGCAATGCACCTGCTGTGCCTGCTTCCAGAGGCAATGCAATGCACCTGCTGTGCCTGCTTCCAGAGGCAATGCAATGCACCTGCTGTGCCTGCTTCCAGAGGCAATGCAATGCACCTGCTGTGCCTGCTTCCAGCGCCGCAAAGGCGTAAGCATGTTGACGAGGCCAGGCTGCGAAAACTTGTTTACCTGAATCTTTGGCGTAAATAAAGTGAATGGCCGAAATGTGACTGGAACGATGTAATAAACAGCTTGACCCTGACCAGTGAATGTCGTTCGCAAGGGCGCGCGGCCACATTCATCGACAAGTACCATTGCCTCTAGGTGTTTACCAAACCATTGTTTCCTTCCAAAAAAAAATTGTGTTTTATCGTGTGTTCCACTTTGTGTGCTTTTCAGAAAAAGAGTAGTAATGTTCAAAAATTCGAGAAGACTTTGCCGACAAAATAAAACATTTTATTATAAATAAATAACGAAAACAAACACTTAGTAAGCAAAAACTAGTAATAACGCTGGAAAATACATAAATATTGTTCGTACATTTTCTGCCAAAGCATATCAGTCCCGCGAAAATAAAAATCTCTCACTCCAATTTTGTACTAATATTGTACGGATCGCCTTTGCGGAAACATCATTGGGCGCTCCCTCTACGGCTGCCCCCCGGTAAGCCTGGTGAGCCGGTTGCCCAGGTAGCCGATGACGCCGACCACCTTGCCGAGGAGGGAGGACATGATCCCGGACATGACGCCGTCCTCGCGCAGCACCTGGATGCCGCTCCTGTCGTCCTGGCCCTGGTCGCGCTGCCGCTGTCGCGCCTGCTTCTTCTTGCGCATGCGCTCCGTCTCGGCGCTCCAGTCCAGGTCGTTGATGTCGTCGGGGTGCTGCACCTGCAACAGCCAACGGGGAGGGGGCGCGTCACAATCCGCGCACCGCGGACGCCGCGGACGCAAACAAGACGGGGCCGCAATTACCGCTTAGGCCGTCCGGCCCGCACCGCCACCGCGGCCCAGGAGCCGGGGCAGGAATTCGAGGAGGTTGGACTTCTTGGGCGGCTTGGCGTCTGCGGCCGTGGCCGCGGTCGTGGCCGCGGTCGTGGCCTCGGCGGGCCCCGGCTGCGCGATGTTGAACAGGGCGAGCAGGCGGTCCACGTCCGCGCTGTCGATGTGCTTGGCGGCGCCGCCAACTTCCTCGACCATGCTATTGGCGTCCGAGGCGGCGGTGGCGGCGGTGGCGGGGCGGTGCTCGCCGACGTCGGTCATTACCTTATTGCCGCCGTAGAACAGGCTTCGGGCGAGCCGCCGGCGGGGGAGGCCGTCGTCGTGCTCCGAGGCCGCGGGGGTCGCGGGCAGGGCGCGCCTGACGCGGTGGGAGGGCAGCTCCCACTCGGCTCGGATGGGCGCCGCGGCAGCGCGGGCAGGCTGCCGGCTGTCCCGGGGGCTGCTGCCTTCGCCGCGGCGACGTCCGCTCCTCCATGCCGGGCGACGCCAGCGACGCGAACTGCAGCGAGGGCGCGGCGGCCGAGCGCACCACGTCGGGCTTGTACCGCAGGATGTCCTTGTTGTAGTCCAGGAGCTGGTCGCCCGGAGACGTGAGCGACGCCTCCTGGACGTTCAGGCGCCTCAAGGGTGCTGGTTGTTGGACAGCTGGCAGGCCCCACTGCTGTTCGGCGGGCGCCGCCTGCGCTGCCTGGCTCCAGGAGTTGGAGGCCTGCGCGGGCTGGTTCCAGAGGCTGCCGCCCGGAGCAGGCTCGCTCCAGGCGTCATCGGTCTGCACCCAGGGATCAGCAGCAGAAGCAGGCCGGTTCCACGGCGCAGGTCCTGCAGCGGGCTGGCCCCAGCCGGGCGCCGCTTGGTCGGGTTGGCTCCACAGGTTGTCGGCGGCAGCGGGCTGCGCCCAGGGGTCCCGGGCGCGCGCGGGCTGTTTCTTCACGGGCCGCGTCTGCTGCACAGGCTGCACCGGCTCCACGGGCTGGAAGAACTTGGCCAGGTAGGCAAGGGCCTGAGGGACTTCTCTCTGCGGTTTCTGCTGCGGGGCTGACTGGCGGCGGGGCGCGGCCGCGGCCGCGTAGCTTGGCCTTGGAGCCTGCTGGGGTGCGGGCAGGTACTCCGGCGCTTCCTCGACGGCGACGCTGAGTTGCGGCTGGTACTGGGGCCGAGGGGACGGCTGGTAGCTTGGCTTTGGAGCCTGCTGGGGCGCGGGCAGGTACTCTGGCGCTTCCTCGACGGCGACGCTGAGTTGCGGCTGGTACTGGCGAGGGGACGGCTGGTAGCTTGCTTGGAGCCTGCTGGGGCGCGGCAGGTACTCTGGCGCTTCCTGACGGCGACCGTTTCGGCTGGTACGGAGGCGGGGGCGCTGGCCGCTGGCGCGGCAGGACCCGGCGCTCTCGGCGCGAGGCGGCTGGTGACGCCGCGGCAGGCGCGCCTCGTCCTGCCTGAGAGCCGCTCAACAGGCCTCGCAGGCACCACTGTCGGCGTTTCTGCTGGAACGGCGGCGGCTTCCCTCCAGGGCGCGACCTCGACGCGGTGTGTCTGAGACGCGGTGGACCAGCTGCCTCGGGGAGGCACAACCTCGATGTCGGCGTCCTGCTGCAGGCTGGGCCGTGATGGCTCCCGGATGGTCGTGTAGGCCGTATGGGTGGCCGGGATGGTTTGCTGCCAGCTGCTTGGTGGAGCTGCGACCTCGACCTCGGAGTCCTGTTGGACACTGGGACGCGAAGCCACCCTGGTGGCCGAGTAGGCCGTGCGGATGGCGGGGGCTGGCTGTGGCTGCGGCGCGGGCCTGGCTGGAACGGGGGCCGCGTACTCAGGCTCGTAGGCGTCTGGCGAGCGTGCCGGTGCGGCCGGGGCTGCGGGGCGCGTCCAGGCGGCTGGGATTGGGTGGCGGTCGACGGGGGCCTGCTTCGCCTGCGTCACCTGCTTGCGGCTCGGGGTGCTGGAGTAGCTGGCCGCGGCGGAGGACTGCTGCCTTGACTGCGTGGTCGCCCCACCACTGGAGAAGGTGTACCAGCCTCCCGGCGAGTAGTCGTCTGCAGTGAAGCCCACCACGTGGCTCTTGGGGCCGTGTGGCTCCCTGAAGGGGAACTCGGGCAGGGGGCCGATGTCGCCCTCCGCCTCGGGGGGCACCATGGGCTGATGCGCTGAGGCGTCCTGGCGGTCTTCGACCCGTGTCTGCCATTGGGGTGCGTCTTGCTGGGGCTGTTCTTGCTCGCCAGACTGCTCTTCGGACTGCTCTTGGTGTTGTCCTGCAGACGCTTTTCGGTAGACGTCCTTGGTGATGTGGGTAGCCACCCCGTGGTGGTGATGGTGGAGGCCGTGGTGGTGGTGCGGGGTGGTCTGCTCCAGAGAGGCGTAGCTCGCGCTGCTAGCCTCCTCGGCGTCGTCACCGGCCGAGCCAGAGCTGTAGCCGGCGTCCTCCTCCGCGTCAGGCACACCCCAGGATTCCGTCGCCGGGGTCTCGTAGGTGCGCTCCGTCTTGAAGATCTCGGTGGTCTTCAACTCGCCGGGGGCGTACTCCGTGGCGGACTCGTCATCCGCGGGCGTCTCGGCGACCTCGGGCGTCGCCACTTCGTACGACGTCTCCTCGACTTGAGGCGCTTTTCGAACGACTGGACGAGTAGACACCCACTGCTGCTGCAGCGGCGAGAGGGGGCTGCCCGCCCAGAGCGTGCCCAGGTTGTCGTGCGGCCGGTAGGTCTGGTGCTGGCGGCGGCGCAGCTGGTTGCCGGCGGGCCTCTGCTCCTCCTCGCTGCTCTCGTCCACCCTGCGCACCTCCTTCTCCTGCTCCTCGGCGTCCTCCTCCTCGGCGGGCAGGTAGCGCACCACGTTGGTCTTCTTGAGGACCTCGCGGTGCACGTTCTTGTGCACGTTCTTGTGCGCGTGCTGCGGCGTGTGGCCGTACTTGTAGCGGGCGGCGGGCGTGCCGTCGAAGCGTTGCAGGGTGCGGTGGTAGTGCGGCAGCGCGGCGGGCACCACCTTGTGCCAGGCGTGGCCGGCGTGCGCCAGGGCGTCGTGGCCGTCGTGGCGGCCGAAGGAGTCCAGGTACTCGCACGCGGCGTCGGAACGCTTCACGCGCTCCCTCCGCGGCGGAAACCGCTCCTGCAGTTGCTCTCGCGCCTTCGCGATGCGATCACGCTCGGCCTGTTCCCGCTGCTGCCGCTGCTGTTCCATCTGCTCCCTGGCCCTGGACAGGCGCTCCCTGTCGGGCTGTTCCCGCTGCTGTCCCCGCTGCTGGCGCTGCTGCTCCAACTGCTCCCTGGCCCTGGACAGGCGCTCCCTGTCGGGCTGCTCTCTGGGTCTCACGCCGCTGGGCGACTGCTCTCTCATCTTCTCCGCGCGTTCTCGCCGCTCGCTGGCACGCTGCTCCAGCTCCTTGAGCAAGTCCCGGGTCCTCCTCGCGTCCTCGCCGCTGCCGGTCCTGGATGGCGGTGCTGGCGGCCTGGGCGGGCGGAGACGCGTTTCCCGCGGCTTGCCAGTGGCGCCGGAGGGCAGGCTGAGCCTGGTCACCGCCTGCCGCTTGCGCCGCAACTTCTGCTGGGGGTCCACCTCTTCCTCCTCGCCCGGGCCAGACGGTGCGGACGGCGCGGGCGGCGCGACAGCCTCCTCGGCGCCACGGTCCTGCTTCAGTGCCATCTTCTTCTCGCGGAGGTACTTCTTGCCCAGCTCGATGAGCACGTCCGTGTTCAGCTCCTGCTGGTCCTCGTCGGCCGGTGGCTGCTGGTCCTGTGCTGCGTCCGCTTCGCTCTGGTACAGGCGGGTCATGTCCTCCTCGACGCGCGCGCGGTTCTCCCTCTGCGGCACCGGCATCACGACGAACTCCTCGAGGTGAGGCTCGAAGGGCGACGGCGTGCTCGGCTGCGCCACCTCCATGGCCGGCACGATCATGTCCATCTCGCCGAGCTCGCCGTCGGAGGGTGCCCTGTTGGTGGCGACGGGGGCGGCACCCTGCTGCCTCGGGCTGGACACGAACTCCCCGGGCGCGAAGTAGTACTGGTCCGTGGGCTCGGGGACCTCCTGTCGTGTAGCTTGCGGCGCGGCAGCCTCGGCCGGGCCATGCTCCTCGTCCTCGTCGTCCTCGATGTAGTCGAGGCCGTCGTCCCTGGACGTGTCGGAGGACTCCGCGTCCTCGTCCGACTCGCCGAGCTCCGCGAGCACCTCGCCCGTGGGGAAGCTGTCCTGCTTGTCGTCCTCCACTTCCACGGACGCGTCCTCGGCGCTGACGCCGCGCGTTGGGTCCACCAGGGAGGCGACCACCGCGCCCGTCCTGGGCAGGGGCTTGAAGCGCGGCGCCGGCGCGGCAGGCCGCTTGGGGAGGCCGTGGCGGGGCGGGGCGGGCACCAAGGGCGCGCGCTTGGGCAGGCTGGGCAGCTTGAAGGGCTTGTGCGGCAGTCTGTGCGCGGCCTTGGGTGGGGCGTCCTCCTTGTCGTCGGGGCGGTACATGTGCGCGGCGGGGATGGTGGAGGGGTGGTCGTCGGGCACCTCGTCCTGGGCCTGCATAGCGTGCTGGGGCGCGTGCTGGGGCGCGTGCGACAGCATGTGCTTCCGCCTGGCGGCCTGCGCGGCCTGGGCCTTCTCCAGGCGCTCCATGAAGTCCTCGGGCGTGGCGGGCCCACGGGCTGGGTGGTGGGGCGGCGGGCTGGCGCGCTTGGACCGTGGCGTAGACTCCGTGGCGTCCGCCGGTTCGGCGACCTGCTCCAGATCCGTGACCGTCGCCCAGGCCAGCGGCCTGCCGTTGGATGAGTGCATCTCGCTGCGGTGGCTGTTTTTAAGGGCGTCGTCCTTGGAAACGACCTTGGCGTTCTCCGTGGCCAGCTTGTCCTTGGCCTTGCTCTTGGAGGCCGCCCCCAGCCCTTCCACGTGGAACTGCACGTGCACGTCCTCGGTGGTGGGTCGCAGCTGCAGCGGCACCGCGGTGGCCTCGGCCTCCACGGCACTGGGCGGGGCGGTGACGCAGACGCGCGCCTGCGCTCCGGGGAACACGAAGAAGGCCACCGAGTGGGCGGGCACCTCCAGCGTCACGTCGCGGTCGGCGCGGCGCACGCGCGGGGTAAGCCCCGGGAGCACGCCGCCGTTGTCCATCGCCAACAGGTGATCGTTCAGCAGCGCGGACCTGGGTTGGTAACAACAAAAATAACAAGTGAAGCCCCGAGACTGGCGGAGATAGTGATTGTAATCTTTCAGTGAGCTGAGTTGTTTACTGGTTGTGACAGATATAATTAACACCGAGGAATATTTTCTGATGACGAACGGGCCATGACTCATGACGCTTACCTGGAGCCCAGGTCGTGGCCGGGGGCGGTGAGCACGTACTCGTGGACGATGGCCTGGCGGATGCCGGCCGCGGGGCTGAACTTGATGGCGACCTTGGCGTCCTTCGCGGTGGGGTTGACGGCCATGAGGGTGACGTCGCCGCGCTCGTAGCTCAGCTTGGTGAAGCTGCCGTGGAGGCGGGCGTTGAGGGCGTCCGTGGGCGCCGCCGCGGCGGTGCACTGCGCGGTGACGGTGGCGGCGGACTTGTCGCCGGCCACCTTGGAGTCCAGCACGGCGCGGCCGCACAGGCGGCGGTACAGCAGCGACACCCAGTAGTCGGGCGTGGGCTGGTGGTCGTCGCCGAGCGTCTGCCACTGGCGGAGGATGACGTCAGCGCCGACGCGGGCCGCCACCTGCACGCGCTGCGCCCATTCGAGGGCGCCGGAGAAGGTCCTGGATGTCGTGGACTCCCCGGACTCGGCTGAAACAGGTGGCAGATAGCCGTTGCAGACAGACTGGGACAAAGGTGCTTCTCGACAATCTCGCCCTCGTCAACATCGCCAGCTCGTCAGCCTGGAGCGTAGGCAACCCGGCTGCCGCCGTGCGTTACGGGACTGCCTATCCCGCGCACCGCAGGCGCTCCCGGCCGCAGCCCGTCCCGGGTACCGCATCTCCCATTCTCCTGAATACTGCCGCGCCCGCCGACTGAATCTCAAATCTGGCGAAGCTGACGTCAATTCAGATTGACCGCTCTGCCTGCGCTCCCCGCGCCACCGCGCCACCGCGGGGACGTGGACAACGCCCAGCAGACAGTCTCTTGCCGCCGCCTGGCCGCGGACGTCCAGTGTAGCAGCAGTGGCTTGCTGCCGCGCGCCTCGCGGGGGCGGAACACGACGGAAACAGGGGCGTGATTGAAACATCGGCGACAGGCTCCGAATGATCGATACTTCTGAGAGGATCCACCTGGCGACCGACATCCGGTTTGGAGGCCGCAGGTTTTCACGATTCCGAGTAAAGATCGCTATCGCAATGCGCAAGTTATCGTGCCGAGCGGGCCGCGGCACAAGTGTGCTGCAGGGCAAGCGCGTGGCCGCGTGGCCCGTGACGTCGACGCCGACGTCCATCTGTATGACGGCGAGGCAGAGCGCGGAGCGCAGCGTCCCGACGCTTCCCGCCGACCTCCGTCGCGTCCTTTATCCTCGCGCAGCAATCTGGCGGTGGCGGTGGAGGGGGCGGGGAGGGAACTGCCCGCCGTGGCGCGGGCTGGCGGGGCCTGGCGGGGCGGACGTGGTGGTCGCCGTCGTCGCGGCGGGCGTCAAACCCAAAGTGGCTGATAAGTGCGACATCGGCGCTAGGCCGCGTTCCGCGCTCCGCTCCGCGCCTCCACGCCTCCACGCCAGGCCGGCCAGACGGCCTCACTTACCGATCCACAGCGGACGCCGGGCGGCGGCGCGGCCCAGTAGACGGTTCACATCCTCGCGGACTAGGTCGAGGTCGCTGACGGGGTCCCTGCCCTCGGAAGAGTCGGCCCACCTGCGGACGTACAAACACACTCACAGCAAGTAAGGCAACGCGTGACAAGGCGACCTAGTGACAGCAGGTGCATTAGATTACGATTCGGTGCGATAACTCGTTTTGATTCGGCGGCGAATAGTGGCGCCGTTCAGTGGCCACCGCCTGGCCCTAGTGGTCCTGGCGGAGGCGGTCCGGTCGGTCCGACCAGGTCTGTTAGTGGGCGGCGAAGGGCAAGGCTGGAGCCTGGCAATCAGTTCTATTTTCCCTTTCATTCTCGAAGCCTCAGCCGAGCGCTTCTAGATCCTTCCAGCAAGGCAACTTATCTTGGGATTTAGATTTAGATTTGACCTCTGACACAAATGGGAAGAGCCTCCGTGCTGCCGGTACATCGGGTCACTGTTTCTCCAGCCAGCCGGTGCTGCATCAGGGAGTGAAACCATTTCAAGCAGGTGAAGTAAAATTTCCGATTACCCGCACCAAAAAAAAAGTCAGAGTGCTGTCATGCATTGGATCAGCTCAGTGTCATTTTTTATTCAAGCGCGCCACCGGTTGAAGGACCTGATAATGCGCGACGGCCCACTATTGCCATGGCCCCCGTGGACTGGGTCGGGCCGGGCCTCGGTCCGTCAAGTGGGTAGACAGGTGCACCGACTCGCAGACTCGGCGCGTGCAGGGTGTTTGTTTTCGGGGCGGGCACGCGCCATATGCACGATGCGCGAAGGTGAATTCTGGGAAGAGTAGGTCGCGACGCGGGAATAGCGACTCACGTTCGCGGGGGTGTTATCAGCGCACTGCCCGGCCTGTCCGGCCTGCCTGAACGGTCTGCACGACCTGCACGCGCGGCCCGAAGCCGGCCAAGTGGTTCGCGAAATCCCTGACAGCCCAAAAGACAAGGAAGTACAAATGCAGTATGTCTTGTTCGTGTCTTTCGTGTGTCTTTCTGTCATTTTAATGTCGTACCGGACATTTTCCTTGTCCAGCCCTTGTCCATATTTTGCCATTGTACTTTGTGTGTCCCTTTCGTGTCTTTGTCGACGTCTTTATTTTGTCCATAAGTGCCCTGTCCCAATATTGCCCTTAGGAACTTGTCCTGAAAATGTTCTCCCCTTGTCTTCCTTGTCCTTACTGTGTCTTAGCTTGTCATTCGAGAAAATGTTCCTGCGGAGTCCTCAGATTGTCATAGGAAAGTTGTCTTAAATATGTCCCCCCTTGTCTCCCTCGTCCTAACTGTGTCCAAGCTTGTCATTCGAGAAAATGTTCCTGCGGAGTCCTCAGATTGTCATAGGAAAGTTGTCTTAAATATGTCCCCCCTTGTCTCCCTCGTCCTAACTGTGTCCAAGCTTGTCATTCGAGAAAATGTCCCTGCGATGTCCGGAGATTGTCCTCGCAAGCAGTTGTCTTTAAATTGATTTCTTCTTGCCCGCTGTGTCTTTATTTGTCCAGGCTTGTCCTTTGGCTTTATCTTGCCCAGGCTTGTCCTTGGATGCAATGTCTTAGAAGTGTCTCCAGATTGTCTCCAAAAACTTGTCACTCTTGTGTCATACGAGTCCCTTGAGTAATGTCTTTGCAGTGTCATTGGGTTGTCCTCAAGAGGTTGTACCCGAAATGTCCTCCCATTGCGTATTCCATCATGTGTTATCCTTGAAGGAAATGTCTTCATAGTGTCCCTTGTCCTAATAATGTTCCCCGGGCGGTAGGAACGCAAGACTCAACACATGTGTTGTTACTCATTTGAAACCCAGCATGTGTTTAGTATCACGTCCTCAACTCCCAACATTCTTGGGGTACTTTGAAGACATTTCCTTCAAGGACAATCCTGGGACACAAAAAAGACACGGTCCTAGCATCTCTAGAGGAGTTACTTTCGCACTCCGACTAGCTGTCGTTGCACAGAGCAATGGGTACAGCCTCTGCCTTCCAACCTCGAGTTCGTGGTTCAAATCCCCAATGTCGATACATTTTTTTTGTCTGAAGGACAAAGAAAAGTAAAGGACAAGAAAAGGACAAAGACATAATTGGGGCAATATGTCCTGTCATTTTGTTTCAAACTAGGGACATTGTCCATTGTCCTATGAATGTCTAAATAGGGGTTGTCCTGAGCTTGTCTTTTGGGCTGTCAGGGAACGCCGCGCAGCGCCGCCGGGGGTGGGCGTCGAACCCGGGCCGGCCTAGGCCTAATGTACTTACGGCTGCCAGACGATGGCGTCGGGCGAGGAGGCGCGGGTCTCGTCCTGCAGGAAGTGCGCGGCGTCCCTGGCGAAGCGGCTGGCGGCGAGGGCCGCGGCTACGTCTGGCCCCAGCAGCAGGGCGTCCTGGTAGCGGGGGAACTCGGCCAGCAGCGAGTGCGCCGCCGAGAGGTCCGCGCCGAGCCGCCACCCGCTCACGCCGGCCAGGTCCAGCGCGCCGGCCTCTGCAACACACAGTGTGTCACACACGGCCACACGGCCTCGGGGCTCAGACGAGGGGCTACGCGCCACTCGCGGCCGCTCCAGTCGCCGCTCTACTCACCGTAGCCCAGCTGCAGGCCGACGGGGAGGCCGTGGTGGTCGGCCACGGCGAGGAGCCGCCTGGCCTCGGTGGCGTCCCAGTTGTCGTCGTCGTCCCTGGCCAGCGCGTTGAGCGCCACCACCAGGTCCCAGCCCACGGCGCGCGTCCACTCCGCCACCGCCAGCAGGTCGGCCTCTGCGAAAGGAACACGGGGGTCACGGGGAAGCCAGCCGCAATGCCCTGTGGGATCACCCCTCATCGCCCACCCTCCAAAAAGACTCCTGATTGTGCAGTGGTGGATTCGCGCCCCCTCCCCTGTACAGTCCAAAGTAGGTTACGAGAGGCACGGTCGCTTAGCGCCTCTACTCCGCGTTCCGCCGTGCTTCGCCTTGATAAGGGATTGTTGAGTCATCCCCCTGGTCAGTTCGTTTCCGAGAAGCGCGTCTGATAAAGCCGTTTTGGATAGATAAAGGCTGCAACTGACGGTTGTCGATTGTCTGTCTACCCTGCGCGTTGGGCGGAGCAGTTGCCTCCACACGTCGAATCGCGGTTGCTTTCGTCCAGGCTGAGTCGTCACTGACCACTGAGAGAGTCCTCTCGGGGAAGAGAAGGACAGACAGGGCGCAAGGGCGTGGCAAAGGGCCTAAAGTAGGGTGCGAATGCAGAGGTGTGCTATGACGGGTTGCTGACCTGTGACGGTGCCGTTGCCGGACTTCGCGCTGCCCGTGGTGAAGCTGAGCGTGTCGCTGGACGGCCCGGCCAGTCGCAGGACGGCCGGCGCCAAGCCTTTGGCCATGGCCTGCGTGCGGACGACGCCCGGCCTGGAAGCGAAGCGAACAAGATTATTTTCCGACCCAAAAGGAATATTTGCCATTAATTTCACTTTGCATGGTAACCGGTAACGTACCCGAGTTTCCGGTGCTCCGAGAGCTCCATGGGGTCCATCGTGAGGCCGATGAAGCGTTCGCCCACCAGGGCGGCCATTTTCTTGGGGTTCACGGACACGGCCAGCAGTGGCGTGGGGGCGGGTGGTGCGGGGGTGGTGGCCGCGGCGTGCGCGGCGGTGGTGGCCATCAAGGCCGCGAGGGCCGCGGCCCAGAGCAGGGCCATCACGTGGTCGGCCAGCCTGGCCAGCCTAGCCTGCGCGCTGGGGAGGAGCGGGAACGCCGGTCAGTCATGAGGAAGTGGGCTGGTCTGCCACGAAGCCTCCCTCCCTCGCGAGCAACGTCCACCATTTTGCGAGAATCCGCAGCAGTTGCACTTACCTGCACGTTGGGCTATCCTTGGCGTGTTGCCAGCCTGCGGGAAGTGACTCTCGCGGTGTCCAGGTTCAGGGTGCCGTCGGTCGGGGAGAGCGGCGCGCAGGGTTGACGCGGAAGGCGGGCGGCTTGGACAATACCGTCGTCGTGTCGGAGGCGACGAGGCGACGCCCTGGAGCGGAGCGAGCGACTGCCCTCCCCCTCCCTTCCCTTCTCGGCGTTTCGCAAGGGCCGGCCGGCACCCGTTGGCGCCGATTGGCCCCCGAGGCCCCCGTCGACGCCCCCTGGCCGGGCCCTGGCCGGGCCACTCGCTGACCGCAGCATGCTTCGCGCTTCGGCCAGCACCTCGCGGCCACCGGTCGGGCCCCAGGCAGCCAGGCACGCAGACAGGGGGCACGCAACTCAGCAGCCGAGTCAGGCCAAGTGTCAAAACGCAGCGGGTCGCATTTCCCTCTGCAGCTCGTCGCGTCCCACTCCCAGACCCGCTTTCTAGCGCTGTGGGAACAATGCTCTGGCCAGCCGCCTGATTTCGAAGGATCGTTTCGTCGCTGTCTTCCCCGTGCCCCCACGGCAACGACCCATGAGTGCGAGAGAGACAGAGCGACGAAGCGCTCCTTCGGAGTCAGGCGGCTGGCGGCCCGCCGATGCTGGAGGGCTAGAGGGGCCGATGCGGGCCGGTTGAGTGAAAGCCTATTGGCTCTCGCTTCGCCCCACGCATTATCTAGTGATTGGGCCCATATCTAGTGCGACTAGGGAAAGGAATTGAGGAATGTTCTGGTTGCCTTCTTCCAGTGGCATGTCATAAGGGTTGCCTAGGAACCACCTTTTGACCGGAGGCGATCGCACTCATCCCCTCCCCTCCCCATCCCCGTTTATCTGACCGCCCTATCGTCACTCTGTCACTCTCGCTCCCTGTCCTCTCATCTGGAGTGTTAGCCCCAGGGACTGGCGGCCCGCGATGCGCCTCGCGCCCCTGCACTGCACTGGCTGCAGCACACGGCCCGTAATCTGTCCGTCGGCACTTCGCGACAGTGTACTACCGCACGTCAGCAGTCTGATCGTGGGTTCGTCGCCCTGTCCTTCTCGCACTCATGGGGTCTTCCCCTGGCGGTGCGAGAGAGAGAGAGAGAAACACAGTGCGATGGAGCTCTGTTCGGAGTCAGCCTACAGCAGCGCGCTTGGACTACAAAACGCTGAATACTGTTTGCGCGTGCGTTCCCCCTCGGTGAGAGGCGCTGGTTCGAACTGGGGCGATCCGGGGGGAATTGCATAGGATCGCGTTCGTTCAGGTGCGCAGCACACGCATGGATGCTTAAAGAAACTGCAAAGGCCTTAACCACAGTCGGTAGGACAATGACCAAATACCAAAACGAACGTGCTGTGCCAACCTCTTGAACCTCTTAAAAATGGAACTAGGGATGGTTTTCGTTGACCCCTTCATACCTGTCACGGTTCTGTTCGGGCTTTGCGACTGGGCATGTGTGCAGCACGCGGACTCTCTTTCCCTCTCACCGCCCAGGCAAGCGCGCCGTTTCAAATCGTCCGCCGCGGACGAACGAACAGGCCCGCCCACCAGGCTGCCACCACACACGGCACGGGCATTCCCCTTCCACGAATAAAAGTCAACCCTCATGTCACGCATCACAAAGATAAATGAACCTTTTTTGGACTCGGTCTCAATTCACGGCTGTATCTTCCCGCGGAATTCTTTCTTTGAGTGAATTATGCGTAGACATCTGGAGGGAAGGGACACGCAATGGGACACTGTGTGCGCGTGAGTTGGCCATTGAAAACAAAAGTCTTCTGCTGTTTTCTGCTGTTTTCTTGTTATTGACATTTGGCGAGACGACCATCTCGTTGTGTATTTAGCCCATTTAGACGTAAACATGGGTTTAGTCCTCATGTGAGGGACTTTTACTTGCATCACATCAAGTGTGGAAGGTGAATTTGATTGAATGTGACTCTGGGGTTATTCGATATGGATCGGTTGGAGATAACTTATCACTTCCTTATCTCTGCTGCTCCTCGACTTGCCAGTTGTCTTTCTGGTTTTTCGTTTTAATTGCAAGTACCGTTCCTGGCAGTGTTCAGTCACTTCATTGTGTCCAATTCGATCTACTCACTACGTCTGTATCGAGGGCTGTCAATGTCCAATTCGTCCATCCTGCGTTTCTCGATTTATTTTGAAGTATGCCAGGGTGATGCGCTGTCTGTCATAACCTCGCCCAGAACTGTGACATGCTTATATCCTTTACTCTTCATTCCGAGCATTTTTCTGAAAAATATTTCCAAACACTTTTAATTATTTCTTAGTTACTGCCATAATTTTGATGTAGTACCTGGGGCCAATTGATCTCAAAATTAGAAAATGCTGTCAACGTAATTGAAGTGGTCTACAAGAAATCAAGCTAGAATATTTTTTTCTATTATTTGTGTGTTATTGCATCTTTGAGTTAACTCTTTTCTTTGCACTTTTGTGTTGGCAGTGAGAATAACAATGAGTGGTGACAGTAGCGAGTTGCTGGATGATGGGGTGCAGGTGAAGACAGAAGGTGGATCAAACAGCAGCAAGGTTTGCAGCGTATGTGGAGATCTGGCTCTGGGATATAATTTTAATGCTCTTACTTGTGAGTCCTGCAAGGCATTTTTCCGCAGAAATGCTCTCAAAGCTAAGGTCAGTAAAACTCACTCTCCTTCAAAATAAATAATAACTTCGTGCTGGTCTGTTTTCTTTGATTTAAATGACATTTCTTTCTCTCTTTTGTTTTAGGAGTTTAAGTGTCCCTTTACAGAGAGCTGTGTTATGACAGCTATTACTCGAAGATTTTGTCAGAGATGCCGATTACAGAAATGTTTTGCAGTTGGTATGAGAAAGGAATACATTATGTCAGAAGAAGAAAGGCTCAACAAACGACAAAAAATTGAACAAAATAGAGCAAAAAAGAGAGCTGCATCATGTCCAGATGACGAGCCTAGTTTAAATACCACAAAGCGTAACCGACCTTCTCCCAAATCTTCTCACTCTAATTCTGAGTGGAACAGAAACTCAGGTTCATATACAATGTTAATAAAAATACAATTTTTCAACAAATCCTTTACAAATTGTTTGGTTGAACCTTAATTTTTTGTTTCTCTCTTCTCCTTGGTTTAGATTGGTCTTCAGGAACCCCTTCCAATAGCCAGAACAGTCCAAGTGCTTCCCTGCCTCACGAGAGGAGTCCCTCAAGAAGCGGTGATGCTCTTTCAGAGCGTTTGTTGGAGTCCCACCCTTCACCAACCACTGCTTCATCTGCGGGAAGTGTTCCAAGTCCGAACTCGCCACCAGACAGTGCAACCGTTGCTGCATCTCAGAACACAGAAATGGTTGCTATAAAAGATGTTGGTAGAATTAACAAACAGAGTATGATAAGTGTCATTACCTACCCACATCAAATAAGGTAATACCAATTACCGATTAGTCTTCCGTTGTCTTTGGAGAGGTTTTTGTTGCTGGAATTATGGTTATTTTTTAAATCTTGTTTCTGCCCACAGTCAATCCCCTGAGACTCATCATGTATCAAGAAGCAGTTCAAGTGTTCTGCCTGATTCAAAGATGTCTTCAGTGACAACATCTACACAAACTGATGAAATGCAAGAGAGTGCGAAAAGGCTTACAACTACTGCCACTCAAACTTCTGACAGCTCACAACCTGTCTCTCAACCTTCTCCCCTTCTGTCATCATTAATCTGCAGCCAGCGCTCGGATGAGTCCATCTCTCACCAAGAAACATCCATGTCTCCCTCCCCAGAAGACTCTTTGCTTGCAGTGGAGGGAACAGGTGGATGGACGGGAGTTGATGGTGTCAATGGCCGCTCATGGGATTCGTGTGCACAGCCACCCAATGTGTCACAGAGACATGTTGATGATGATATCCTGCAGGATGTATTCAGGTATGACTCATTTCACTTTTTTTTCACAATAGTTGATTTTTTCTGCCTTAATCCATGGTAATTGTGGAATAATAAAAAGTGCATCGGTATTTTCTTGTTTCAGGATCCCCGGTGTTGCTAATTCATTCGATGCTATTCTTAGTGAAGCTATTAAGTTGGAGTTTTCTGCGTACTCCCCTCGAACATTATCAGTTCCTCACTTACACGCTGATGGTTTCCCTCTTAGCAGAGAGTTGAATGATGCAGAGAGAGCCAAGCTCAATGAGTTGATTGTGGCCAACAAAGCTTTACTGGCACCTCTTGAAGAGGTTTGTACTAGTATTCCCTTGCAAGCAACCAGTGAGACTTTTGTCATTCTAAGAAATGAATGATTTGTCTGTTCTTTTTTTCCAGACTAGCACTGGTGATCCTCGCTTATTGGACATCATAAATCTCACTGCAGTAGCCATTCGCAGATTGGTGAAAATGGCAAAGAAGATTAATGCATTCAAAAACATGTGTCAAGAGGATCAAGTCGCTCTTTTGAAAGGTGCTTGCATGGAGATGCTGATTTTGCATAGTGTCACAACATACAACCCTGAAAAAGATTCATGGGCTGTGAGTATTATTATTATTATTATTATTATTAGTAGTAGTAGTAGTAGTAGTAGTAGTAGTAGTAGTAGTATTTTCTTGACTTTGCATTTGTGCTTATTGAATATTAACCTTTTTTCTCCTGTTCAAAAATTTTTACAGCTGCCTCACAGTACTGCAATTAGTGTTGATGTTCTCAAAGAATGTAAAGGAAATTTGTATCAAGAGCACCGACGGTTTCAACAGTCATTTGATCCAAGATGGAGAACAGATGAAAATATCATGCTTATCTTGTCAGCAATAACACTGTTTACACCTGCCCGAGCAAATATTGTACATCATGACGTCATTAAACTTGAACAGGTATGTTTGATGCAAACCTTTCATGTGCATTGGTGCTTACAGGGCGTTGTCAATTCAGTTGACTGTCAATTATTATCCATTCTCTTTTTTCTTTCAGAATTCATACTGGTATTTACTTCGGCGGTATTTAGAGTGTACATTACCAGGATGTGAAGCCCGTTCTACTTTTTTAAAATTGATTCAAAAGATTTCAGAACTACATCGTCTTAATGAAGAGCATGTTAGAGCTTACTTAGATGTTGATCCCTGTGAAGTTGAGCCACTATTGATAGAAATATTTGATCTCAAACCTCCTTCAATGTTGTGAAAATATTAGGATTTTTTTTTTTTCAAAGATGTTGTCATCTTATTTCTGCACTGCCCCTTGATTGCTATTTTTGGTATTCCATTTTTCCTTTGGAATTATACTGTCTAATTCTGATGTCAATCTTCTTCAGTGCCATGTAATTCAAGAGTATATCTAGATCAAGTATTTTTCAGAGAAGTGCTAACTTTTTTTTCATTATTGGTAGCTTTTATGTAGCAGGTAACATATTAGAGCTCTGTTATTAATTGAGTATTTTGAACCCTGTTAAGTGTTGGTGTACTGGTGTAACTACTATGTATGTTACCCTGTAACTTACTCTTTCTTTATCTTGTTACAATGTGCTGTATAAAATTCCTTGTTAACATGTACCTATAGTCTAATTTTATGTCTGTTACTCAAATATTTACCTGCTTAGCTTATTAGACTTGTACAAATTCCTATACTGTTATTGAATAATCTTGTATAGTTTCACATGTATGCTCAACTTTTGATTGGCTTCAAGCTGATTCTCTTTGTGAACTTGAGAGGACAAATGTATTGAGTCTTAAGAGCTAATTATAGATGTGCTAGGTTTTACATCTATATTGTGGTATTTGTTTGCTCAGAAAAGTTTCTATTTGTATTTCATTACTCACTTCAGGTTCATTGTTTGCTTGCTGTCTTAGGGTTAGAGACTGACAATGTGCATGTTTTTTTCTTCTATATAGTTTATGTACTGTAGCTGTAGAAACTTTTATTGCACTTATGAATTGGTTTTCAAACAAATCAAACTTGTTTTGGGTTGGGTCCAAACAGGTACCTGTGATGTAGAATGTCAAAAGTGCCTCCCAAGAAAGGTATGCTATGTCTATTAAGAAGTGGGAGATACAGTACCTGGTACTACTGGATGTCACCTACCATAAGCAAAGGGACCATGCATTTTAACTTTTTTTTACTGTTATCTTGACATGCCTCATGTGTTACTGTCCTGAGAAAATGTTTATAATTGTACTAGCCTGAAAGGTATTGAATCTCAGTTACCGCATTTAATCTATCATAATTTTTAAATAAATTTGCTTGTTACTTCTGGTGCTTTGGTTTCAAATGCCTCTATGTAATCCACAATAGCAAAACTTTGTTAATTTATTTTTTTCTTTGGTGACTGCAGATGGGTCATGACAATTGGAAGTCAATTGATTACTTGATGACATTCACACCAAATGCTCTTCAATTGCAAAACAAATATATATTTTTAAAGAAAAGTGCCTTGTTGAGTGCAATTCACTGGTTTCAGAGTAGATGATAGTCACCTAACTCTCACAAGGAAATGAAGGTTCACATCTCCAGTGTGTAACAATTCTTTATCTGCTAATAACTGTACACCAGAACATATTCAGTTTAAAAAAAACAGACATAGAAATAAATAATCATATCACATAACAATACTCATTTAACAAAAACAAAATGTTCTAAATGTTACCATTAGAGAAAAAAAATACAGTTGATTACTTTCTAAAACAGTGGCAACAATTACAATGAAAGATGTCGCATGTGCTCCTTGCCTCAGAGTGACAGATAAAATTAAACATTTAAAAAAGTCAAATTCTGTACACACTATGCATAAGGAAAGAAAAAACACACCAGAAAAGGAGCAACAATTCATTGCAGTGACTGCTTCTAAAATGATGGCCCCAAGCACATGAAGAAGTACAGATTTTCAATTGAAAAAAAAAACCTCAGATAAAATCACTAGAAGTAAGAAGATAACAAAAGAGACTATCCTCTGGACTCCAAACTGACATGAACTTCATACAGCTAAACATTAATTTAAAATGAGAGAATGAGAACATTGCATGACATAAGGGCAAGAACAAGCTTCAGGTTTTTGGTGTCCCTAGCAACAAGTGTAGTTACAGTTTGTTTGTCTAGAGGCTACGGTGTACGACGCGATCCCTATGGAAGTTACAATGCAGGCCCAGCAGGGGCAGGGACACCCTTGCAACCGCGAACTGGTACACTGATACACCCCGAGGGCCCTGGCGGAAGCAAGAGAAGCCACCGCGAACGCGGCTCAAGTTTTAAGAGAGGAACCACAAACACAGATAATCAGTAATCACTGCATGAATATCACGGCCTTTGTGATCCTTGTGCCCATCCATTATTATAATTATGAATTAATGAGCCAGAATATGTGATGATTATTATTTTAACAGGACACTCCACCACCATCCACACACACAGGCATTCATCCACCCGTATCCCACTTTTCCAGCCAGCACAAAAATTCCACTCCACATGGTAAGAAAAGAAACAATGGGTCAGGCATGAGTCAAATACTAAGAATTTAGAACATAAAAGGTACACAAAGGATGTCACTTTGATAAATCTGTTTGCGCGTAAAAAGGCACCTTACCCTAATCAAATATTTTAGTTCATTTGGTTTCTCAAGTAAATGCAATGGGTGTTGATCATGCTCAAAGTGAGGGCTCATGAAGTGCAACAAAATTCTCCAAAGTACTAGGAATCTGCCCTCGATAGGGAATTTTGTTTTTAGATACAACAACTGCTGCAAGACAACATAAGGTGGTATAATTAACTAGATTTACAGAACTTCGAGTGTTGCTTCCAATACTTAAAGATGGTCTCTCTCCATTCTTATTTGATTGATCTAGGTGAGCACCATGGTCCAGAAGAAGCTTCACTAACTGAAAAGAAATTTAAGAAGAAAAAAATGTAACAAGTTCAAAAATGATATTCCTCATTTAAATTTATCATTTTAACACATATACATACTGAATTATCAAAGTTGTAAGGATTTGAAGCAACATGGAGAGGTGTGGAGCGTGATTTGTTGCAAGCTTTGACTGGAGCACCACACTGAAGAAGGACTCTTGTCACCTCTAAATCAGGGAACACAACCTGGTAAAAGGGATAAAAATATATTACCTAGGTTGCTGTAGTTTTACTTTTCAGAAACAAATTAGGTAATCATAACTGTACCTGATTCACCTGAGTATCCTCAGCAAAGTAACTACTCTTAATAGTATTCAGCCTTGAGACACAAAGGTGTAGGAGCGAGTCTCCAGTGGAAGCAGAACAGGGATTATAACGAACAAGATTTGTAATCAGGCTATACACTCTTTGTCTATCGTCCTCAGTTCTAGCAGTCTTTACTAGCAGATAGACAAGATGAGTTATGCACTTCAAAATACGGTCATAACTCTCTTGTTGACGTTTATTCACAGGATGAATCTATAAGTTTAAAAGGGGGAAAAACAAGAAAAAAAACATAAAAGTTTAAAATTAATTACAATACTGGGTAAAACTAGACTATCACTCAGAATATCAACTTCAACTTCCACAGCTTACCTCAAACAAGGGACGGGACTCAACAAGAGGTTGAGCTAACATTAGAAAAACAGCCGCAACATCATCAAATCGTGGGTTTTTCCCTTCTTCATAGGGGTCATGAATAAGTAATAATTTCTCATTTAAGTCCACAAATAGCCGAACTAAAGCTTGAGCAGTAAAGCATGTGTCACTAGACATAATGGAGTCTCTCATGATGCGAACTTCAAGAGCTCGTTTCCACAGATCAATGCAACGTTGATAACGCAGAGCATCAGCATAGGCAGCCCCCCTGTACATCAGGCGGAACAGAGTGTCTTTGTGTTGCTCCCCTAGGATCCTCTCACAGATTAATAAGCTGTGCATTCGCATAGCATCTACGTCTGAAACAATACATCAACATTCAAAAACATGTTGGATGTTAAATAACTCAGCACAAGGAACTGAAACAATGCATTACCTAGAGAGTTCAGTTCCTCCTCGGTAATAAATTCTCGAGCATAGCCAAATGTCTCTCTTAGAGGCACAACTGGGCGTTTTGGAATAGGCTGACCATTTTGACCATTAGCAAGTCGTATTTGGACAGCTGTAAGCCAATGTTGTAAGGCACTTTGGGTGTCATTATGCTCATCCAGTAATGTTGAGCCCAGCAACTCATAAGCATCAGCAAGTCTTTCAGGTTCATAATTAACTCGCTCACGAAGAAGGTCAAAAATGGCTTGAGCTCCTTTTAGGCAAGCTGTGCGTAATGCATCATCATTTAAGCGAGATCGAGCATGGGGATCTGCCCCATGATCCAATAGTAATGCAGTAGTCTCACATCTATGCTCTTGAATTGCATAATGTAAAGCAGTTTTATTCTGTATATCTCGAACATTTACTTGAGCACCATTCTGTAAAAGAGGGTGGAAATCAAGGGTTAGTCATTTTGTTCACAAAAAAAAAAAGTAAAATGAAAACAATATTTAAAGCATAATCAATTTCACAAGACAGTGGCAGTTTGAGTCACTGAAAAGAATAACTTTTGACTGTACCTGAAGTAAAAGCTGACATAAGGATGCACTTTGCACAGAGTTTATAAGGCAAGTGCCACCATTGTAGTTAGGCTTCAATATATCGGCCCCATGAGCAACTAGATATTTTACAATTTCCATGTGCGTCATGAAACATGCAGATCTCACAGGGGTAGAACCACTGTCTGAAGCTGCATTCACATTAGCACCATTTTCAACAAGAACTTTGATCACATTCAATTTTCCTGACACTGCAGCGCACCAAAGTGGTGTCACAAAATGGACGGATCGGTCATCTGGCACCTCATAAAGACCCCTCTCTTCAACATCTGCTCCGCATACTTTTATAAGGTACTCCACCATTTCTGCATGTCCTCTCATGCAAGCTATGAAAAGAGGAGCACAGCCATCTTTGACACGATTGACTAGTTCCGTGCGATTCTCTGAGCTGAGCCTTTCAAGGCGAGTGCGAAGTTGGCTTGACAGCCTGGCTCCAGGATTGTTATGCCTACATTCATCAATAAGATCATTAAAAATAGCATCTTTGAGAAGGTTGACCAGATCAATCTTGCCCGATGATATCCACATGTCTAGAAAGGGACTCAACCCTCTACTGATAGCACTGAAACTAAGGCAAAACGTCCGCGACCTCTTCACGGGTGCTTCTTCGATTCCATTTTCATTCGAGGAATTTTTCGAGTCAAGCAGTTCGTCAATCCAAGAACCTGCAACAGAGGAAAACGCTGAATTAGAGAAGATACAACAAGACACAACAGAACAAGTCAATGAAAATTTTAAGACTTCCAAAACACTGCCTAAGCCCTTCAAACTGCAAATTTTTCATCGTACCTAATGAATTAAACAGATGACACAAGGAACTTAAATTCGACACAAACTATTCAAAACAAGTATCGTGTACGCAAAATCATTCGCAAATGAGGTTATCCAAATCGTTTCCCGTTCCGTTGCCACTTCGACTTCCCCTGTTTTGTTCCTCTGTTTGCGCTGTTTTGCGAGTCAGATCAGACGGGTGCGTTCCATTGCGCCTCTAGCGGCACTTACTAGTGGGACCGTTCCAAAACAACCGCCATTTTAGTGGTCAGCCGGTCAACATTTAAAGAAATCTGCGAGGGTTACCTCCAAGAGAGGCTTTTAGATTTTGAACTAGACAGGACATGCACGATGTACTCGATAAACCAATTTTCATTCATCGGTCCCCGCATATCCTTTGTCAAGTCATGATCAAGTGGAGAAACAGAGCATACGACATTTGAAAGTGCCCGACCATGTTCTCACCCGATGCGACCTCTAGCTCGCCTCGCGACGCACGCTTTGATCTTTGATTAAGCTCAACATGAACTCAAAGGGAAGAAAAAACACGAAAAGACAAAGCAACTCAAGCCAAACTAGTCGATTGTCATTTCCATATTTTTTGAGACAGCGACGTCTACTCTCGGTGACGCAGTTGGCCCATGCATCGGTTTTGGCTGTGCGAACAGAAATAGGGGAAGTCACAGGGTGGGGGCACAGGGCACAGTGCGTTGGTTGCATTTTCGCACACAACACAACACCAACACCCCCCAAAAATTAGATGCACCGTCGACTTGCGCGCGAGAGACATTCACAACTGCAACCAGCGGACTGATTCCGAGAATTATTTTCGTCGCTGTGTCTCTCTCTCAGTCAAGGGGCGTCCCCCGTACAGGTGCGAGAGAGACAGGGCAGGGCGAGGGAAACGACTCTCGGAATACAGCAGGCAGGAGAGCAACCGGCATCGCCAGCACCACACCACGTCCAACCACGTCGACACGTCGATGAACAAAGCGCCTTCTAGCAGGCAACCCGCCCGGCAATTGGTTGTGTCGAGCGCAAGAATTGCCCGCGCCTGGTCGAAACGCCCGTACACGGTGCGCAATCTGACCATCCTCGTGATAGGTGTACTCGGGTGCACTGAACTGAATGCACTTAAGGATCTAACTACCAGGAACTTTGGGGCAACCTGCATCCGCATGGAAAATTATAAATAGTTTTCAAGAGCGCGTGGTGTGGGACAGTCGGCGAAGTGCTGCTTTGGTCTTCCCCGCAATCATCAGCTAAACAGGGGTCCGCTCCACATAGATAAAGACAGACTCGGTTGCCTTTGGAATGGCGCTGTGTTCTTCCTCAAGCAGGGGCCGAGCCAGGCCGCGCCAGGCCGAGCCAGGCCGAGCAGGGCAGGGCAGCTAGAAGCTAGATCACTTGAACCAGACAGGACGTTTGCCTTGGCAGTGCTCTGCCACCGCGGAAGCACAGCGACCGTTGCGCCGCTACCAACATACGCGACAGAAATGTGTGACACCGTGCAGTGCACGCGTGTGCCAAATGCGCGCGCGCGTGTGTGTGAGTACGTGCGAGCGTGTGTGTCAGTGTGGACACGCGAAGCTATTCGTGTCCCCTCTGGCCGGACTATAAACGCAGAGGGAAGTGCTTAGCGGGCTCTTCGTTCCCGTCTTTCCTGTTTTGCGAACGCTCGCGGCACACAACGCTGCACTTGGGGTCCTACACAGGTGGTGCAGGTTCGAGGGCGGAAAAACTGCCCCCCCCCCCCCCACACACACACGCACACCGAACACACATGCATGCACGCTAGCGCGTGAGGTGATAGTGGGTGCCAACGCACTGCTGACCTCGTTGCGGTGTCGCGAACTTGGCATGCGGGGCGTGTAGGGGCGTGCGGTGCGGTACCTGCAGACTGATTCCGAGAGTCGTTTTCGCCCCTCCGCCCCTCTCGCACTCATGGCGCGTCCCTTATAGGTGCGAGACAGACAGAGCGACAAAAACGACTCTCGTGAGCGGTCTGCTGGCACTGGGCTTGCACGGAGTCGCGGGGCGAAGCGGGCCAGGGAGTCACCGACACGCGCCGCACGAGGCAGCCTGGAGTCGCACCGCAGCTCGGCCAAGGCACGCACCATCGCTTGTCAAAAACCCAAGTCCCATTCTCTAACTGCCGCGGCGTGTAAGCTGTTACTCTACTCTAACCGCGGCGAAGTACGAGACCAGGCCGTGTGAGTTCCACTTCCTGAAAGTCGGCGGACTCGCGGACTCCGTGCGCGGAGGTCGACCGGCCACCGGCCGGCCACCGGCCGCCGTCCCTTCTCTCTCATGACGATCTCGGCTCGCGATTCCTGCCCCTCCCCCTCTCTCCCGCTGCAAAGCACTGCAAAGCAGCCGGCTTGCCGGCTTCGCCGCGCCCCGTCGTTCGTTCACCCCACGCCGCCGAGCTGCGCCAAGCGCGCCAAGCCCGCCAAGCCCGGCCGAGTGGAGTCCACGCCACGCCTCGCCTCGTCCGATGCATCCACCGACCGCATCCACTGCGCCGCACATAATCTACCGCAGCATCGCGTCACCGCCGCGGCCGCGTGCACCGTGCCGCCGAGCCGCACTCGCACGACAAGACGGCCCACGAAAAGGCGACGACGTGACCGCGCTACCTGCAGCAATGCAGACTGATTCCGGGAGGCGCTCTCCGTCCCTTTCGCACCTGAACGGGACCCCCTACAGGTGCGAGAGAGGCAGAGCGCCGAAAACGACTCTCGGAATCAGTCTGCAGCTGCGCACGTAACTAGTAAATGCCAAATGCATCTCGGCAGTGCCGCCGGCGCCGCCGCCACGCGTGTGTTTACGACCGGCAACTTGCAGCAGTGGCCGCTCAGTAGTGCTGGTGAACTAACATGAGCGGCCATGCATCCCCTGCAATGGCCACACCTCCTGGCTTCGGGGCGTGGAAACCACCTGTCTTGTCTCGTCTCCAGTCCACCCCAGCAACGGCATCGTCTGCTTCCTCCACGGCTGCTTCATATCGTCCGTCAGATTGCGGACCCAGCCAGACCGCCTCGGGGGGCTGCGTGTGCGTGACATAACGACTTCCATGCTCGTTGCACTGATAATCTGCTCGGGCGGTCTGCGATGGTCGGCGAGTTGGGCCTGTGCGCAGAGAGCCACTTGTCGCAGGGAGTGTACCGAACTTACCGCAGCTCTCCATCGTGTACTCTCCGAGAAGGGCGGCAGGGACTGCCCGTGGCGGCGCACTCTAGGGCCGCCCCATCCTGGCTGACGTCCTCGGCAACGTCCTCGACGGCCTCCTCGAAGGGCCTTCCCTCCTGCCCATCCGGAGTGGCAGTCACTAGAGCGCTCCACAGGTTCCTCCTGCACAGTCCACCCAGTCCACAGACAAGTCCTCGGGGAAGTCCACAGGCTTGGTTAGGGCACAGGGCAGCGGTCTGCCACCGGGAGCACTCTTGCGAAGGGTCGCGAAAATGAGACGCCGGCCCGGTCCGGTCGGCCCACGCAGGGCGGAATGGCGATCGGCGGCGCGTCCGGCGCGTCAGGTCGGGCAGAGCGGCGCACACAACACACTGAGGCACACCGGCTTGGCTTCGGCTCGGAGCGGCGCCACGCCGCGCCACGCCGCCTCGCCCGGAGCCCCCGACCCCTTCCTATCTCAACTACGCCACCGCGCCCCGCCCCGCCCCGCCCCGCCCCGCCCCGCCCCGCCCCGCCCCGCCGCTCCGCCTCTGCTGCTAAGCCGAGCCAATAAGCGGCTTGCTGAAAGACACTACAGCGTCCAGCCCGCGGAGCGTCAGCGGCAGGGGCCCCGGCCCGGCCCGGCCGGCGATGACGTGAACGCGACCGCGACGCGGCCCAGCCGGCCCAGGTGAACTTGATCTACGAATGCCCCCGCTGCCCCTCCCAGCCCCGAGGGGGCCACCACCCCCGTAATCCTGTGTACAAATTGGCTGGTAATCTCTGGTAATCCGTGGCGTAATCACGTAATCCTTGAATAAATTCTGACATTTTTCAACGTTTTTAGTCATTTTTCAACGTTTTTGAGCTATTTTTCAACGTTTTCGAACCAATTTTCGAAAATTTCACGCGTAATCCCTAGTAAATTTCCTGTAATCCCGTAATTTTGTGTACGCCTGAAATGAGAGTGGTGGCCCCCTCGCCCAGCCCGCGGGCCCGTCCCACCGTCCCACCGCCCCACCGCCCCACCGCCCCACCGCCCCACCGCCCCACCGCCCCACCGCCCCACCGCCCCACCGCCCCACCGCCCCACCGCCCCACCGCCCCACCGTCCCACCGTCCCACCGTCCGTCCCGCGGCCCGCGAGAACGTCGCGAGACAGATTCAGGAGAAGCAGCAGCCAGACGCGAAGACGCGGCCCGGACGGGAAACGTCTCTTGGAACAACAGTTTGGAGCAGGTCGAGAGTCCTCTGCAGACGATGACGGGAGAGAAAATAAATGAACAGCTGTATGAAAAGCTACGAATTTTACTTTTTGATAGTGTTGATGCATGTATCATTTCTAATGTTAAACAAAAACGGTAAGACCATATATTGTGGTGGCTTTACGATTCGAATTGATTCAAGAATTTCGCAGTGACGCGGGCGTCCTGCTTCTAATTATTCTGGCATGCGGGTGGTCAGCTTGAAGTTGGCCGGTGCCGCGTTGCCCCGGCTGGCCGGTTAGTCCAGCTCAGGCGGCAGACTGATTCCGAAGTGTGGCGTCGTCGCTCTATCGCTGTCACACTCGTGGGCGCCCCGTTTGGGTGCGACAGAGCGACGACACCGCACTTTTGAGTCAGTCGACTGCTCCTGGCTCGCTCCTGTGAAAGCTCCTCTAAGAGGTAGATGCCCCCGTGGACTCGGATTGACACAAACCAGAGTAGCGAAGCGGGGCAGGAGGAGTTGGCGTCGACGTCTATGTGTCCCCCATAAAGTCGCCGGTGCGAAGTCAAGTCGAGGCGTCGGCACCGTTCCGTTCGTCGGCGAGGTGCATGGCGGCGGGGCTCGAGGCGACAAGAGCCACGCCGCCAGCCACGCCGCCAGGGCAAGGCCGGGCCGTCGCCGTCGCCGCCGAGTCCTGCCAGAGTTCCGGAGGGCCGTGGCAGCGTCAGGCGGCAGGCCGTGGAGTGCGGACGGAAGGGAACACTAGCGTTTGCGGCGGGCGCTTGCCGACTGATTCTGAGCGGGAGGTGTCTCCGTCGCTCTCGTCCGGACAACCCGTGCGAGTGCGAGTGAGACGGACCGACGACGGCATCAGCTGGGGCGCGGCAGGACTCGAGCCCGCGTTGACACACCTGCCGTCGGCTTGCTCGCCGCGACCGCCGCGACGCCGCGACCCAGGCCTTGCTCCGGTGGCATTGGCGCGCGTTGGCGCTTCCTTCTCTCTTGCTCTCTCACTCGCGCGGCACTGCTGAGCGCCTGGCAGGTAGGCAGCCGCTCCGCTTCGACGCGCACGTGTGGTGCGGGCCGACCTGCACTGCAGGGGCTCCGCGCGGCACATCCTCGACCTGGGCGACCTGGGCGACCCGGCGGTGCATGGCGGTCGTCGCGCACCCTGACGCGCCACTCCCCCTTAAGTGAAGCGCGCTGCGTTCCGAGTACACGAGGTGCACGAGGTCATGGTTGTTGTTCGGGTTCGACACTCAGTGTCCCAGAGCCCCAGAGTCCCCGTCAGCGCGTGGCTGCGGGCGTGGCGGGGCGCGGCGGGCGGGGCGAGGGCCTGCCGAGTGAGTGCCTTCCGGGCCGCGAGCCAAGCGATCCGACCGGACTGGAGGACTGGAGGACTCATTCCGTCGTTTTCATCGCTCTATCTCTCTCGCACCTACACGGGGCGCCGTATGAGTCCGAGAGAGATAGAGCTGTGGAAACTACGCAGCCTGCTGGAAGCGGACACAGAAACGGCGCCGAAGACGAAAACACGCTCGAGAGCGCGCACTTCCTCCACGGTACCGTCATCAAACGAGTGGCAAGGGCAGCGCGTCGGGGTGGTGTTGAACCCGGGTCGTCCCGCTCTGCTCTGCTCGCAATGCGCGCCGCGGCGGAAAACTTCCACGAAGGCCGAGCCGCAGCGACACGCTCGCATGTTGTTGCTCGCATGTTTTTTGGGAGCGTCGACAAGACACTCGCTTGCCGACTTGGCTTCCCATTTGGAGCCATTTGCTGTTGCCGGGACTCGAATCCGCTCCAATCCGCTTCTCCAGCTTCGCGCCCATTTTCATTATCGCGCGGTCCAGCGCAGCGCGAGGCGAGGCCCAAGACCGATATGGCACCGCCTTCAGGCGCAAGCGCACCGGCAGCCTTCAACAATTGCAAAGGAATGCGAGGGTCTTTTATGACCATTTTTAAATGATCTCGAGTGCGCACGCAGCAGGCGTGTTTATGTATCGTTTTTCATGATGCACACCGATCCATCCTCATGAAGAGTCATGAAGCGGCCGGGGGAAGTTTGGAGGACGAGTCGCGGCCCATGCCGCTGACCACCTGACCACGGCGGGTGTGATTCCCGCTGTGGTATCTCGCTCACGCGGGATGACATTGAAATTAATCTTCAAATCTCACAGGCTTGTTTTAGAGAAAATACTGCACAGCCTGCGACCCGAGCTGCGACCGCGATCCACACTCCACGGTCTCTGAGAAACTGAGACGTAAAATTAGAATGCCGTTTATCTCCAGACTGCAATCGGTGCTCCAGCGGCTGGGAGGGAGGCCTACTCACTTCCGAAATATGCGCGACGCGCGGCACTGCCGGCCCAGCACATTTCGTCCGATCCGAGGAGAACGGCGTCTCCATCAGCATCCGTGTTCATCTTAACTCGGAAATTCTGATAATATCGACTTTTTGAGCGTTATCAAAGCGTCATTAGTTCATAGGCAACAAGTGAATTATGTGGAATGATCATGTGCGTACACAGGATACCTTCAAAATAACGCACTAAAAGTCGATATACCCGATGATTTATTTTCGTAAATGTCACAGAAGCCTCGAGCCATGAGATAAGTTACGGATGTCTGCTCCAGCGAGAATCCCCCCGCGTCGCCGTGCCAGTCGGCTGACCGATTGTTGATTCCGAGAGTTGTTTACATCGCTCTGCCTCTCTCGCACTGGACGGCCACCCCACGTGCGGGGTCTGCTGGCAGAGCAACGAAACGGGCGGAAAGTGCAGTGGGGTGGGAGGGGTTAGGTTAGGTTAGGTTAGGTTAGGTGGGAGGGGTAGGCACTGGGTCGGCGATCCGACGCGTCAAACGCGTCAAACGGCAGACAGACAGACGCGTTCGCCGATCGAGGCACAGCGGCACAGCCACAGCCAGCGGCCGGCCGGCAGTGCCAGCGGCAGCCGCGGCAGACAAGGGGAGAGGTGAGGGGTGCTCGAAGCACCCGCTGGCTCTGGCTGACAGCGGTGACGAGCCGAAGTCGCTTCGGCTGCCCTCGGAGCGTCCGTTTTGCGTCCGTTTTAGCTTCGGTAACGGACGTCAACGGGCGGATGGGACGCTCACTGGACCCGGACCGGACCGGGTATTGAAGAAAATTTGAGTACACCGAAACGGACGCGAAGGTCCGCCCGTTTCGTTGCTCTGTCTGCTGGCTGGCTGACTCGCGCAGCGAGCCGCGCAGGGTACCACGTGCACGTTGCGGACGCGCGTCGTAGACACGTGTGGACGTGAGGACGCGAGTGGCCGCCGCCTCGCCACTTTGAAGCCAAGCCGGTCGGACTCGGTCGGACCGTACCGCGGATCGCGGCAATTACAGCCAAATAGAGTGTGGAGTGGCGGAGTGGCGCTTGGAGAGGGAGGGGGGCGGCGCGGCGGCCACGGCCAAGGCTGCGCCGCGCCTCGCCGAGCCTCGCCGCGCCTCGCGTGGCGACGTTTACGCTCGCTACACCAGACCGCAGCGGCCGCGGCCAGGTGTGACAATTTTCGCAAAATTCATTTTACTCCAATCCTATTTACGATGTGTTCGCAGTGGTGCACTGAATTTTCTTTTGCCTGACAGACAGGTGGGTCCGCCGAAGAGTTAGCCACAGCTCTTGCTACTTCGAACTCCACCTTTCCAGAGTAAAGTCAGATCGAAAAGATCTGCTTTGTATGACATCCCCCCCCACATGTGCCAAACTCAAACCACACGGTTCTGCTCGCTGCGTTTTCACCTGCGGTCAGGTCAGAACTGGCATAAAATTTATTGTTTTCTCCGGAAGTTTGAGCAGCAGGCGGCGAGGAACAAGTCTTCCGGATCACGTGGTGGATCGAATGAGAGGAAAACTTTGTTTTCCTCGGCAGAGCTCGCGCGAGCAGCTCCAGCGGATGAGACCGAGGCGTTGAAAAAGTTGCCTATCCATCCGGCGCACCATTCAACACTGAAGGATTATGCATTGCTATTTCTATATTGCAGTATTGCAATTTCTGTATTGCTATTGCAGTATTGCTATTACAGTATTGCTATTTCTGTATTGCTATTGCAGTATTGCTATTGCTGTATTGCTATTGCTGTATTGCTATTGCTGTATTGCTATTGCAGTATTGCTATTGCAGTATTGCTATTGCAGTATTGCTATTGCAATATTGCTATTGCAGTATTGCTATTGCAGTATTGCTGTTGCTGTATTGCCATTGCCAGCGATGGCAGTGTTGGATGGTTGGTCTGTGCCGGTATCGCGCTGGTGAGAAAAAGGCTTTAGAAGTGATGGTGAATGGAGCACAGCGTACGGCCGTGCGGCCAGGTCTCCGGCCTTTCTTCGATCGCTTCGCTCAGTCCCGGTCCAGAGAGCTTCGTAGGGTTCGCCGAGGGCCGCCTGCCGTCTGCGCCTCTTGGCTTGCCCGTCTGTCTGTCTGTCTGCGGGCCAGTCTTGGCCGTTTGAAAGGCATTTCGCGGGTTTCCTTGGCGAATACGAACGGAGCCGACCGGTCCGCACGCTGCGGCTGCTGCTGGCCCCTGTCTGGCCTAGCCCGGCCTTAGCCCGGCCACATCCAGCGGTGGAGAAAGTGGTGGGAAAACATTGGGCGAGGCGGGCTGCGCGGGTGAGCGGCCAGGGCGTGCGGCAGGGCGTGCGGCAGGGCCTGTGCTGCACTTGGCGTGGTGACGTCATCCTGGACGCAACGCCACTGCAACCGAGTGAGTGCAGCGTCAGTGCGGTCAGGGCGACCGACAGCAACGCGGCCCGTGTGGAAACGGGAGTAAGTTTGTCGTTCATTCTTCCGCGCTGGGTGGGGGAAGTCCCAACCGTTATAGCGGCTCTAAATAAATTCTGAAACTTTGGTCGATCTGCTAATCGAAAATTATATGGAACCACAGCAATGGCAATACTGCAATGGCAATACTGCAATGGCAATACTGCAATGGCAATACTGCAATGGCAATACTGCAATGGCAATACTGCAATGGCAATACTGCAATGGCAATACTGCAATGGCAATACTGCAATGGCAATACTGCAATGGCAATACTGCAATGGCAATACTGCAATGGCAATACTGCAATGGCAATACTGCAATGGCAATACTGCAATGGCAATACTGCAATGGCAATACTGCAATGGCAATACTGCAACGGCAATACTGCAATGGCAAGACTGCAATGGCAATACTGCAATGGCAATGCTGCAATAGCAATACAGCAATAGCAATACAGCAATAACAACGCAGCAATAGCAATACAGGAATTGCAATACAGAAACCTGTGTCTTCTGACGTCGTTGCGACCTTATGTTGGACGTAGTCAAATGCGGCAACACCACTCTCGCTGCAGCCCTCTTGCACCTGCCGCGAAATGGCGCGTGAGTCTCATTCTGAAGCAGCGTGCGACAAGCGAGCCGCGGCGCCTTACGCAAGTGAGACTTCCCACCGCATCGTAGGCCTTGAGACCTGCTGGTCTGTTTGTCCTTAATGTCAGATAATGCCGTTCCCAATTATGATGCTAATTTCGAAAATTTGCCTGCGGGGAAAACACACGCGGGAGCCGCGGATATTTTATAGTGGCGAGTTTTGTCCATCTTTTCTCCATTCCATCGGATCTGCTACTCCATCCGTCTTCCTGACTTTTAACGGTTCGACTGGTTATAAAACGTTTATAAATTATTCGGGTTTTACTTCAAGTATCGGAGTGCCTTTGTTTTTCGTCAAACACTGCCGTCATTCATTCAAAGCACTTTCCCGAAACTCGACAAAGTTATCTGGCTTCAGGGCGGGGCGCGGCGGGGCGCGGCGGGGAGGAGAAAGTGAATGCGACGGGGCAAGGTCCTCTCCAGTCGGGCCCACACCTCACCCCACCCCACCCCACCCCACCCCACCCCGCCCGCAGTCCCTGCTAGCCTTACCGGCCAGGACGTCCAAAGACACTCTGCCCTTGGTGCGCCTTGGTGGGCCCTTAGCTGGACCCCGCTCCCTGCCTGGAACGCGCTGACGCCGAAGGACCGCGATATTTTGTTTATGCGGGCCGAGGCGGCCCCCGAAGCACTGAGCAGAACCTAACCTAACCTAACCATTCTGCTCCGTGCCCGAAGGCCCGAAGGCCACTCTCGGAGCCCCCGAAGGGCCCCCGAAGGACTCCCGAAGGACCCCCGAAGAACCCCGAAGGGCCTCAATGAATGGCGACGCCGTTCCCGGGAGCGCGGCGTCATGGCGGCGTCATGGCGGCGTCCCTTCCTTCCTTCCCGGCCGGCCGGCGTCGCGACGCCCCTTCTGGCCCCCTCGCTCCACCTCCGCGGCGGCGCTGTCTCCCTCGCACCGGTGCGGGTCGCCCTGTGAGTGCGAGAGAGGGAGACCAACCGCTGGGAGTCGGCGCGGCGCTGCACCCGACCGGCGCCGTGCGGCGCGGCCATGGACCTCTGGCTGCCTCTGGCTGGACCGGCGGCGCGCCTCCCCGGCGTGCCTTCCCGTCCAGCTTCACTTTCACTGAGAAAGCACGGCGGTGCGGTAAGCGGCCGCGGGAGGGGCGGAACAGGGGGAGGGAGAGGGGAGGCGCGGAAGGGGAAGGGCGGCCGAAGAAAGTTAACGTGCTTCCAGGAGCAGCGCCCTGGAGTCAGTCTTCCTGCGACCGTTGTGCCCGACGAGACGAGACATCCAGCAAGGTGTGTGTGGTGGAAGCAGAGCGAAGCAGTGTGCCAAAGTGTCTGTGGGAGTGAGAGTGAAGCCTCAGCTGAGGTCCAGCCGGCTGCCGCGCTCTGTCCCCCTCGTCCTCTCGCAGTGTGCCGTAGAAGTGCGAGAGAGACAGAGCAGCCGGGCTTCAGCTGAGCTCCATCCAAACTGCAGCCGTGAGCTGCAGCCAGGCCCCAGTGAGTGTGACGGAGTGCCCCTTTGCAGAATGGGAATCACCTACGAGCCCCTGAACGCCGACGTGGCGGAGCGCATCGACAACCTGTTCGGCCACAAGAACTGTCTGATCGAGGTGAACCCCGGCAAGGTGCTGATGCCGCCGCGCTATGAGGAGATCGGCGACCGCATCCGCAGCGCCGACGTGCGGCCCGACGACGTCTGGGTCGTGTCCTACCCGCGCACCGGTGAGTTCAGGCAGGACATCCACACGAGGACATAATTTTAATTTTAGACACTTTGAGCGGTCAAGAGTGGCCGGGTCACTGCTGGCATTGTGCTGTGAGTCGAACGAAAGTGATGTTTTCGGGGTGCAACACTGTGAGAAGTCGAGAATCCCCTCCTCCCAGTGTAGAAGAAAGTGGCAGGATGACGCACCGTCGCACCGTCCCAAACACCAAAAGCAGCCATATAGAGCTGAGCGCTGAGTGGCCTGGTGATGTCAGCCCGGACGACAGAGCTGCCTGCCGGCCGGAACAGCCCAACCGGTTCTCACACGCAGTGCGCACTGTCCAGTGACCCGGCCGATGACTTTCCATTTCTCCAGCTCGCCTGGCCGGCTGCGTGTCTGCATACGCCACCGGTCTTCATCCGCCCTCTCCTTTCTCTGTCGCTCCGCAGGCAGCACGTGGGCCCAGGAGATGGTGTGGTGTCTCGGCAACGACCTGGACTTCGAGCGCGCCAAGATGGTGCAGCAGTTCCGCACGCCGCTCATCGAGTGAGTGTCCGAGTCCTGGGCCAGCCTCGGCGAACAAAGGCAGTGGGTACGGGGTGGGGCGCAAGTACCCCACCGCCGCGTCATCGCGTGACGCGCCGCCCCACTGTGAGTGGGCGGCCAGCGCGGCCAGCAGGCTGACGACGCTAACGACCAGCGAGACGAACAGCGCACAGCGAACAGCAGCCGGGACAGGCATGTTTTTCGACGGCAGCGTCCCCGTCCCCCTCCTCCTTCCGCTCGCAAAATTAGTTCGGCGCCTCGGGCCTGGAGCCCTCGGCGCGCAGTGGCGAGTCCAGAAATGGCCTAGGGCCTGAAAAAAAGGGGGGGCTTACTTGATGAAGTGTGACGCGTTGCCTACATTTGAGGCATCGCTCTTGTGGCATTCCCCACGCTTGTCCGAGCGTGGCGTGGCGACGTGGCCGCCGAGGCGATTCGCGTCCCGCGCTCTTCCTGGTTCCAGACGCAGCGACCCACGCCGCCGCCGGCCAAACTCGTTTCTTTTTGGCCCGTCGGGCCGACGAAACACGGCCAGTAAGAACACATGCCCGGTTGAGTCAATTTGGCCACGCGCTCCAAAGTTTGCGCTGCGTCAGAGTTTGGTCTTGGCGCTTCGCGTCGGTAGGCCCGACCGGCAGCACTAATGGCCGATGGCTAGTGCGGGCAGCGGGTGGAGGACGTGGAGGATTGGGCAGGCGCGGATCCAGCAGTGGCGGATCCAGCAGTGGCGGATCCAGAGTCGGCCCAAGGGGGGGTCAAAGTAGCACTTTTTGCCTACTTACAGGGACAATGTGGTGCTTTTTGCCTACCTTTCAGGCGGCTATCTAGGGGTCAAGGGGGGGGCAATTGTCCTTTTGCCCCCCCCCCCCCCTGGATCCGCGCTTGGGATCCAGGATGTTCCCAGGGAGTGGGTAAAGCCGTGCTTTGGGCCTGTGGCGATTGTTGCCGCTGGGGTTGAGAGCTTTCCTAGTGACGTTGCTGACGCCCTGCTCGTCTGCTTGTCGGCGTGCAGGCTGACGGCCGTCATGAGCCACGACGAGGACGGCTTCACCAAGGCGCTGGGCGACTCGGTGGACCTGGTGGCCAGCATGCCGTCGCCGCGCTTCATCAAGAGCCACCTCACGTGGGACCTGCTGCCCGAGCAGATGCTCACCGTCAAGCCCAAGGTGGTGTACGTGGCGCGCAACCCCAAGGACATGTGCGTGTCCTACTACCACTACTGCCAGCTGGTGCACCGCCTCGCCGGCGGCTTCGAGGAGTTCGCCGAGCTCTTCCTGCAGGACAAAGGTGCGTTTGCTGCTGTTGCTTTTCGTGGCCGTCTGGCTGCCTGGCTGTCAACACGCCTCGCGCGGGCGCGGGGTAGCGCCGGCACGCGGTGTGCGATGGGTGGCCGACCCGCCGGGCGCAGGCTGTCCACGCGGGCGGACCCAGACCGCTCAGTCTTACGACGGCCTTGTGTTTGTGCAGCCCCCGTCGGCCCCATCTGGCGTCACATCCTCAGCTTCTGGGAGAAGCGCGACGACCCCAACGTGCTGTTCCTCAAGTACGAGGACATGAAGAGGGTGAGTGTCGCCGCTCTACGTTTGCAGTGCCTGTCGCAGACACGGCCCCCTGACTTACGCTTTCCCGTGCCCAGGACCTGCCGTCGCAAATCCGCAGGACCGCCGAGTTCCTCGGCAAGAAGGTGACCGACGAGGACGTGGAGAAGCTCGTCGACTACCTGAGCTTCGACAAGATGAAGAAGAACCCCGCCGTGAACCTGGAGGTGTGTTTCTGTGCACTCGGCCGGGTTTCAGTCAAAATCGCGCAAACCGGTCAGTGTGTCCACTACAAACATAGAGTTTGAATGAAAACGAACCATTTCCTTCCAGGTCGTGATGGCGCAGAAGTACGGCGAGGAGAGGATGAAGGAGGCCGACGCCAAGTTCATCCGAAAGGGCCAGGTCGGCGACTACAAGAACTACATGTCGGAGGAGATGATCGCCAAGTTCGACGCGTGGACCGAGGAGAACCTGGCCGGCACCGGCCTGAGCTTCGAGTAGGCCCGTTTCCCCGAACCTCTCTCAATGGACTGACAGTACTTTAGGCTAATTTATTGGTTAAGCTTAATCGAAGGGCGCCCCGCGCCGCCCCGCCGCGTCAAGTTACCCTCCGTCCGAAGGGCGTCGCGAGGCCTTGGCGGCCCCGCCAGCTCGCGCCGCCCGGAGGACTGTCCTTCGAGGACCTTAGAGTTTCCCTGTACATAGCATAGACGTTTATCGTGACCTTGTGCCACATCGTACCGTAAGAGTGTCGTCGCCAGAGTATGTTAGATTGTTGTTATTATTATTATTGTTGCAGTTTTGTTACTTATTTGATAATTGTTGACCAATAAAATATGTGCCAAACACAAGAAAAAAAGATCATGGAGGGTCGTGTCAGCGTGAAAGGAAACAGAGAAACGCTGATAATAAATGTAAATGCATTTATTTTTCCTTACACTAATTTTCATTTTAAATTCTAAGTACAAAATATTTTTGGAATGGTGGGTCCTTACATTACGCACATAATATCACAATTTAGAAACTAACGAGCTAAAAAACGATAATTCAGTTATAAAGCTGGCCACGACGGTCGTCACAGTTCAAGTCCGGTCCCCTTGAGATTCTCCGCGGACCAGTCGTCGAACCGCTTGGACTGCTCGGGGCTCATCAGTACCTTCCAGTTGCCAACCTGCACGCCAAAACAAAAATTATCAATAATTGTGAGAACATAAAAGACCGCGCGGGCGAAATCTTTCAAAGCTCGATGACGTCAAACTCACGGTGCCGCTGCGCATGAAGACGCCGTCCTCGGTGATGAGCTTGTGCCTCCGGTTGATCTCGATGACCTCCTCGTAGTTGACGGCCGGGTTGTTCTTCATGCTCTCGAAGCTGAGGTGGTCCTTGAGGCGCTCCACCTGGTCGTCGTCCATCTGCTTGCCCAGGAAGGCGGCCGTCCGCCGGATCACGCCGGCCAGGTCCTGCTTGAGCTGCTCGTAGGTGATGAACAGGACGTTGTGCTGGTCACGCCGCTTCCAGAAGTCCAGGACGTGGTCCCAGAACGGGCCGAAGCACACTGGAAGGACCAAATGACGGGCGGAGGTCAGAAAGGTCGTCCCGGCGACAGCGTCTCCCACTCTGGAGGTGTCCAAGACGCCTCTGTCGCTGGCCACAAGTGCTGTCTCACTTGGCAGCAGCTCTCTTCTTGCCGATAGCGCCTGCGAGGTAGGCCGCCGCCCCTCCCGCGACTCACCGCCGCAGAGACGGTGGCCTACCTCGCCCCTGTCGTCTTCGCGGGGGCGACGTAGGCCGCCGTCTGCACGCCGGTGTGTTGCGGGCGGAGCGGGTGGCCTACCTCGCAGGCGCTTGGCCGCCCGGGTGCCGTGCAGGGCGCCGACGGTCTTACCTGCGCCGGAGAGGAAGAGGTTGCAGAAGTCCTGGAAGTCGCCCGTGTAGCCCTCCAGCAGGCGGCAGTGGTGGAAGTACGACACGCACGTGTCCTTGGCGTTGCGGCAGACGTACACCATCTGCAGACAGGGGTGGCTCAGTACAACGGCGCGGGGGCCGCGGCTACCGCGCGTTACGTGTTAAGTGGACGGCGCACCTTGGCCTTGCACTTGGGGTCCTGCAGCTGCGTGGGCAGCAGCTGGTACGGCAGGTGTGTCTTGACGAAGCGGCGGCCCGGCAGGCGGTCGATGAAGCCCACCGAGTCCGTGACGAACTCGGGCAGCTCCGGCATGGGGATGTCCATGGTGCGGTAGTCGAACAGGGCGGTGTGGCTGGCGGGGAATCAGGTGCTTCACGTGAGAAGGAAACCCAGAGACCGAGTTCGGGATGCTTTTCCCCTTTTCGGATCAAGCACTCACTCAATGAAGGGGAAGCGCTCGGGGAGGTTGACCTTGGCGCCGGCGTAGTCGAGGTCGTTGCCGATCAGCCACACCATCTCCTGGGTCCACGTCGTGCCTGCGCGTACAAGTACACTGGTGCATTAGTATGAATTAGTGGGTCGAAAGTCGAAAAGGCGCTCCAGCCGGCTCCAGCATCGTGGCGGCAGTGCTTTTTTATTCGTTCCTTTTTTGCTCCAGACAGGTGCGGATGGATGGCTGCGGTGGCCATACGCGCTGCACGCGTTGACCGACCGACCACGGGCCTGGAAAGCAGTGCCAATAACGCAAGCCTTGCCTGTCCTGTGGATAGCGGCCGCGCTTTAATTGGCGCCCTGTGAATAATGTCGCCTTGCGGTGGAGTGGCGTGGCTGGCAGCCAAGCACAGCCAGGACGGGGCGTGATTCACGGCAGGCAGCGCGCAGCGAGAGCGAGAGAGACAGAGCGACGCCCCAGCGCTCAGAATCATTCGGCAGGGGCGTTAGCGTCCAAGTCTCAAAAACGTGTCCATAGAGTGACGGCCGCCTGGGCGTCTGGCACACTGACCCTGTGCCTGTGGACGTGGCCGTGGGGTGCTGGACCCACGCCTTATCGGTCGCACCGCGACAGTCTGCGAGGTCTGCGACCACGTCGCGCGGTGGCGGCGCTCGTCGGTGCCTTCGCGTCTGCCCATCCATCCATGACAGCAAACACTTCGATATCTTTACGACCGCGCTCGCGTGAGAGTATATGCTAATCGCTGCTGCAAACTGCCACACACGCGCGTCCCGCCGCGTCGCGCGCTCGCAAGAAACACAGGCTGACGTCTCCGGCGCGGCCGGCCGCCGCGCGACTGGATGCGTTTCACGAGGCATTCCACAATGCGTTCCTCCCGTTCTTGCCGCCAGCTGCCAGCGCGGCCGGCTTTGGGGGTGAAAGTCCGGAAGGGCCAGAGTGGCCAGAGGCGGGCGGCGGGCGCGGCCAGCAGACGGGGGCGTCGAAGCCGAGGTGGGCAAGCCGCATGCAGCACTGGCGGCGGGCTGCCTACCTCCACGGCGGTGTCCGCTGGAGGGAGGAACGAGACAAACCACCGCCCTAACCTGTCTTGGGGAAGCTGACGACCCAGACGTCGTCGTCGCGGACCCTCGCAGCGCGCACCAGGGGCCCGAGCTCGCGGAAGTAGCCGGTCATGGTGACGGGCTTGGCGGGCTTGGCGGGCTTGGCGGTCTCGGCGTCGTCCCCGGCGACCGTCACGGACACGTAGCCCAGTGGCCGGAAGACCGGCCTGAAGAACTCGTCGAGGTGGCGGCCCGCGGCGCCACCCACGTCCGCGAACTGGAGGGCACCCTGGGCCCTGCCCTGGTCGGCGGTCTCGGCGGTCTCGGTCGGCGGCATGGCGGTGCACTCGTGTCGCGGCGCGGTCGGGGCTGCAGAGGTGACTGCGTCGACGTACGACGTGCGATTGTCCGGAGCCCGGAGCGGAGCGACCGACAAAAGTGAAGGTCCACGCCGTCCACCCGGCGGGGCGAGGGGCGGCGCGGGCCGGCGGGCACACAAACACAGTCAACAGTGGCGTCGCAGCGCCCAGCGCCGCCAGCCCACCGCCACGCCTCGCCCCGCCTCGGCTCTTCGAATCCATTACACACTTTGGAGACTCATCGTAGCCAATCAGCGCCACAAAGGCCCGCCAAAGTCGCGCCGGGCGACGTCTAGCTTCCTAGTGGACTTCCCTCCAGGACACCCAGACGTGGCTCTGTGTTTGACGTTCCGCGACAGGCGGCACGCCCCGGTCCGGTCTCGACAACAAAGCCGAGAAGGCGAACTCGACGAACGACGGGAGGCCCGTTTTGTGTCTGCTTGTCCCGGGCGATGCGCGCCGCCCCGCTCTAGGCTCTAGCGTGCATGCCGATGTGCCGGGCGGCGCGGCGTGACGCGGCTCAAGGTCACCGCTCTCCACGCCAATCATGTCCGGCGCGCTTTTTCAGGGCAGACCCAGGCGTACCCGACGGTGCCGTCCCAGCGCATCATCGGCCACATGACGGCGACGGTGGCGACCTCGCCGTGGTGGCGGTGGCGTCTGCCCTTCCAAAGTACTCCTGTCCACGTGGCCGGGTGGCCGCCGTCGCCAGGGGCCGCCATTTCGGTCCCGCCCTCCAAGAAGCGCACGAGGTGCACCGCGGCCAAACACGCCGACGCGATGACTCGCAGGGTAAGATTGGCGTGAACGCCCCACTGCCGCATTTCGGGGCTGCGTCCGCGAGCGTGCCCCTTGTCACGCCCGCGGCCCAGACAGCACAGACCTGCGGCCAGTGGCGGGAAGAGGAGGGGGTGGGGATGCTGAGCGGAGTGGCTGACCAGACGGCGTGCGTCCGGGCCGCCCGTCTTGTCCATCGGAGTGCCCGGCATACCCCGCGTGCCAGGCCGTGCCAGGGTGGGAGGTAGCCCTTCCGCGTCGCGGCCCGCAGGCCCCGCAGGCCCCGCGGAGCCCCGCCCCACGGGGGGCCCAGGCCGCAGGGAAAGGACTTGCGCCACGTCCGCTGTCGACCGACTAACGACCTAAGCGCGCCCCGCCGCCCCGCCCGCGAGCCGCGAGCACTGTCCCCAGCCCCGGCCGATGTCCCGACTGTCCGCTGCACGAGCACGAGCCACCACCAGCCACTCCCGGCCCCAGGCCCGAGGGGTGCCAGCCCGGTGCCAGGGGTTTGCCCGGCTCTCCCCTTCAATTAATTTTCTAATTGGGTGGAGTGGCGCACGCAGCAATGGGAGTTTACTCTGCAAACCCATAGTTATGGCCATAGCTATAGCTAAAGCCATTGACTTAACTAGGTTCGAATCAGGGGCCATCGCGATGCCAATACTGGAGCAATTAATGAGATATTGCAGTTGATTGCTATATTTTGCTACTGTTACATTATTGCTATTGCTATTACTATTACTATGGCTATTGCTATTGCTGTTGCTATTGCAGTCCTCCCCTGATTCGAAACGAGTCAGGCGCAAACGCAGTCTCACCTGTCTTGGGGTGCGACACGACCCAGACGTCGTCGTCCCTGACGTCCATGTCCAGGATGGTCTGCGCCAGGTCGCCGAACCGCGCCGGCATGGCGCATTTGGTGGGGCCGCACTGGAGGTAGCCCTTGCGCCAGGCGGGCATGAAGTACTTCTGCAGCAGACCGCCCTCGCGCCCCGAGGGGTCCACGGGCACCAGCGACACGGGCGTCACGGCGGGCATGGCGTCGGCGGGGAGTGGCGGCACCTGCGGCACCACGACAAGCTACTCTGTGAAAACAGTTGGCGGCTGACGATGCTTTGGGGGGCAGCCTGACCAGCCTGACGCAAGAAAGGAAGTCTGCGTGGTCAGCATTTCGATGCGCGTCGCCTGCATTGCGCGCGTCGAGTCGGGCCGCGCCGCGACCAGCCGCGACGCGGGAATGCATAAAGTCCAGGCGCGGCGATCCGACAAAAGCCAAGCCGGCAAGTACTTCACACCAATTCTCGGCAGACAGAAACTGGAAAGGAACAAGGCGCTGCCAGGCAAATGCCGGCAAAAACCGCTCCAACTCCGCGCTGGCCGCGAGAAAACCATGGGCGTGGAGGTCACGAGATTCCGCGGACACCTGGCCTGGCCTGGCCTGGCTCCTTCTCCTGGCGCGGCTCTGGAAGACGGAGACGGCAGGGAATCGGGCACAGGGTCGCCGTCGGCAGCCGTCGGCCCTCTCGCGGTGCATGACGGCGGCGGGGCGGGATGGTCATTTGGAGGCGCTGGCCGACGCTAACTCGGGACAGCCAGCCTCATTGAAGCTCCTTGGAGTGGAGCACTTGGAGAACGTCGTCACCGCGGTCGCCGTCGTCGCCGTCGTCGCCTAGCCCCTCCGAGATGGCATGCATCCTTATGCAACTCCTGCGGGCTGATTCCGAGATTCGTTTACGTCGCTGTCTCCCTCGCGCTCATGAAGTGTCCTCTACTCTACAAACTCAAGTGTGTACATAGTACACTCCACCTGGAGTAAACATGCATGTACACTTCAACCTGGAGTGTACTTAGCATGTACACTTCAACCTGGGTGTACTGGCATGTACACTCCAGTTGGCGTGTACCTCAGGTACACTGTTTCGGCTGCCGCTGCGGTATGAGCCACCTGCCATGTACTTGGCAGTACACGCCAACCTGAGTGTACATGCCATACCTCCAGGTGATGTACATGCAAGTACACTCCAGGTTGAAGTGTACATGCAAGTACACTCCAGGTGAAGTGTACTATGTACACACTTGAGTTTGTAGAGTACAGGTGCGAGAGAGACAGAGAGACGAATGCGGCTCTCGGAATCCGTCTGCTGTGCGCAGTCCAAGCATGTCCAAGCTTTATGTGCTCTGCCTCCGCCAGCACTACCACTGGTGTCGCAGTCACGTCCATGCCAGTGAGGCTGTGCGGCTGGGCGGCTGGGTGTGACCTGCCACAGAGGCGTTGTCAACCAGCTATTTCCACCGTCGGCTTGGCATGCCGCTGCATCGTCCAACCACTAAATTATCTCGCCGCAATTATTGTCCCTGTTGATCGTGTGCAAACGGCTCCCCGGCCCCATCCAGTGCGTTCGTAATCGTTACGCACACCTTACACGCCGCGTTAAGTGACTCGATTGGAGAGATAAGGAGTCTGCCGACTGATTCCGTGCTCTGCTTCCCTCGCTCTGTCTCTCTCGCACTCATATGGCTGTCCGTAAGGGTGCGAGAGAGACAGAGTGACGAGTAGTGCTCGGAATCAGCCCGTTGTCGGCGTGCGCGCCAGGGTTGCCTAGCCTCGTTCCTAGTGGTTGGCGTCCAGGCCGTCCAGGCCCCGGAGGGGGGAGGGAAGCCCCTCAATGGAAGCCAGAGCGGGCTGCGCGTTCGCGCTCGCCGCCAGTTGGTCTCAGTCCGAAGAGTGCATCGTCGCGCTGCCTCTCTCGCGCCCCTCCGGAACGCCCTGTGAATGAAAGAGGGAGACAGAGCGGCGTTAGGCCCGCTGTTCGGAGCCAGCCGGCAGGCACTGACCTCACCCATTCCGCTCCGACACTCTATTAAGTTTCCCGTTTCAAGTGACCATGAGCGCGGCTGGCGGCACAGTGGCGGCGCAGTGGCGGCGCATGTCCCCCCATCAAGCAGCACACAGCGGCGGCCATCGGCCGGCCGGCCCGGAGGGACTCTAGGCCAAACCTGGCCGCGTCGTCGTCGCGTCATCGCGTGTGTGCCAGAGTGTGCGTCGCACCGTCGCCTGAGTCCGAAGGATCGCCTCGTCGCCCTGTCTCTCTCGCACCCATGGAGCGCCTCGCAGGGGTGCGAGAGAGACAGAGCGACGAGGAGATCCTTCGGACTCGGGCGGCAGCGGGGGCACGGGGAACGCCCTTGTTTGTCAGTCAATATTGTTTTTCTTTTTCCTTTGTCCTTCTTTTTTGTGGTTTACTTTGCGAGGTTATTCCGCGTGAAGCGCGGCGGCGGCGCGGCCTGGTCTGGTCCATAGGTGGGGGGCTGGGATCCGATTATCATTTATTATTATACACCGCACGGCAAATCACTGCCAACAGGCTGCCAATTCGCAGTCCAAGCGGCAGCACACTCCGCCTTCCCGCCCTGGCAGCCCGAGCAACACCGCACGTCGCAATCCCGCACGCGCGCCCCTTCAAAGTCGCGAACCCGAACCCGCGCGGCCCTTTCTTCGCCGCCTCGCCGCTTGGCCGCGTCGACGGCCTTCCCTTTGTGCTCGCCACCCATACAGCGCACCCATGAGTGCGGGAGAGACAGAGCGACGAAAACGGAATCTCGGAATCAGTGTGCAGTCCGCCACCCGCGGAGACCGATAACGCCCGGCCGCCACACGGCCCCGACAAACACGGATGGCGGCGGGCGGCCCGAACTGTGTCAAGATTTTCGTACAGTACACACCACACTCTACGACACGTTGTTTGGTTCGCTTCCTGTCTAGGCGCCCTGCTAGGTAGGTCCTTCTGCGGGGCTTTCTCCGCCCTCTTGGTCGGGAGGAACGTGCAGCACAAATTCGGGGGAGTCGGTTCGGTGCCGCTGCGTGGCGGCGGGTACATTCCGAAGCGCCACGGTCTTAACTAGAAACCGGCAAAGTGCCGAGGGAAGGCGAGGGAAGGCCCGCCTGCGCCGAGCGAAAACAAGAAAACAAGCGCAGCAACAAGGTGCACACAGGCGAGAATGTCAGCAACAAACAGAAAACAAGGCGTCGGGGAAAATGTGTTGAGTCACAGGTGTGTGCTCTGGGTGCAGCGGTGCAGCGCCGGTACCTGTTGCGCGTCTCCGAGGTGGCGGGGCTGCGGAGCTGCGGGTGGCAGCGGGGCGCTGGCGTGCTCGGCGGCGTGGACGGCGTCCAACGGCGTCCTGGTCGTCGCGCTGCTCCGCGCCGCTGGTGAACTTCCCCGCGACTGCAGCCAGCCGGTGCGCGGACTGGGCGGCCTGGGCGGCCCGCGGGACAACGTACCCAACGCACGCCACGCCACGCTCCGCCACGCCACGCTATCAAAACGCCCCGACCGAGCCGATGCGCCGGCCGCGTCCGCAGCGCGTCGCCGAGCTATTCGGGTTCGGGGGGCGCGAGTCGCGAGCTAAAGGCGGGAAGGGGCAGGGGCAGGGGCAGCAGGGGGCCAGGCCGAGGGCGACCACCAGACGGCTCGCCTCTTTACTTAGCCGCCGCGTGCATCGGCTGGGCTCGGCATCAACACTCGGCTCGGCTCGTCACGCGACGACGCGACGCGGCGCGCAACTCGGGGGCAAGGCGACGCACGGCGAGGCACGGCGAGGCACGGCGGCGGGGGCACGCAAGGCCTCCTGGGGCGCCGCGGGGGCCACCACCACCACCGCCTCCGTTGCCACCACTGCCAAGCCCGAGGCCCTCCGCGAGGCGCCGGCCCGTCAGCTGACTCGGCCCGGGTCCTGGTGGTCCTGGCAGCACGAGGTCCCCGCGATGCACCGGCACCAGGACGGACTGGTCCACCTTCCGAACGCCCTTGGCCTTTGCGGGACCGGAAGGCAACGACATCACGGACGACACAGTGGGCCAGCCGGGGTCACGTCATCTCGTGTCGCGTCGTGGCAGCAGACGCCGATAAACAAGACGAATCCCTTCGTAGTGGAAAGGGGTGACCACTGACCACCGCGGCCGCGCCTATCGGAGCAGTGACCCGCGGCCGAGAGGGGGGGGGAGGGGGGCTGCCCACCCCACCAGTGCAGTGCAGTGCAGCGCAGCGCAGCGCAATGCAGCGTGGGGGAACACACGAGCGCAGTGCTTCGAATCGCGCGCGCCATGCATAGTTGGAGGAGACTTTTGTACGGTACATTTCTCATAGCCGCTCCAGTCCTGTCGTCTGCACCGTCGGCTGCGACGTCGACGTCAGCGTTCAACATCACCATGTCTGGAACGGCTGAAAAGAAGTTGGCTTGGGCTCTGGCGGCCGAAGCGAAGGGAAAAACTGATTATTCGCGAAAGCATGAGAAAGCGATTGAGTATGGGACGGCCGGTTTTCGGTCCAAGTAAGTAGAATGTATGGCATGACAGGTCTCGAGAGAGAATCGCCATCAGGTGGGAGGTGTGTGGGAGGTTATCTTGATGTTAAGCAATATGTTGTTTGTTTCAGAGCTGTCGACCTGGACCATGTCTTGTACAGAATCGGAATCCTTGCCGCCCTGAGGTCTCGTGTAAAAGGAGCGACAATCGGGGTCATGATAACTGCTTCCCACAACCCGGTTGCTGACAACGGAGTGAAAATTGTAAGCTGGGTTGGGTACTTTCTCTTCACATTCTGTCCTTAGTTTCGAACTTTATGAATGAACTCATACACGTTATTTGTTTCAGGTTGATCCTTCAGGTGAAATGTTGGAAATACTGTGGGAGACCATTGCAACAAACTTGGCAAACGTGAAGGATGATGAGCTTAGTGCAACTATTATTCAGATTGTCGACCAAGAGAAAATTGATCTTGACAAGCCAGCAAGTGTCTACTTTGGGAGGGACACCAGGTCAAACATTACCTCTGCATGCTCTAAAAACTTGCTCTTTTATTTAAATATTTATATTTCTGTAACTTATGTATTTACAGACCCAGCAGTCCACACTTGTCAAATGCTGCTGTAGAAGGAAGTACACTTTTCAATGCCTCAGTGAAAGACTTTGGGATTGTCACAACACCAATGCTTCACTATTTTGTAGCAGCATACAATTCCAACAATGAATATGGGATTCCCACAGCAGAGGGCTATTTCTCAAAGCTAACATCAGCATTCAGGGCTTTCCGCGAAGAGGTAAAACTAAATTATGATAACACTTTTTTTTTTTGCAGATGTTATGTGATGTTGATGCACCTTGTGCTGACATATCTCATGCCAAAGCAAAACTGTTTTATGATAATGCATCACTCAAATATTGACAGGTAATAAGTGAAAGAGGTCCAGACTGTGGAGACTACACCCCCATCATTGTTGCTGACATGGCAAATGGTGTCGGTGGACCAGCAATGGAGCAAATGGCCAAACATCTCAAAGACTTGTTGACCTTTGAATTTTTTAATGTGGGAGAAGGGGAACTCAACCATGAGGTTAGTAATTTTTTTATTCTCTTAATTTTACTTTTGGTCACTCCAAGTCTTAGGTTTACTTTCTATATTTTCCTGTCTGTCTGTCTCTCTCTCCTCATATCCTCTCCCCTGTTTGACTCAGTACTGTTGTACAGTGCCCCATGATAATTGAGGGGGAGGGAGGGGGGATCGGGCGCCCTCCCTCCACTGCAGTTAATTTTACCAGTTGCCCTTGAAAGGTTGAGCCTATCTTTTGGCAAGGGGATGAGGGGGCAGGTGGGTTCCAATGGACGCCTTGCCACTCCACTGTCACTGTCAGTGTTGGACTAGGCCAGCTAACATGCACAGGGCTGCACACTTCCTCTGGGGCAGTTTGTTGGCAGTAGGAACACCATCTGGGACCTTTTGATTTATTTGTGCAAAGTGTAGGGTTTTCAAAATGTCATTGTCATTGGCTCAACGAGTAAGCCAGGCTGCTCTTGTTGATTTAGCTAAAGCAAGAATTAAGGTTTGTTGGTGGAAAGTCTTGAAAACGAGTTTTGTGTTAAGAAATTGCTTCAATGAGGACTTTGATGTGCTTTCCAGTCTGGTGCCGATTATGTGAAAGTGCGTCAAACATTGCCCAAGCGAGTGCGCATCAAATCCAAGGATAGGTGTGTTTCATTTGATGGAGATGCTGACAGAATAGTTTATTACTATCAAGATCAGTCAGTGAAATTCCGATTGCTGGATGGTGACCGTATTGCATCACTAGGTGAGTCAAACTTCATCAGCAAGCTACTGTAGTAATATATTTAATTTGTTCTTTCATTCTATTTGTTTTGAAGCAAGTAGCATTCCAATCCTCGCAAGCACTGCCAATAACTTCAGGCTATCAGCACATTTTGGCAACTTGCCCATGACTCACTGTGTTTAGTCCGTATTTTTGTTTCAAATGATCCTTATTTGTGCTGCAGCAATTTTAAAAGATTTGCTGGTGTCTTCAACTGTTTCTAAAAGAATAATAAAAGTAATAAGTGAGATGGCAACTGTAGTTGTGAAAGGTAACATTTTTGCTTTAAAATAATTTTCAGTGGCTGGATATATTAAAAATTTGTTGGACATCATGGGAATGGAGCTTAATATTGGGGTAGTCCAAACGGCTTATGCCAATGGTGCCTCAACTAAATACATTAAAGAAGTGTTGGTAAGCATAGATCTGGATAAAGAGATGTATTTTTCAAGGGAATTTTGTATGTCACAACATTCATTTATTATTCAGCAAATACCAGTTGCATGTGTCCACACTGGAGTCAAGCATTTACACCACAAGGCACAAGAATTTGATATTGGTATATATTTTGAAGCCAATGGACATGGCACTGTTCTATTTAGCAAAAAAGCCAAGGTGTTAATTAAAGCTTTACGAGAAGACAAGAGGTATTTACTCGTTGATTCCTCTAGCTGTCATAACATTTCAAGCTTAGTTTGTCAACAGGCTACAGTAGGTGAATTCAGTTGTTATAATTCTTCTGTTTACAGGCTAGCTGGTGGTAAAAGGAGTGCTGCTAGGAAGATGCTAACTTTCATCGATATGGTTAATGAGACAACTGGAGATGCCATTGCAGATCTACTCATAGTGGAAACTATTTTGCATGCTAGAGCTTGGAGTGTTGAAACCTGGGAAAATTGTTACACAGATCTACCAAATCGCCAGTTGAAAGTCACTGTGAAGGTATAGTTCCTGGCTAATTAATTTGATGAAAAGTACCACTTTGTAACAGTTTGTTCAAGTAGCAGCTTGAAATTACAGGACCGCAACATTATCAAAGTGATAGATCCACAATGTCACATAGGAGAACCTGAAGGTTTACAGGAAGATTTTGACAGACTGATAGGCTTGTTTGCAGATGGGAGAGCTTTCGTCAGGTTTGTTACACTTACTCCCATAAAAATTGACGTTCCACACATGACTTCACAGAAAATGCTGATTCAGATTTTTTCTATCCATTGTAGACCATCAGGTACGGAGGACGTAGTTAGAGTGTATGCGGAAGCTAACACTCAAGCAAATGCAGACAAATTAGCCGTGCACATTGCCAAGCTGGTCCATCAGAAGGCTGGTGGCATAGGGGATCCTCCAACATGGGTCATTCAACAATGAACAAAAGTGTCTTTGTACCTACTGGACTTCTGCGCAAAAGTGAAGTGGCATCTTTTGAAGAATAATGAAGTTTTCTTTACAAGGATAGCATCACAACTGCAACTGTCCTAGACTGATTACTAAGATATCACTCAGCCAAATGCTCAAGATTTATGGTGATAGGGAATTTTATTTTCACTTTTCTTTTCTCAGTTGTTATTATTCACGATTAACTGAGCTATTTTTTATACTTAATTTTGGGTGATGGTTAGAGTAAGTTATTTGCAACAAGTTGCAGCCTCCCATAGTCTGTAGACAGCACCACTTATTTTTTTATGAACTGATAATGGTGCATTTGCACTTCTTTTTTATAGCGATGGTTACTTTTTTACAGAGTATATAAATTGTTACTTCTGATGTATTATTTGGGTGTGTTTTCTTTTTTTACACATTCCATTAGAAATAGCCAGATTGAAATAAAGATTAATCATACATTTAACTTCAGAGCCCACATTTTTATAATATCACATTCACTTTATATTTACAAAAATAGTTTATAAATATTTCTTAAAAACGATTTAATAAAGTTGTGGCTATTTTAGTTGGATGTTGCTCATCAAGTGCACGAAATTCAAGAGCACATTTCTTTCTTCCCACCACACAATCAACTTCATTGTACAGTAAAGCCTGAAAATAAACATAACGAAAAAAGGGAAAAGAATATCAGATTATCATTTTCAGAATTTTAGCATAATTTTGGATGGTGGGAGAGGGCAGTAACAATTTACCTGCAAGTAGAGGACATCCTTCACCCTTGATGTTGCTTCAACTTGGTTAAAGAGGCTTTTGGATCTCTCCAGTGTGCTGATAGCCTCAGTTACAATGTTATGTCTTTCTGCCTGACTTGTTGGAGATGCAGTTGCTGCTGCCACTCGACATTTTGCAAGTAAAAGTAAAGCTCTTGCTCTATCATATGCTCCACCATGAGCCAACACAACCAATAACCATTCATCTAGGAGTCTCAGTGCTTGTGTTGGCAACCCAAGTTGAAGCTAGGAATAAAAAGGAATAAAAAATAAAGTATAAGGTTAAAAATAACAAAAGCGAGTGCAATATTTTCTATCATTTTACCTGCAGATGTGCTAAGTGGCATGCAACAATAGCTGCAAGGCTGTCCAAATAGTTCTGCTGGGCCAGAGCCAATGCAGTGGTAAGAACACAAACAGCTGTGGCAGGACCTGGTCCATTGATATGATGAGCTTCAGAAGTAAGAACTAGAGCACGAATTCTTAAAGCCAACCTGGCTCCTCCATTGCCTTGCGCACTGTTTATACCAATGCCACATCCCAACTCAGTCTCACAAGTTGGATTATCCAGGACCGGATGAACAGCAGCAGAAGCTCCCACAGCATCACCCTTGGAGAGCAAAAGTTCTCCTTTTCTAAATCATAGAGAAAAGGAAGGTTTTTAAGGAGTCTTTTTCGGCCGTACATACAGTGAGAGAAACTGTCACTCACCTCAACAAACTGTCCCATTTGTGGACAGAAGACATGCGAGTAACAGCCTGCTCTGCTTCTTGCCAACGACCATTGTGCAAGGCTTCAAAGAAGTACAGAAGCTGTTCCGTATACATCCAAGCATGAGACATAGGTTCATGAGGAAACTGTTGACGTGCATGTTGTAATAAAACTGATGCCAGTTGATATTTGCCCTAAAATTTTGAATTAGATTATTTATTTAACTAAAAGGGACAAGAAGGGAAAAGAATCAAGACCATTATCTTACTTCTTGAATGAAATTGTTAGCTACACAGCACAGGGCAAGACAAGTGCTTTCACCACTGAAACCAGATTGTGGCATTAGGGCAGCATCAGGAGTATGCAAGCGGAGTAAGAGTTGACTGGAAAGCGAGCTCATTTCCATTTTGCCATACAAGAGCCACAGAGCAGCCTTCTGAGCAAAACTGTTTGCCAACAATTCTAGCAAAGAGTTCTGACAGTTTAATGCATCACTCTTCATCAAGACCTGTAAATTATTAATTTCTTGATTAAAGGGATCATTTATGGGAGTATTACCATTGGCAGAACATGAATCAAACTGAAAATAGGTTACTTCAAACACTAATGCTGGTTTTGTCCCTGCAATGCCAGCACATTGAGCAGATGACTGAATACCAAGGCTCGTTAAATAGCTGAGTTTCAGATCAGAACTTCGGTTAATAGAACGTTGAATTAAGACATCCTGGGGGAGAAAAATAATTTTAGAATACTTTCTATAAGACTTTCTTCTCTCTTAAAGCACTGAGCTAAATTTACCTTATTGTTTCGACTTAATCTGTACAACCAAGTTTGTGCATGCTGAAGACAGACGTCATCATTAGCTTCATGGGCCATTTGAACTGCCTCTCTCAATGCACACAATGCCTCTCCTCTAAAAGTCAATTGTTTTATTATTATAACAAACCTTTCAACTTAAAACAATACAAAATAATGAGTTTTTATAAATACATACTTCTGTCCGAACTGAGCATGAAGAATGGCTAGGTTTAAAGTGGCATAACGGAAGCTTCTGTTTTTATCATCAGTGGAATTGTTGCTCGCAGCCAGTGCCGTATTGCGGTCAAAACAGTGGAAGAGGCTATCGATTGCTCCACAATATTCCCGCACTCTCAAGCAATTCAAATAACTGAGGTAATGCTGGACAAAAGCAAAATAATGCGATATTGAGTTGTAGATCAAGAACAAAGAAAACAAAGATAAATGAAAGGCAGATTACATACTGCCTCAGCATAGTCAGGATTTGCTTGAAGGATATCCCTTATTTTGTCTTGAAGTTTTGGTGGAGGCAGGGCAAGACTCTCATTATTTTGCAGAAGATTGACTTGTTGAGCTATAAATAGCTCTGCTTGTCTTCTAGTCCAGCTAACAGCTTCTCCTTCACTAGATGGTAAACAAAATGAATGCTACTTGAAAACAAGGCATGCTTCAATCAATCTATGACTTTATTATTTATTTATAAAGAACAAAAAGAAGAGGGAAATACAGGCATTTATATTACTTACAGTGCCATTAGTTCTGTCTTCATTCCCACTCCTATTGGACTGCTGCACTTGTACTCACTATCAATACCCATGGTAGATGAAAGATGCATATTTTCCGAAAGCATAGAATCTCCTACAGTGGATGATGCTCCAACTGCTGGATTATCAAGAGGGCCTCCAAGATCTGTTCCTGCCACTTTTGCTCGAAAATAATAAGCTTTAAATGAACGGTAGACAGCAACAACTTGCGAAAAGGTAAGCTTGTCAAAAAATATAATTATTCGTCGAAGAAATAATCCTATAATAAGACAAAACCGTATAAGATTCATATAGCACAAGAAAAGCCATTGTCTAAGTTTATTGCCAGAAAAAAACAAACAATCTACCTATAATACTGCTCTTATTTACAACAGGTTGAAGTAAAGCTGAATCGGAAAAGACAGTGACGTTGAGATCATGTATGAGCGACTGAATGGCACATACTCCACCCTCATTAATTTCAGCAAGAGTCCTTTTGAGCGCTGAAATGTGAGCTGGGAGCCATGTATACTGGCCAGAGTGTAACAGACCCATAAATTCTGACAATTCCATATCAGGGCACTGAAAAATCAAGTATGTTACTGTTATAGAAAAGAAGGAATGTTGATGCTCACATTGGAAGGTACAGAAATTTCAAATTGAAATTTACCTGGATTAATTTGAGAACAAGCATACAAAAATCTCTACGATGAACAGCCTCCACACTGTAGAATGATCCATCTTCGCAAGTGAGAAGTTGGCCTGGTCGAGCTGAAATCCAAGTTTAGGTTAGCACAGACCAATAGAATACTCAGAATTTAAACAATTTCTGAGACTTACCTTTGGCTTTTATCATGCAAAACTCTTTGATAAATAAGACAACTGCTATTTTGTGAGGGGTTATGTTTTCTCTAAGTAGTGTCTTCTGGTTACTAACAGGATTGAGAAACTCTCTTGCAGCCATTTCTTAGGTTAAACCTAAATTACGTTTACGTAATGAAATAAGAATTGAACTTAAGAAAGGTGCATGACACTTAGACTGTCGCCTTGTTTATCCCCCAAAGAAACAAGCAAACATTTGTTGTCATACACACTCTGTGATTCAAACTTTCATTCAAAACGACCGGCCGACTTGAGGTACGTTCTGGTAACTTGTATGACCGCGACCGTCTTTGACCGGTGCAACATGGCCCTTAAAGGAACGCACCCATCTCAAACATAGACCATAAACAAAAAGGATCAAACTACAAATTGAAGAGTTTTTTCCCCTTCGTTCCATTTACGAAGTTATCTTGAATCATGGCATCCGTACCGTAGCCCAATGAAGTGAAATTTATGACCTGCAGCACTACTCGTCACGAAGTGTCTATTTTTTTTTCGACGAAGCTGTCATGGGTCGCCGTTAACCTAGACGGTCCACGTATTCGTGTCAAGTTCTCTGTTAATTACACTGCTTGCTTCGTGTTTGAAATATGGTAAGACAGAAGATGTTGGCCAAGACGTCGCGAATCGTTGCCCTCTGCTCCATTGCCAACTTCATCAATGCCGCGGACCGAGTCATCATGCCCATTGCCATAGTGCCCATGACAGATGAGTACAAGTGGTCTCTTCATTGGCAAGGATGGATCCTGTCCGCATTTGCGTTTGGTTATTTTACCAGCCAGGTAATTATTGGAAAATGTGTCTAGCTTCGTTCGTCTTGACGCATGTCACATTGACTCCCTCCGCTTTCCCTTGCTATTTGGCAGGGGTGCAAACAGATGTTGTACTATGTTTGTTGTTCCTTTCACTGTTTCAGATTATAGGCGCTTGTGCAGCTAACCGTTTTGGAGGCAAATTAGTCCTTTTGTTTGCTGTGTTTCTGTGGTCTGTATCAACCACTATAACTCCTCTCCTGGCGACTTCAGTTCCAGCTCTTATATTCTGTCGGGTCCTCCTGGGCCTCGGTGAAGGATTGGGTAAGCTTTCCTTTGAATTGCAATCAACTATCATGGCAATTATCAGCTTCAATTCACAATACTTTATCCTCATTCATTTTAGGATTGCCAACAATATTTCACATATTTGCACATAGTGTTCCCATAGAGGAAAGATCTCGCGCCTTTGGCTATCTTGTTGCTGCAGGATCTGTTGGACAATTTGCAGCCTCTGTTGTAAGGACAATATTATTTCTGAGATAGCCTATTAATTGCAGATTCCTGACATACTGTGATAATTATTTTTAACCTTGCTTTTGATTCACAGTTGTGTCCTCATCTTGCATGGCAAACTGGTTTTTATCTGTTTGGAACCCTTGGAATTACGTGGGTTCTTATTTGGTTAATGTTATACCATGATAACTCTAGTACTTCAGCTGATGAAATACCATTATTTGTTCCTAAGGTGCGTTATCGACGTCAATATATCCCTTGTAGATTTTTTTATAACACAATTTTAAAATTTTAATGTGTTGCTTTCTTTAGGTCACCAACCCCAATGTTCAGTGGTGTGAGTTTGTCAGCCATTGGCCATTATGGGCATTGTATATAGCACATTTTGCTATGAATTGGTCAAATTACATTATCATGCAGTGGTTACCAACGTATTTGGCCCGAAATCTTGGTGCCAACAAAGAAAGCATAAGTCTAACTGCTGTACCCTATGTGGTCAACTCCTTGACAGGAATTCGTAAGTCTTTTCTTTTCTTAATCAGTTTGAGAGATTTTATATTTATTTACTTCTTGGAACTGACTCCTTTTCTTTGTGTTGTAGTTTCAGGCCATTTCGCTGACACATTAATACTACGTCGGTGGACTGTCCTCTCTGTGCGAAGACTGATGACCATCCTAGGACTTCTTGGGCCTGGAATTTTCTTGCTGGCATTTTGTGCCGTTGACAACATGCTGGCTGCAGTTATGTAAGTGATTTCAATACCCTCATTTGTCATTCACTTGCAAAACATTTTATTTGCTACAACTTTTTGTATGTTTCAGTATTGTTTCCATATCAATGGGTATGTGTGCTTGCAATTCAGCTGGACATCTTAGCAATCATGCTGACATTGCTCCAAATCATGCAGGAGTGACATTTGCCATTTCAAATACACTGGTTTGTTGAGTTTATAATGAACTTCTAGTCTTATGATATTATAATATGTAATAAATCTATCTCATTTCTTCCTTTTTCGGCAGGCAACAATCCCAGGAATTTTATGTGGACCTTTGACTGCAGAATTAGTGACACAATCTCATGGAAGATGGTTTCCTGTATTTGTTTTGGCTGCAGGCATCAACTTCACTGGTGCTATAATTTATGTGAGCCAAAGCTCAGCTTCACAAGTTCTATGACCTCATAATCATATCACAAGATCAAGATGCTCTTCATTTCAGAACGAAAATTAAGGTGAATCTTAGGCACTGATATTGAAAATATTTCAGCGTGCAGGAAATGTGGTGATACATCAAGACTCTGTGTACCGAATTTAGTGTTAAGCTGCCTATAATAATAAGGTTTATGATTTGTACAGATTATCCACATGTGATATAATGTTTCTTCAAGATGAATTATTGAAACAACCTGAAAGAATTCAGGCTTTTTGAGTGGGTTTTAATGGCATTGGGGCTAGGTTTTGTACTTATTCAGTGAAATGCTGAATATGACAATGGACAGGGTACTCCTGCGAAATGATACCTCACAAGAATGAGATCCTCTAGTCTCCAGAAGTGTGAAATCTGTGTGTGTTCTATGTTTATTCTTGTAACATTTGGGGTGTTCCTCCAAACAGCATGCTGGGGCATGAAGGCACTTTTCAAGTTACTTTTGTGATATTGAGCTAGTTTTTCCATTTAGATGCTCTGAATAGCAGAAAAAGAGATGCTTCTGATATTTGGACGAATTTAAGACTTGTGGCAGCATTATTTTGCCTAAAAATTTCATTTACATTAAGTTGACATAAAAATAGTGATAATTTTGAGATCTATTATGAGGGAATTATTATACATGCTCACTCTAGAATTACTCAAGTGAGAATCACCTCCATTTTTCTGAATCATATTTCACCTTAACTTCGTAACTAATTGATGTAGGTGAAACCTTTCCTTTTTGTTGTGTAATCCTTGTTGGTCCGTGATAGAGTGCCAAAGATCGAGGATGGCACTGGACCAGGAATGACTTGAAGAAGGGGTGCGGAGAAGTTGTTTAAATACAGCAGGTGATGAAATTTCAAACAATCATGAATAATTTGCTTCCTTAACTGGAGTATTTGTGAAATTATTTCGGTTGTGGATGATATCAAAGATTAATGTTTATCTTATCACCTAATTTATCCATATATTGTGATGCTCTATTAAAATAGCAATCAATTTTCTTGGCTTAAGGCGTGCCTGGAGTTGCACCATGGCACTCCTAATGTCCATCCATCCCCTCCGCAACTTAATTATGTCTTTGAGCAAGTTGTACTCTGAGATTAGTTATTGTAAAAAAATGGACTGTAAATATAGAGGAAAATATTTTATTTGCTTGTTACTGATATTTTATTTGTACTTTCATGTGTTTCTCTCGTGCCTTCCACACTAAAAGAAAAGTATGACTTCCTTGTGATTATTTTGTTGAAATAAGAAGTCGTCAAAAAATTAAATATACATGTATTATTTATATTTTTTCTCCTTTCAATCATTTAACATATTACACAGTACTAAGTCTTTCTGGTAGTACTTTAGCCACCTTCCTCAGTTCTTTTATGTGTGTCTTAGGGCACTGCATCTCTGTCCAGCTCACTGGCACCATGGACATTCCTGAAATAAGGAGAAATTGGTGGTAAAATTCGACCAGTTATCAATATATAGCAACTGATAAGGGCGTAACAAACAAATTTAAATTACCCTCTTCACTGTCAGCTAACACCACTCCTAGTTCATCTTCAGCAGTAGAAAGCTGGTAGGAATGGACCTCAGTCATGGGTAACTATGTTCTTGATAAGGATATACAAAACAACAATGATGTGGCTATTTTCAAATTCTTTGTAAACAGAAAGTGAGAAGTCATCAGTCAAAGACAAAGAGAGAAAATGGACAAGGAAAGTGCTTGATAAGGATACAACTCTGGCTAAAATAATGTCTCCTGGACGGAAGCATTTAATCATTTCAACTTTGTCTTTTTCTGTTGCTCGCACATCTTCCTTGCGCAGCATGCCTCGATAAGGACGAGATAGCACAGTGTCGCCTATACACTTTATAATACATTTGCAGAAACGTTGCTTCACTAATGTGATCTGGAAAATAGATATATTATTCAGAAACCCTTAATAATATACCACAAAGTGTGGCGAATGAGCACCATACCTTAGCCGTCACTATATCCCCAGGAGCAGGGACTATACTTTGTTCATTAGAACTGCGCACTTCTATCAAAGAAGCCTGTTTGAAGTAAAATAACGAAAAGCATTACTGCATAATAAAAAAGGTTTCATTAAAAAAATTCAAATGAAAATCAAGAAATATTTACTAACTTTGTCTTGTTTTACAACCTTCACAACACCAGCTAGAGTCGCATAAATGTATCCTAAGCGTTCGTATGTGCCACGACCTGACAAATGGCTTTTGTCAGCTATACTGAGCCGTTGGCCTGAAACAAACAGAAAATTATAATGAAAGCTTCAATTCTGTGAGAAAAATCTCCTATATTAAGGTATGATTTGAAGAAATATTATATCACTGTGGAGGTAAACATGCGGCAGTGCAGGTTAGATTGACTCAGATGACAATTAGTACACAACCAGGACTTACCTGGGACACAGACGAGCGTTTCATTATTCATGGCTGAAATTGATGAAAAAAATCGAGTAGAGGCTTAAGCTACCATAAGTCAAATTAATCGAGTCATTAGCCGATAAATTTAAAAGATGCGGTGAGGGGATCAGGATCAACACTTTCTTTCTGCTAGAAGGTTGACAAAGCTAGCAAATTAAGCAGAATCAAAATTTATTGTGAAAAACAAAATCGAACTGGTATTTTCTGTGAAACATGATTCTAAATTAAAAATGAATATATCATGTTTCCTTCGTTCGAAGCCAAAATCGTTAGGTTCCCTGAATTTTCAGAAAGTTTAGAGTGTGTTGAGTTGGCACCTACTGCATTCGTCTGACGTCACGTTGTCACGTTGTTGTGACGACGTGACAAGACAAAGGGAAAGGGGATGTTTCTTTGTTGATGTTGATTGTTGTTTGTAGCGTGTGCAGTCAGATCAAAATCCATCAAAGGCACGAAAATAAAGAAGTTTCCTCTGTTCCACAATGCTTCCTTTCAAATCTTTTGTTATACTTGATTTGGAAAGTAGTGGGCTGCCTGCATTTGGTGGGAAAACCAAAATCACAGAGCTTTCATTTATCGGTGTCTTGACGGACCACTTACTGGAGAGTCACCGAAAAAGTGAATCCGCTCCTAGAGTACTGCAAAAACTCAGTTTGTGCTTTTATCCTCAAAAGAGGATTGATTTTGAAGCAACAGAGATAACTGGTTAGTATTGCTGTTGGATGTAACCCCCAAATGAAGTTTGTCTTTCGTATTTGTGTCGTACATAAGAGAATACTTTCAGGTTTGGACAACTTTTTACTTGAAGAAATCCCCGCATTCAATAATGAAGCCTGTGATATAGTTGCATCATTTCTAAGTAGGATGCCTTCACCCCTTTGCTTAATAGCGCACAATGGAATGAAGTTTGATTTCCAATTGCTGAAATCAGAATTGGCTGCCAAAAAAAAGGTAAGTACTTAGATAAAACAGTTTTTATTTCCTCTTCAGTATTAAATGCATTTTGATGAAAGTTCGCCCATTATTTCTGTGCTCCTTCTGTGCATTATAGGAGCTACCAGATGACATCTTTTGTGCAGACTCCATACTAGCGTACAGAACCATTTTTCCTGCTACATCTCAAAAGTTTGCCACCTCTCCTGGTCTTATAAGCCCTGTCAGGAACACCATCAGCAGTGATCCTGTGACACCACCGAAGCCTGTGCAATTAATTTCAAATGGATCTGATTTGGAGTGCTCTAAGATCAATTCTGAGCTTCCATCGGTCTCAGAGTTTAAAAAGACAAATGAGACAACTCCTAAACATTCTGTTAGACAAGAGTGTCCACCTTTGAAGCGGAAAAACGCTGACAATGAAAACGGTGACAGCCAAGGTAAAATTGTGAGGAAAAAGTTATTTAAGGGTCAAGGGAAACCAGACAGCTACAAACTGGTTGATTTGTACTCACACATCCATGGTAAAGGGCCCGAGTATGGTCACCGTGCTGAAAGTGACTCAATGTCGCTGCTGGAGTGTGTTGTCGCTACAGCACCAGAGTTCTTATCATGGGTTGAAAATAATAGTTTGCCTTTCAAACGAATTCCTTGTATGTGGTGAGGTTTTTCTTTCAAGACTGATGAACAGATTCAATACTGTTATTTGTAAGAATACAGTCAATAACTTGAATCCTAATTAATTTTTAAAGTTGCCATTTTATATTAGTATTAAGTGTTTGTTTTTCAATTTTATTTCATCTTATGTTTGTTCAACATAGATATCTTATTCCCATTTGTGTGTTTTCCTCTTCAATTATTTGAATTAATGAAATCAGAAATTGTGACATGTGTATCAAAGAATGATCTCTAAATAGTTTTATCAAATGAAATATATTTTAATTGTTGAAATATTTACTTATTTACAACTTCATAGTCTTGGTCATGCCCCCTGGGTCAAGCTCTTGATCTGACGCATCATCAGATTCACTTTGTCCTCTAGATCAGCAATGCGTTCCTCGAGCTCAGCTTGTTTTTTCTGGCATTCTTCATGGTTAGTGTGGGCTCCTTGCAAGGGCTCTCTCCCACTAAAAATGGCCCTCAAAATCTGTTGTGGCATTTGCTTCTGTCCGAAAGCAATTTCTTCCAGCTTGCAATAAATTTGATTTGGAGTTATCACACCACCACTACTACTACCACCACTACTACCAGCACCACCATCAGTTTCATCTTGGGTAATAGCTTCATTTATTGCCAGAGCCACGCTCGGTCTAGATTTTTCGGCAGTTGGAATTTTGCAATTGTCTTCAACATCCTTGCATTCATCTGGGTTTACTACAGCAAAATAATAAAGTTGAGTGGTTATGAATCAAATAGAATCAAACAATTGTTGACATGGGTTCACCGAAAATGTACTTACAAAGTTTTTCTGCAATGATGTAAGGATTTTTATCGATGACTTTGACAATATCTTTAAAAATATTAGCCAGTCGGTTGCTTACATTTTCATGTACTCTTTTCTCAAGCTTTAATAAGTCGTCTCTTTCATCCCAATAAAATGGTATGTGTCCAGTGCGAATCTGTTCTGTCAAACGGTGCAACATCTAATTGAACAGAAAAATTGCCACAGTGTATTAAAATCTGACCCTCCAAATAAGTGTATTGGTTTGAATGAAGAAAAGGAACACTTGATCACTTACAAACAAAAATAAATAAATCTGCCTATTCCTCCAAAATTCAGAGCTTTGGTTTTTCATTTCAAACAAAGCCACAGTTTTGATGGCATATGATGACAGCTTTATTTGGCTGGAATCACGTAGTTTCTAAATAAATCAGATGAAAATAAAATGTAGATTATTTTACGTAATTTCAGATTATTGATTATGGACACATACATTATGTACACACCTTCAACAATTTAATGGTAGGTTTAACAGTACCAGACCCAGATAGGAGTTCTCTTTCTTGGTCAAGAAAAGACATCCTCCATTCTCGAGCGTCATTAATATCAAGAGTCTCACCCTCCTTTATTCTTTTTGGCTTAGGCACAACCATCCAAGACTTTTTCTTCATTAGAAATAAAAATGTTATATAAGTAAAGAGTAAAATTGCAGGTTTGTACTAAACAATTAGTTTTAACTTACTTTGCAGATCTCAGGCAGAGCAGCAACTGGAGGAGGTGGCCAAACTGACTGCCCAAACTGAAATGCAGGAACTAAATCCACATCCAGCAAACACCCATCGGGTGTAGTAACTTTGAGTGTCATTGCTGGCCCACTTTTTTTGTGTTTTATCTGCAAATTTGATGCAGCATGCAGAAAGAGACAAAGCATTTTGAACTGAACAAAGGTTGGTTGAAATTAAGATATTGTAATTTAAATTGTGTTTTTACTTTGTACTCTCCCTCGGAGCTAGATGCTTCATCCTTCAAGACGCGTGTATTCGGATCAGAATAGTCAGCTAGTGGGAGTGTTAGAAAGACCTTTGTAAGAACACTTTCCATCCACTCTCGAAATTTTGTTTGAAGAAGATATCCCTCTTCATCAACCCAACGCCTAAGATTTTCAAAAAATAAAAAGCATTAGAAGCAATATACATTTTTCAATCTCAACTAAATCTAGCTGAGCATGAACCACCTTTAAAATAATGATATAAGGTTTAAGTAACAATTTTTATAGATGATTTAGTGCATACAAGAAGTCAGGTGATAGAGGAGCTCCACTGATGTTGGCAAAAGCTTCCTTTCCGTTAATCTTCACAAATGAAGGAGTTCCGGGCTCAAACTAAAATAGTTTACGAGTAAATTATCCACATCATATACATGTCTTACTTAAGTATAATGAGGGGTAAAAATTGTCTTACTTGTAGCTTTGTATAGTCGACTGGAAGTTTAATTATCAAATTCATGTCATATTCAGTTGGCTTTCCAATTTTAAGTCCATCAGCGTAGCTACCAGCAAAGTGCTCTCTTTGATAAAGGGTACTAAACAGAGGATTGCTGTTTTTCATGCGTTGGACAAGCATTGTCAGCTGAAATAAAATTTGAAACTTGTAAGGGGCAGCACAACATTGCTAATTTGTAAATTTAATTTCAATTTTAAGGAGTAACTACGCACCACATTGTTCAAATGATGTGCATAGGACGTGTAGTCAGCATCATTGAGGCTGATGTATTTCTTGTTGATGTACTGGATAACAATCTCAGCATTCTTCAAGCCTTTTTTGAAGTTATCACTTTGCAATAATTCGTCTATACTCTGATTCCCGTTGAGGAGAGCCATATTGGAGAATAATTCTTCGACACGGAGAAATGTTGCTTGATAAGGGCCGATGGGGAATACAGTACCAGTCTTCGCTGCAAGACTGGTTCAAGTGCTTGAAAGGAATGCCGGATGCCGGGGGAGGGAGAAGGGAGGGAAGGGAGGGACACCGGAGCATGCGCACGCATGCGCAGAGCGGACTGCTTGGGCGCGCGCTCAGAGCTGCAATTTGAAAGGAGCTAATCGTAGGTTCTGTATTAGTCACAGCTTATCGTTGGACTGAGTCTCTTACGCCTCTGTCACTTGAATTGGTCTGGAAATTGGATTTAAAGAACGCTGTGCCTGTGCCAGTCAGTGCTTTTTCGGTGGCAACTTCTGCTGCGGCCGCGTTTCTTTCCCTGCCGCCGAGGGCTTGAGGTTCCATGAGTCGCCACCTCGAGAAGACAGAGCGCGCTGGCGCGGAGCTTTGCCTGCCGTCGAACGCGATCAAAACAAACATAAGCTTAAAGTTGTTTGGGTTGTGTCATGAGTTGTACTTATTGTGCCGATTTTATTTTCAATCAATCCATAAAAAGTTTTTTACTATGTGAGTTTAAACTATTTTCGCTGCACAAAATTTCTGAAAGCAGCCCATTCATTGCATTGCCCGGCTGCTGGTTGAACCTAACCTACAAATCATTGATATTTTAGTGTAGTTTGTTCTTCAGTTTGGCATTGAATGGGAATTTACGGATTCCGAACTCAGTACAATTAAAATAGTGTGGTAAAATAATCACCTCTCGTATTATCTCAAATTTTATTCCCTGGGCTGCCTTGGTGATTTTAATATGAAGTGGAATTGATTACGGGTATTTTCTTTTCTTTCTACAGTTGAAATTTAGAAGTAATATGCCACCTCAACCGGAGACACGGTCGGGGTCTGGTGGGAGCAGCCGTCAAACTCCTCTTCCTGGTACTGGTCTGGAAGAAATTGGAGTGCCAGGACAAAACTACCTGCGGGATGCTCTGACAAGCTGTACTGATCCATTGAAAGCTATTGAAGAATTCCAGGTTATTTTACACCGCTCTGTTCCATTTGTTTAATTTTTTTAACCTTAAGGTATTCCTTTACGTTTGTCAAATGTTTCCTTTGATTTCAGCATGAAAATGGTATCCTGCTACCTTCCCTTAGACAAATGTTACCTCTGTTGGATTTACATGGGGTTCGACGATTGGATTTCCACACTTCAGTCCTGGAGGTGAACCTTCCATCCCGAAAATTTGTGCAATGTCATCAATGTGTCATTTCCCTTTTTTTATGTTCATCATATGTTTCTGTTTATGTTAGGAGTTACGTGACAGACTGGTGTCACATATTGAAACAATAGGACAAAAAGAAGGCAGGGAAAGAGATCGAAAGTTAAAAGAACTCTTAAACAAGAGCTTTCCATTAGTTCAGGTCAAAGCTCTTAGGCCTGTTGTGATGGGAATCCTTAAAAATACCCCTCATATTGATGACAAATATCTTCGAGTTTTGGTATACTTGGTTCTTTTGTGTTATGAAAATTGTCCATATCTACTTATCATTCATTTTTACTCATTATTATCATCCTAATTATCCTCGCAGGTTAAAGACAGAGAGCTATACAATGATACTGACACTGAAGTGAAACAGCAGATCTGGAAAGATAATCAATCACTTTTCGGTGATGAAGTTTCTCCCTTGCTTAGTCAATATATCAAGGAAAAAGAGAACATATTATTTGACCATCAAAACTTAACAAATCTATTCTTCAGCCCATCACCAAAAGTATGGAGTTTTTTTGTAGTTCTGTGTAGTACCTGTGTATTGCCTTCCATTTTTAGGTTCTAACATGATTTTTCGTTTGTTTGATTGTTTTTTTTTTTTTTTTTTTTTTAAAGGTAAGACGGCAGGGTGAAGTTGTTCAAAAGCTCGCTCACATGATTGGTAATAGTGTTAAGTTGTATGATATGGTTCTTCAGTTTTTACGAACACTATTTTTGCGCACAAGAAATGTTCATTATTGCACATTGAGAGCAGAATTGCTCATGGCTCTACACGACCTTGAAATCCAAGTGAGTTAGTTGAAATTAGTGGCAACGTTTAAGTGATTCTGTAAAAATTGGTATGGTAAAATTCATTATCTTTTGTCTAGGACATTATATCTGTTGACCCCTGTCATAAGTTCACATGGTGCTTAGACGCTTGTATAAGAGAAAAGAATGTTGATATTAAACGATCAAGAGAACTCCAGGTAAGATGGGGGTTTAAAAAACTATATTTTATAACTAATTTGATGCAAGTGTAGCACATTCATCATTTAATTTATTTTTTTTTATGTTTGTAAAATCAGGGATTCCTTGACAGCATCAAACGTGGTCAAGAACAGGTCTTAGGAGACTTATCTATGACGTTATGCGATCCTTATGCAATTAACTTCCTTGCAACCTCTGCTATGAAAATACTTAACCACATTATTATTAATGAGGGCATGGCAAGGGTATGTTGATGAAAGAGAAATACGTAGTTACTTATTGTTATTTGTATTATCATTTTTTATTTATGGTGAGTCTCAAATGTTAAACTAACCAATCTCCCCTGTAACTTTTTAGGATAACACCGTTTTAGTTCTGTTGTTGAGAATGCTAGCGCTAGGGCTTAGTGCTTGGAATATGATTGACTCGCAGGTAATCAGAACCCTTCTACTCTTTCTTTGGTTGTTTAGGTGGTTTTACACAATATGTTTCAATTTCAATTTTTTACAGGAATTCAAAGAGCCTAAGCTCGATCCCCAAGTTGTCACAAAGTTTATCCCTGCTCTCATGTCTCTCATGGTAGATGATCAAGTCCGTCAGTTAAGTGCAAAATTGCCACCAGATGAACGAGAGTCTGCCATTACAATCATTGAACATTCTGGTAAAGAAACGTCAAGCTTTACTGGTCTAAATTGTAAATATTTTCTTCCAGCTTATATTGCTATTTGCCCTTTCTTTCAGGCCCACCACCTGATGCCTGTCAAGCTTATGTACAAGAAAGCTCAGTCGCATCAATCTTGTCTATGTATTATACTCTTCATACAGCACGTTCAAAAGACAGAGTTGGTCTAATGAGAATTTTAGGAACTCTAGCAGGCTGTGAAAGTGATAGAGCTTTCGAGGATCCTTTTCTTCATTTTTTGGTAAGTTGCATTCAACAATAATCACATGTCATTTATTTTTCTTACCTTTATTTTAATAATGATGTTGTCTCTGTCCAGGTTTCTCTCCTTGTTCACATGGGAGAAGAGTTTGTCGCAGAAGACTTCTGTACTGTAGTCTTTGATGAATTTTTTTATGCTGGACTCACAAGGGATAATGTGACTAGACACTTACTAAAACTTCTGTGGTATGTCTACCCCAAGTTGCCTGCCAGCCGATTACATACACTAGTGAAAGCTCTGCAGCCATCCTCTCAGGTGAGGTTCAAATTTTTATTGTCATGAGGGTTTCTAATGATCTACTGGGTTTTTTTTCCTGTTTAATTTACTAACTGTTTTTCTTGCCTTCTATTTTTCTTCTATCAATAGCAAAATGAAGCAGTTCACCGTCTTTACGATGCTCTCAATGAGAGAATTGGAAATGAAGAAGCTGCTCCTGTTGTGCCAGCAAATATGGACTATTTAGAGAGCCCGTTGATGAGTGTGCCGACCCCAGCACCTATATAATGTAAAACAACTTTGTAAACTTTCCCCAAGTCAGTCTTATTCTTCTATATTATCATCACCTGTTAAGACTTTTAATTGAATCAATGTAAATTTTGATGTATAGACATAACTAAGTGCAATAAAAATGTATAATTATGTATGCATAACCAACCATATACTTGCCTTTGGTATTTCTGCTTCACTTAATTTATGTTGGGGGTGAACATTGATGGTGATGGTTAATATCTGTTTGGAGACTTGTTTTTGTGTCCAGTGCGGACTTTGCCAAATGGCATTCTGGCTTTGGTGGTACCCATTGCTCAATTTTTGGTCTTGTAGTATCATATGGCACATACTCATCAGGTGTTCCAGAAAGGTTCATAACATGAGGTTTTTGCCAAGAGTAAAATGGTCTGGTTGGATCCTGAGGCAAATGAGACCCATGTGTGTTAAATGTCTTAATTTATTTAGCAGTATCAATATGGTTTACAGTTCCTACTTCCTGACCTCACATGGGCGGTAATCTGTTCGGTAGTGGATCCAGCCAAACCATTCAGGGGGAATCATTGATGCATCGTAATCAAACCCAAATGCAGGACTGTATTCCACCCAGCGATTCCGGCCTGTTAATTATATTCCAAAATTGATGAATGAGGCACAGCTTGTGCTCTTCAATGTAGTTGGAGTTTAGGTTTGACTCACCAAAAAAATAATTGTTGTTTTCATAGTATTTATTCCCAAATTGGTCTGTACCCACGAGGCAACCAATTTTCAAGTCGTCATGACTGCAATGGAATATGCATCAACAGTTTGTTTCTGGCTCATAGAGGCTTGACAGAAATGACAGAACTCACTACAAAATCTTGATGAGCGATTGCCTTAGGCCACCGTTCCACCTTATGATCGTCCGCAGCCTCTTGAATTTGTCAAAACTAAGCCACCCCATTGCTCCTGTGGTTCGGAAAAGACATTCCCGTTGCCCAGCGACCGCGCCACTTGGAAACAACAATGCAGATTCCGGAGTGTTGTGTTGCTTTTAAATAAGCACCCAGAGAGCGAGGGAATTCCACGTCACTAACCAGTAGTTCAGGACTCGGCGGCTCACGGCCAGCTTGGTGCCTCTGCATCTATCCCAGGCCCGCCAGTAGGAAGGGTCGAGAGTAAGGCTTCGCATCGTCACGTCACCTCGACCGCACTGTCACTGTCACCATCACCACTCTTCGGCAAACAGGTTCCGCCCAAGCGAGGCGCGCTTGCCGCGAGGTTTTCGTCCAGGCCGGCCCGGCCCGGCACTTTCGTACATCAACAGGTCCACAATGTCCTTCGGTCGGTCACATTAGTCCGCACTTGGGCCGGGTGGGCGGCCTAGACCAGCCCCGCGTCCTTGGCGAGTGAGTGGAACATGGACGTCTTGTTCTGGAGAAGGTTCTTCGGCGAGTCGAACTCTGCGACTTGGCCTTGTTCCAGGACCAGGACCCTGCAAGGAAGGGAACTCCAGGTTGAAATCGAGTTCAAGGAAGCCAGGAAAAAACATCCGCCGGCCGCGAGGCTTACCGATCTGAGTCCATGATGGTGTTGAGTCTGTGGGCGATGGTGAGGATGGTGCACTCCTTGAAGTCCTCCCTGATCGTTTTCTGGCGGTGGGAATAGGAAGCGTTTGATCATGGTTTGATAGACAGCATGGCGGCGAGGCGATATGGAGCACCAAGCCGTAGGCCGGGCCCCATGCCGATCCTGCCGAGACTTGTCGAAAGACTGAGGCACGCGCCCGGCAGGCAGCGACAGCCTACCTGGATCAGGTCGTCGGTCTCCAAGTCGACGGCCGCCGTCGCCTCGTCGAACAGGAGGACCTTCGTCTTGCGGAGGAGGGCGCGCGCCAAGCAGACCAGCTGTCTCTGGCCGACACTGCAACAGGCAAAGGCCACACCATGTAGGAGCGAGAGAGACAGCGACAATAACGACTCTCACAATGAATCTGCAGCTTCGCGGGAGGACGGCAAACCACGGCAACGTACCTGAGGTTCTCGCCGCCCTCACTCATCTCGTGGTTGAGGCCGGCCGCGAAGCTCGTGACGACGGCCTTGAGGTGGGAGCGCTCGAGGGCGCGCCACACCTCGTCGTCCGTGAACTTGTTGTAGGGGTCCAGGTTGAGGCGCAGCGAGCCGGTGAACAGCACGGGGTCCTGCGGGATGATGGTGACGCGCGAGCGCAGCGTGTGCAGGTCCACTTGCGAGATGTCCACGCCGTCGATCAGGATGCGGCCCTCGGCGGCCTCCACGATGCGGAACAGCCCCAGGGTGAGCGACGACTTGCCCGCGCCGGTGCGGCCCACGATGCCCACCTGGGACGGAGACGGCAACGTCAAACCTACATGTCACCAAGGCCGCCGTCGACGACGGCCCTCCAGTTGTGGGAAGGCGTCTAAATAGTTGGGCTTGAAGTGGGCGTACCTTTTCTCCCGCCTTGACCTTGAGGTCGACGCCCTTGAGGACCAGGTCGAGGCCCTCGCGGTAGCGGATGGCGTACTTGCTGAACTCCACGGTGCCTTCCTCGGGCCAAGCGGCGCTCACGGACACCTCGTGGCCGATGTGCGGCGATTCCTGTCGACACGCAGAGTTGAGAATTGACTGGTACACTGCAGAGCCTCCGGCCACTGCCGGTCGCGGCGGCGCGGCCAGCCCAGCCCACCTGTGGCGTCTCCTCGTACTCCTTGATCCTCTCCACGGACACGATGTTGTTCTCCACCTCAGACGCGAAGCGCACCAGCCAGTTGAGCGCGAGCGTGATCTGCGGACACAAAGGGCCAGGGGTTGGCGTAGGTCCCGTAGGGGCGAGAGAGACAGAGTGCACTCAGCCTGCGGCCTCACCTGCAGCGCGTAGCTCACGGACATGCCGACCGTGCCGGAGGCGATCCCGGAGTCGCGGCTGAGCACGGCGAAGAGCGCCGCGAAGAAGATGATGGAGTTGCCCACCGTCTCCAGGCGCACCGCCAGCCACCGGTTGGCGATGGCCACCGGGAAGTAGCACTTCTGGTTGACGTCGAGGCGGTGCTCGGCCTCCGTAATGAACCTGTCCACGGCGCCGTACGCGCGGATGGAGGAGGAGCCTGCGTGCACAGAGGGCAGGGCGGCTCACCAAACCGAAAGGCACTCCAGCAGCGCCATTCTGAACAGAGCTCCCGTCGCTCTGCCCCTCCATGAGTGCGACAGAGACAGGTCGGAGAGAGACCAACCTGTGAGCGTCTCGCTGAAGTGCGAGTAGATGGGGGAGCGCGACACGGCGTCCAGGCGCTTGAGTTGGCGCGACGTGGACACGTAGAAGCGCTGCACGATGAAGTAGATGACGCCCAGAGGGATGATGACGCTGATGAAGAGCGGCGTGCTGTACGAGATGACCACGATCGTGGACACGCACTGCGGGGAGGGAAAGGGATAAGAGACACTGCGCACTGTTGAAAAGAATCTTGGAAATTCCCAATGATTTTGTGCGAGGTAAAAAAAATACCCGCGCTCTTCGAGAAATTTCACAAACTCTTGTTTTACTTCGCGTCTCCGTTTCGTATGAGTTTCCGGAACTACAAATTCGACCTTTTCGAAAAACGAAGGCTTTGGAAATTCGCGATGGAGCTCCGGGTGGCGCTTTCCGGGATTCACATTTTGACATTCTGAAGTTGAAAGATGAAAGGTGGTGAATTCGCCAGCATGAAGCGCCTGACAGGTAGGCCAGGGTCGGGCCAAAAACGCACCCGAGTGCGGACGGCGGCCTACCTCGCCCCTGCGATTGCGATTGCGATTAATGGCTGGACCACAAGTGATCGTCTGCCTTTCGGGGTGCCATTCGTCCGCGGAGCGGTTCGGAGGGTGTCTCTACCGCACCTACAGTGGGGCGATGGGGTCGAAAGAGACGGGAACGGCCGGAGACGGAGGCACGCCAGGCGCTGCTGCACTGGTAAAACAAAGGCATAAAAATTACGCCCTTTAGGGCATAAATGCTCTTTTACGCCCTTGCAAGGGCATAAATCGTTTTATGCCCTTGGGAAGGGCGTAAATGGTATGGGAATTTCAAGCAAAATTTTAATGCCCTTCCCAAAGGCATTAACGATTTATGCCCTTTAAGGGCGTAAATCGTTTACGCCCTTTAAGGGCATAATTTTTATGCCTTTGTTTCACCAGTGTGCGCCGGGGCCGGTTCGAACAAACCGCGCGCGCCGCGGAAGCCTGCAGGGGCAAGGTAGGCCGCCGTCTCCACTTCGACGCGTTGCGGCGGCGGCGGCCTACCTATCAGGCGCTAGGGCCTGTCGAGCAGAATCCAAACCGCGACGCCGTTCTCATTCTCACTCGGAGTCGCTGTTTCCGACAGGCCTGGCCTTCACGCCCTTTCACCAAGCAGACCCACTTTTTATGTCATCGCAAGTTTGTGTAGCGACTGACGAGGACGTCAGGGAATGCTCGAACGCGGGACGCACCGAGAAGAACAAGCTGAGGGACTGTCGGATCTGCAGCGGCAGCACGTTGTCGACGTTGTCGATGTCCTTGGTGAAGCGGTTCAGGATGCGGCCGATGGGCGTCATGTCGAAGAAGGACATGGGGCACTTCATGATGCGGTTGAACATGCGGTTGTGCAGGTCCATGGAGGACGCGATGCAGCCGGTGGCGAACACGAAGGAACTCGTCATGCTGAACACGGCTGGCGGCAAACGTGGAACGACGTTCAAACAAAAGAGACATAAACGTGACACACGTTGCACATTTGTTAAGAACTGCCTCTGCGACGAGAGGCTATGAACAGGCGACAGGTCGCAGACGCGTCCGTGGAGTTACCTTGGCCTATACCGAATCCGGCGTACACCCCTAGGTACATGTTCCGCTTGGCATCGAAGCCTTCAGCAGAAGCGTTTGACATAAGTGGGTCGCCGGTCCAATCGTTAACCCAGAAGCTGGAGCCGACGGTGAAGGCCTGCGGAGCAAGAAGAGAACAACATTTCAAGCGTCGTTATAAGCTTGAATACTACCCTTCAGTTTTACCCGGTTTTACCAGTGCACCCTCGTACCTGCAGGATCAAGTTGAAGAGGATGGTGAGGCCGGCCAGCAGCAGCCCGATGCTGCGGATGTAGTGGCCGTACACCTTGAGCTTGACGCTGCCGACCTCCATCACCTCCACGTCCGTCAGCTTCTCGCCGGCCACCTCGGGGGCCTTGGGGAGCTCCTCCTTGGTCGTGCTCGACCGCCGCTGCGACCGCACGGACCCGCCACTGCAAGTCGGGGAGAGTGGCCGTTGGAAGACGGAAAAGAGGCTGCCGTCATGGCGCCGTTGTCGCCGAAAGCTTACCGGCGGATGGAGCTGCCCGAGGAGCCTCGGCGCGACCGGATGCCGTCGCTGCTGATGATGGACGCCTGGGATATCTGCCGCTTGAGCTCCTCCTTGCCGACGGCCTTCTCCAGGTGCGCCTTGATCTCCTCCAGGTCTGCAGCCGAAGCAAGCCGAACAATGCAAAGGGTCGACCGGCCACACTGGCCGCCTCCAGCCAGTTGGCGTCGTGGCCCTGCTCTGTCTCTCTCACACTCATGGGACGGGCCGCGCGGGTGCGAGAGAGACAGCGCGGCGACACCGCGCTGCAGTGCGCGGTGCGGTCAAGGCTCCGCTTTCGCTAACTCACCCTCCACCACGTCGTCGCTCTCCTCGGCCTCCTGCAGGTGCTGCACCAGGAACTCGGCGAAGGCGCCCTTGCGCTGCATGAGCTCCTGGTACGTGCCCTCCTCGCTGACGGTGCCGTCCTTGAGCACCACGATGCGGTCCACGCGCGGCAGGTAGGCGATGCCGTGCGTCACCAGGACTCGGGTCTGCCGACAGGCCGACAGGCCGAGAGCGTCAGGCACCTATTGAGGCGGGCGGGACCCCACCCTGTCACCCTTAGATAGCCGCCTGAAGGGCAGGCAAAAAGCAACACTTTGCCAAAAAAAAAGCTACCCCCCGCCTCTGCCAACGCGAGCGCCCTGCGTCCTCACCTTGTTGGCGAGCATCCCGCCCGGCCCGATGACCTGCTCGAAGATGTGCTTGCCGACGTGGCTGTCCACGGCGCTCAGCGGGTCGTCCAGCAGGTACACGTCGGCGTCGTTGTACACGGCGCGGGCCAGGGACACGCGCTGCTTCTGGCCGCCACTGAGGTTGATGCCCTGCGGCACGAGCAACAGGTGCAGTGGAGGGTAGGCTCAACAGGAAGGCCGCCGTTAGTAGTCCAGGCCTACCTTCTCGCCGATCTCCGTCTGGTCGCCGGCCGCCAGCATGGCGAGGTCGGACTTGAGGGCGCAGGCCTCGATCACCTTGTTGTAGCGCCGGGCGTCGAACTCCTTGGAGAAGAGGATGTTGCCCTTGAGCGTGGTGTTCTGGATCCAGGCCTGCTGGGGCACGTACGCCAGAGAGCCCTGCCAACATGAGGGCGAGGCTTGAGTCCTGCACTGCAGCCGCCCTCCGCACTTCGTCTGCACAGGCGTGTACCCAGGGGAAGAGCCGCCTCAACGGCAGCCCCCTGAGCCCTTCTCTGGATCCGCCCTGACTGGCTTGCCTACCGTCGAGTGCACGCTTCCTGACTGCTTCTCCATCTCGCCCAGCAGGGCGGAGAGCAGCGAGGTCTTGCCGGCGCCCACCGTGCCCACCACGGCCACCAGGCTGCCGCGGCCGACGGTCAGGTTGATGTCCGACAGGATGGCCGGCTCGCCCGGCCCCCACGCGAAGGTCCCGTTCTCCACGGTCAGTGGCGCCTCAGAACCTGCAGCAGCGGCGGTTGCGTTTCAGTACGGCAGAAAAAGTGAGCAAAATCGGCGAGGGTTGCGGACGGACAGGTCCGACTTCTGCTCCTTGCCTCCATTGGGGTCGTGCGTGACACTGTTGGGGTCCAGGTCGTCGGCGTTCATGAATTCGTCCACTCGCTTGATGGACACGGCGGCCTGCACCACGATCATGATGACCATGGGCAGCATGGCGAGCGGGAAGCGCATGATGTTGAAGAGGGACAGCGACACGAAGGCCCGCTGCGCGTCCAGGACGTTGTTCTCGTCCATCAACACGTACGTCGCGAAGGACACCAGCGTCACCAGGAAGGGCGCCACGGTGAAGGCGAAGGAGATGCCCGCCTGCAGGTACGCCGACTTCATGAGGACGTCCATCTCCCGAAGGCGGATCTGGTTGATCTTGTCGCCGAAGGGCGGCTCCCACGCGTACAGCTTGAGCACCTTGATGCCGTTCAGGATCTGCAAAGCAACAGGCTGTCGTTAGACTCGGCACTCGGCAGGGCGAACATTAAACACACAACTATTCGACAAGGTCACCTCGTTCATGAGCTTGGCGCGCTCGTCCTTGTTTTTCATCTGGTTCATCTGTAGGGACTTCATCTTGTTGGCGATGAAACCGTTGATGGGGATGAGCAGGATCATGGAGGCCAGCCCGGCCAGCACGGCGATGCCTGCGGGTCAGCAAAGCGTCAACTCCCGCTCCTTTGACTTTGTCGTTGGACAGAGACGGAAAATGCAGGCGCCACGTACCGAGCAAGTCCCACAGGAAGTACAGGGCCAGGATGATCTGGATGGGCGAGGACCACACCATGGGCAGCAGCCCGCCCAGGTCCAAGAACCTCTGTGCGTCCACCGACATGAGGGTCACGATCTCCCCCACGGTCTTGTCCTTGCGCGCCACGTTGGACATGCGCAGCGACTGCAAGCAAACGGCAGGGGTTGCGTCAGTGGTCCGTTGGCGGGGCACTAGGGGGCCTGCACTGCGACTGCGACGCACCTTGCGGTAAATGGCGGACACCAGGGCGGTGCGCACCCTCATGCCCACGATGTTCATGCGGACGTTGAACTGCGACAGCAGCAGCGACTGCACCAGGGCCGTGACGAGCATGGCGGCGGCGTACAGCAGCCCCTTCCACACCGGCTCCATCGGGTTGGCGGTGAAGGCCATCAGCAGCCTGGGGAGGCAGACGGCCGCGTTTGAATACACGTTATCTCCGGTGGAGAGTAAAGACAGTCTGTTTGCAGTGGACTGACTTGAGGATCTGCGGGCTGACGAAGACGAGCAGGTCCCCGGTCAGCTCCATGACGGAGGCGAAGATGAAGGGGCCGCCGAAGGAGCGGAACAGCGCGGGCAGCACGGAGACTTTCTTCTTGGGCTTCCCCGTCCGAAACGCCTCCCTGGAAGCAACCAACAGTTCCAGCGCCGGCCTACCCAACACCACCATGAGGCGGGACTCGACTCACGACTCGGCCTTCTTGTTCTGCTTGTCCCAGTGCTTGAAGAAGAGCGGCACCACGCCCTTGGACGTGTCCATGGGGTTCAGCTCCCACAGGTCCTTCTGCTCCAGCGTGCCGCGGAAGCCCCGCCAGGCCATCCTGTCGTACCACTGGAAGAACAGCTTGGCGACAAACGACGAGTCGAACTCGGGGCAGCGGTCCTGCAGCAAGTGGAACGGAATGCCAACCCTTGCAGCCATTCAGCTTGACGGGGCGCTCGGCGTGACGCGGCGTCGTCCGCGCTTGCTCACCTCCACTTTGGTGAAGGGCGACGACGTCGGCTCCCTGTCCACGAAGCAGTGCAGGACGAAGTTGAGGAGCAGCACGGGGAACAGCACCATGGTCGTGTAGAACGGGATCTGGCCGCGCTCGCTATCCTTGCGCTGAAAAACAACAAAAACACTTGAGAGGTCTTTATTCCGAAATGGCGGACATCCGCAAACGAGTGCAATTATGTGCAACCCCACGGGGCCATGAGCTTTGCCCGAGTTTGCTCGGCCTTACCTCATAGTTCTCCGCGTTGAGTTCGGTGCGGAACTCAGCGATGGTGAAGACGGTCGACAGGAACCAGAAGAGGGTGAGCAGCCCGGACGTCCGCAGCCCCCTGGAGCGGTTCCAGTGCAGGAGGAAGGCGGCCCAGGCCTGGAGAAGCGGAACAACAAGAAGACACGTGAGCCGACTTTCGCCGGGCGGCCGGCCCGTTGTGCTTTCCTTTGCGGATCGACCGGCTAGGCTGCCAGAAGTGGTCGATAGCGGACTTACGTAAGACACCACCCTGATAATCGGTGTCACATAGTCCACGGGGAACGCGTTGTCCGAGGCGGCCGCCGCGTGCCCGAGGTCCACCAAGGACACCACGGCGGCGGCGAGCGTCAGGACCTGGAGCACGGAAACCGGTGAGACAGTGGAAGGGGTCGCAAAACTGAAAAGGCGGCTACCGTCGAAATTTTGGCTGCCTCTTTCTCGATGACAATTTCAAGGAGTTGATATGGTTGCAGTCCAGGGTACTGACCAGCTTGGAGGCGTTGAGCCAGTTCCAACGAATGGCCCCGTTGGTGCTGCTGCGGACGTAGTGCACCTCGAGGGCCGAGAAGAGCCACATGAACAGGCACGGCGTCCATGCCAGGGCCGTCTTCTCGAAGCACGGCGTGAAGTCGGGGTTGTTGGAGCCCCATGTCCTGGTGATGTTCTGGAAGGCGAATGGCACGCGGGAGTCAGGCCACTCGTTTGCTTCGGAACTAGCTCGAGTACTTGTACTCGGCACTCGAGACTTACCCAATACGGCCCACCGCAGAAGTCGTCGAAGACACCCATGCTGCTATCTTTTCTTCATGAAAGGATCCAAGGGTACCATGTACTGGCTGCGATTCCTGTAAAATGCAGTGAGCTGGGGTGAATTGGATCTTCCACTACCTAGCGCTTTTTCTCATAGATCTGTCCTTGTCACTCCCGATGGACGCTGCCAATGAAAGCGGGAGAGATAGATGGCGTGACGTAAGGGTTACTTAAGATACATAAAGCGTAGGGTGGTGCAATGTGCGTTATATAATGCGCGGGTGTGCCAGTACAGTAAAGAGGGATATCTGTTTTTCGGGGCAGGTGGTATCAACCCATCGTTGCATTCAGCTCGGTCATGGCGAACACTCCTGAAATATTTCGCAAGCTTGCTGCATTGAGCCGGGAGCCCCCATCCCCGTAAAGGAAGAGCGAGACAAATCAGAAAGCTGTGCATTCCCATCAGAAACTACCCCACCCGGACTGGAAACACACACCCATCCCTTTCCGCTGACAACGCGAGGAAACTGCGAAGAATGGTCTTACTGCACCCTCCCGCGCACGTCGAGAGAGTACGTCTCCTTCGCAACGGTTTCCTCTTTACGTTTTAAACTAGGCCGCTCGGTCGGCGGGGTGGAGCGGGGCAGCCCCCCTGTTTACGGACCGTCGTTGACACACCCGCGGGGCTCGTGGTGGAAGCCAACGGCCGGCCGGCGTGGCGCCGCGTGGCGTCGGGGGATCAGCGCGGCTTACAGCTGCCGGGCGATATCACCGACAAAGCAATACGCCGCCCATGCCGGTATCTCTTGCCATTTCACTGCGTTACGCGGAGCGAGGAGCGCGCTGCTCGGGCGGAGGGCCTCGCCAGCCTGGCCGGGCTTGCGGTGCGGGTGAATGAACAGCCCCGGGCAGCGCGATACCACTCCACCCTCCGAGGGACATCCCGACGCCGACTGCGCCGAGGACTTACTTGGTTTTAGTTCGGCGCTTTGCACCTTGGCGAAAGGTAGCAGGGGGCTCCCGCCCCGCCCCCTAGTAATAGCAGAGCACCCTCGCCCAACTCTCGCCCCAGCAGCCCCGGCAGCCCGGCACTGCATGCAGTTGGCGCGGCGGTAGTCTGGCGGTCTGGCAGTTCTCGCGAGCGACCCGAGCCTGCGCCGGAGTAGCCGAGTGCGATACGGCCGGCATACCGACTCACGCCTCCGAGGACGTACGCCGATCACGTAGCCTTGGTTTATACGCGGCGTTGCACGAATGGAACTCCGCGCCTATAAAGCATGACCTGCAATCTGCACAGGTCCTCTGCAGTCCCCATCATGCAGATAACCGGGTCTAGTCTGAGCCGTTGGCGTCTCCGAGGCCTCATCCGCCTGAACCGTGAGCAGGAGTCCAGGGTAGGTCCGATAGCAGACCTGCTCACTCACTTCTTCGATCCTGCCTGAGAATCCGTTAAGGTGTCCTCGTCATACGCAATTTGACCCTGGAGTAGGGCTCTCATTTTGACCTGCCGAAATCCTTCCTCGTCAAGAATTTGACCCTGATCATGACTCATTCGTTCTGAGGGCAGGTGCGGGAGGGCTCCTCTCGACGAAGCACTCCACCGTTCTACTCGTCCGTCGCCCAGCTCGGCGCCGGGAGGACTGACACTCATGGCCATGGCACGTGCGGCTATCGCGCTGCATTTGGCGGGACTCGAGCGCTATCGCGAGTTCCCTCCCCGCAGATTGAACGTCCACTTCCGCACAGCGCTTCGTCGCCCTGTCCCTGTCCCTCTCGCACTCATGAGGCGTTCCGGGGAGGTGCGAGAGGGACAGCGACGAAATCGGAGCTCGGAATCAAACGCCAGGCCTCCACTTCCGGTTTAGTATAGCTCGAAAATAATAGAAGAGAACATACGAAAGCTTATGAAAATTTAAGAAACTACACACCGAAACGCAGAGCCAAATTGTTGTGAAGTGCAGCTAGGAAGGGCGCCCCCCTTGTGATTCGAGTCTTTGATAAGCCGCGCGGCGTGTAATGTTCGTTCTTAATCTCCGGCGGCGGGTGCGACTCGGGTCGGGGCGACCTGACCGCACTGGCCTGTGTGTGTACAATGTACGGCCGGCGCCAACGCCAATACTAGCCACACCCTTCGTCAACCTCGAGCAAGCAGGGAGCGCCTGTGGTCGCGAGGGTAGGCAGCCACGCGCGGCAGCCCCGCGCGGCGGGCCGGCCCAGCGCCGCTTGGAAGGCGCTCTGGCGACGTGGATAGAGTCCTAGAGTGGGAGAGAAGAGTCAATTGCGAAAACGCTACGCGCACTTTGCCATACTCGTCATTTCCGGACCGCTGAGCCGGTTTCCGTTTTACCGAATTCAAAAACCATACAATAGCGAAAAGACTACCACAAACTCGGCCTAATGTTGAACTGACAGGCAACGACCCGAATTTTAAACCGGGGGTTAATTTCGTTTTTGCCGGGGGTGTGCCTCGCCGACCTGACCACGGCCCGGAAAAGACGGCCGCCCCGCAAACTAGACCAGCCGGCCCGTCAACTGACAAGTATGGCAGCCCCTGTCCAGAAGGTGCGGCAGACCGACGCTCTGCCCCCAGGACTCTGGGAACGTTGGCGGCGTGGAGCCCGGTGCAGCCCGGTGCAGCCCGGTGCAGCCCGGTGCAGCCCGGTGCAGCGGGCAGTAGGCTCGTTCCGAGTACTGCTTCCGTCGCTCTGCCTCTCTCGCTCCCATACGGGACGCCCCACGAGTGCGAGAGAGACAGAGCGCTGAAAGCAGTGTCCGGAATGAGCGTGCAGCCCATCGACCGCGAGTCCGCCAACCCATGAGGCCACTTAAAGTTACGGCGAGGGGGCAAACACTCGTAAATTTTTTGTACACAGGGAAGGGATTTCGCAATATTTCGCAACCTTCTGGGAGACTTGGCAGGATTTGCCACCCAAAGCCTCGAAAGAATCTGTCGGATTTTTATCGGTTTCCACGAGATTTCAGCAGGTTTCTACCGATTTCACGCAAGATTTCGGCTCGTTTCGGCCGCTCCTGTGTTCACGTGGTTGCTCTCGAGTTACAGGCTCATCCGCGGCACTGCGAGCGGGAGACACGTCGGTGGCGTTTCATGGCGGCTCTTTTGTTCTGCTCTTGGAACTTGCATATGTTGACCACCAGGGCGTCGCGACGTCCGCGACACGTCGGTCGGGGTGCCGGCGCGGTGCGAGTCGGTGCCAGTGCCCACGGTGCGGCGGGAAGGCCGAGGCGCGGCCGACTCTCTCGGCTGCGAATCATGGCGGAGGTCGAGGCTGCCGCTGTGCTGCCGCTGTGCTGCCGCTACCCACTCCACCGGGCCCTTGATAGGTACCAATTGCCTCCCGCGTCCTCTCTGGTCGCGTCCACTGCTGAACAGACTAGACGGACGCCGCCGCCGGGTCTTTGCCTCGACGGGATCAGGATCAGGTGGACACCAGAGGCGCGTTTACAGTGGTGACACCACCCGCAGGTCGAGGCGGCCAAGCAGGCGGCCGAGCAGTGCGCGCCGCTGGGGTGCCCGGGGAAGTCCAAGCGGCCCAAGCTTGCCAGAACGGTGGCCTGCCCGGGGCACTGTCGTGGAGGAACTGGACTGCTGGTGGTAGTAGGACAACGCAACAGTGACGTGGACCGCGACGCGACAGTGACGTGAAAAGCGACACAAGAGACGCGACAGTGACGGCGACGGACACGTACGGGCACAACATCAACACCTACTACGCTCGGCTACGCTGCGCTGGCGGCGGCGGGTCGACTGCCTCTTGTGGTGCGTCGCACTGGTGCGGCGCGCGCGCTGCAACGCGTCGCGGAGTCGCAGGCAGGCGTACTGGCGCGCGTAGCAGGGAGGGACTGCAGGGCGCGTTGACGCACGCCACCTTATAGATTAGGCGCAGGGCAGCAGACAGCCCGCCTGATAAGGACCTGGCCGCCCGGCCCGACAGCTCGCTCCCCACCTACGGCCCCTTCGCTTCGGCTGACGCCGTGCCGCGCGCATGCGCCAGTGAGCATTGCTGTCGCTTGGCCTGGACTTGCCTTGGCCCATTCCATTCAGTGGCGCGAGGCGATCCCTTGCCATCCCTAAGCAAATTTCCTAGCGAAGTGCTCCAGCGCGCAGCCCGCTCCCCGTCCGCTTGTATGAGCGTGCGCGTTTGTTGGGGCCTTGGCCCATCCATGAGGAGGGAGGGGAGCTTAAGGCTCGGGCTCCGAGCCCGCGCTCGCTTGTTTTGGGGGGCATACAAGTCTCGGTCCCCGCTCGCGCTGGCCCACATTCGGGCCTTAGTCACTCGTTATCTGGCCGATAGGTGCTTTTTGTTCTTGTTCCTCGCCTGACGGCTCGTTGGATGCGACTGATTAAAATTGCATGCATCTAGCTCTAACTGTCATACTTCCAAAAATAACTGTTTCCACTCAGAGAGAATGATGGAAGAGGAGCGAGGGAGGGGGAAGTACAAGGCTGGTTATCTATGGTAGAAATGCCTTATTCGTATTGCTTTTCCTGTGACTGAGTGTAAGGCGATAGAATGAATGAAATGATCATCATTGCTAAAAGACTAGTAAATAAGATTTGTAAAGCATTATTATTTTACAGAAATTATAAAAATTGATCACATCTATTCTGTCTTCTTCTTTGCTTCTGAAGTGTCCTCCGAGCCACTGAACCACCAACTTCTAATACCACGCAGAGACATGAGTACGGGGATCATCACAGGAAGAAAGAGAGGAATGTAAACGGCATATCTGGAGAGAGACAAATAAAACAAAACATTTTATGAAAATTACCCACAAGTAGTGTAATTCTGTCAGAGCCCTGCAAGGTTTGTTAAGGCAGCATAGGCAATGAGTAAGTTGAACCACTTACTTTTGATCTTCTGGGAAATAGAGCAGTGCCAGGAGAGATGGGTCACTGAATGCAGTTTCTGCAGCCAGAAAAGCTTGCTTGGAGAGATTGTACCCATTTGTCAAATCATAATCCTGGATGTAATTGATTGCCTCATGAGACTTCAAAATGGCCTCCCAGATTTTGTCTCCCACTTCATCGTTTATTACAATATTGCTGATTTCATCAAGAAGTTGGGCAAGAGACTGTAAGGAACAAAAGGGGTAAGAGTCAATTACTGAAGTTTAAAGTGCAATATTGAATCAATTATGGCAGTTGGTCACCTTCAGGGTTATTCTTGCAGATATGAGATGTTCAGTGGCTTTGATTCTCATGAGCGAGTCAAGTTCCCAATCACGTACACCACTAGCAGGAAGGGGCAGTTGTTCGACCCCACCAATCTTTTCCTACAATGAAATAAAAAGTAATCATTGAATTATAAAATTGTGCATATCAGAAGAAATAAGGACAAAAAAATTTAAAGTAATAAAAAGCTTACAAGCTCAGGAAAGCCAACAAGGAGCTTTAGCTGCATCTTGAATGTATTCATGATTGCTTCAGAGTCAAGCCATGATGAATTTTCATCCACATGTCCACACAAACTTTGGGGTGGGTTAAAAATCTGGACACCACCCCATCGTGGAGACAGAAAAGCTAAGCTTGGCTGTATGCTGGAGCGACTAGATGTGATGAACAAGGGAGATATTTGACAAGGCGGAATATAGAGAACAAGTTGAATTGTCGGGTGCTCACTAACACCAGAGCCTATAAGAAGGAGAATTAAAAATTTAGCAGTTGCACCGAAGCATTTCAACAAGAAATATAATGAACAGATACAAACCTAATTTCTTCTCCAAGGGGGTGATAATGTGTGGTAAAATATCTTCTGATAAAGAATACCAAGTTTGGGCTTCCTCTTGAACTTGACGAGGGCGTCCCTCCAGGCGGACAGAATACAACCATTGGGACTTAATGTGGAATGTGATAATAGGAGAAAGATACTCCAGGAGACCTCCAAGGTGATCTGCACAAGATAAAAATTAGTTCACAGGCATTATGCTTTAATAAAACAATAAACAAGTTTAAGTAGTTCACCTCTTATGGCTTCTTTTATGTTCCACTTGATGTTCCTTTTTTCCGGTTCAGGATGTACCATGGAGAACATAATGTCATACTGGGCAGCGGGAGGCATTCGTCTCCCACCTGTTCTATCGCGAGACCACTCGTTGGGTGCCTCAATAATAGCCTTGGTTCGGAAAAGTGCATCAGCCCGAATTATCCACTGACTTAAAACAGCATGCAAAGTCTCCGGTTCTGAAATATTAAAGAAAATTAGACAGTTTCAAAACTTAAACACCAATTTAATCAGTAAAAATACTCACTGGCTTGTGTACTAAAGTACACCACTCTTTTTCTACCAACTATAACATCTTTGGCTGTGAATCGTAGCATTCCAGGCACTTCTAAAAGGTAAATATGACTCACTTCATTTGGGAAAAGATCCATTTCATCTAAAGCTTGCAAACTTTCAGCTGTTAAAACCTTATTTACATCAAAATCACTTCTTCCTTTAAAATCTACATTAATAATACCTGCAACAAGTGTAGTGACAGTTACAGTTTCATACTAATTATCAGACAATGCAAAATGTTCAGTACGAATTTTAATAAGATCTTCGATAGAAGAGGATACAAACCATTGCCTGTATTGGATAAGGCACTGCTTAAATGCTTCAATAAAGAGTTTACTCGTTCAGTCTCTTTGCTTAAAATGGTAACATGGGCAGGAAACACTACATCTGCTTCTTTGAGATCATCAATACGACCATATGGTACATGAACTCTGTAGACCTCGGTTGTTTTCCACCACAAGGGTATACCCACAACTAAGAGAAGGAATACGAATGATATTGCTGCATACATTCTGATGTCAACTAGAAGGGGGGGAAAAAAGGTTACCATGAGTACCAGCAAAATGTACATATATTCCAAATATTGACGTAAGTAAACTTCAGAGAAATATATTCAATAGTTACCATCTTCCTCTTTTTCTGAAAACTCCGATGTCTCTTTACAGTCTGATTCATCACTGGTATCTGTGAACAAGCACCCTATTAACCATAAACAGTTGTGGATCTCTCAAATAAAACCATAAGTACTGAGATGGTACAGCATTTATATTGTTTTGCTGGTTGTCAGACAAAATCATTGTTTTACTACGCCCATTTCAGCCGGTATGTCTATGCGAAACCTAACCCTACACATATTCACAACAAAAGCATTATCTTCTCTGAAAGAAATGTTTGAAAAGATATTACCTCGAGAAGACCGTTCTCTGTCAATGTCTCCATCTTTATCGGCAGTTCTTTTACCCATTGTAAAATCGTCTTACATGAACTGTTGTTATCATAAACACTTAAGACGGACAGACAGACGGACAGGTAGTCTGTTAGACGGACGGACAGACACAGACGACACAACACGATCGACGGAGAACGGTCGGCGCGAGGCTTTATTTGCCCAAGTATGACAAGTTTCGCATGAAGCAAGTCAATCTTGATCTTTGATTTGCTTCGCTTTGACTATTTGTTTGTGAATCATTGAACGTAGTTCACCAATTGTCAGTAAACTTGCGTTCCGAGCGTAGTTGTTCGTTAGTAGCTGTTTGATCTCAAGTACTGCCACGTAAATCTCTTTCTCTCTCTTCAAGATCATAATAACTTTCAAAACGTGTAAACACTTGAGTCACTTGTTTCTGTTTCGTTTTATTTTGTCAGCTGAGACGACGACACCGAACCGAAAGAAAGCTTACTGCTGTGTGAAGTCGGTGTTTGTGTGTGACGGAAAATGGCCGCTACCATGAGTGATCCTGTTGATTCGTCCTGTGATTTTTCGAAATCGCCCGTCTTTACGACGGAGGCGATCAACAAGATGGAAAATCAAGAAAATGAAGGCGTACCTTTGCAGACCGCCTGGACCTTCTGGCTGGACAAGTAAGCAGAAGCTTTTGGCAAGTCGGTGCTTTGTAAACAGAGGGAGTAGATTTGCCCTCTGACCCTGAGATGTTTACCCCTTAGATGATGTCATTCCATCCATTGCCATGGCATTGTCCTAAGGAAATCCTGTTGAACTCATCCCAAGGACATCATCTTGGCAGTGCGTAACGTACTCTGTTCTTACGTTGGGCACAGCCGGGAGTCTTCAGGATGACCTCTCTCTCGCACTTACAGGATGCTGGCCATCCCCTCCCTTCCTCCCCATCCCCTTTCCCCCCGGCGGCCCCCTGCGTCTGCACCAGAGAGGACAGTCTGCACTGTACACCTGTCGTTTGACATTTATGTAACAAATTGATGCTTTTACACATGTATAATTTAAGGCATGCCATTTAAATTTTTGCATTCTGTTGGACTCATTGATTTGTCCTCTGTGTTCAAGGTCTGTCCATGGAAGCTCAGCAGCTGAATTTCAGGCAAATCTGAAAAAAATTTATACTGTGCGGTCTGCTCAAGGATTCTGGGCCGTGTACAACAATATACCAGGAGCTGATGAAATACAGGTAGCTTAATTTCCAATGGCTCATTCAAAACAAGATGGTTTAGTATACAATAATCAATTATTGGTGATCATAGGTACGATACAGCTATCATTTGATGCGAGAAGATCGTAAACCACTGTGGGAAGAGCCCTACAACAGGCGAGGAGGTACATGGAGAATTAAGTGTCAGAAGAGGGATACGGTAAGCAATTTTGGTTGTTCAGTTTGACAAAAATAGATTTTAATTTGAACTTGGAATGTAACTTGTTAATTTTTTCCAGACGAAAGTATGGAGGGAAATGCTTGTAGCTGCAATCGGAGAGCAATTTTCTGATGCCCTCGCTGATGGTGATGAAATATGTGGAGTCACTGTATCTGTTCGAGACCGGGAAGATTTAGTGCAGGTAGCTTGATTGGCGCAATATGAAATTATTTACTTTCTTGTTCTTAGTTTCCATTTGCTTACTTGATTCTTTTCTATATACTTCTCTCTCTCTCATAACACAGATTTGGAACATTAATGCTGATTTAAGTGAAAAGTCCACTGTCATATCACGAGTGCATAGACTCCTACCTGATGTTGATTTCCCAGCCATCTTCTATAAGCGTGAGTGTTCTCATTGTCAATTTTTATGAACCTGAGAGATTTTAAGGGAAGGTTCAGGCGTAAATCTTACTTTCTTCAAAATAGTTTCACTATGAAAATTTAGTGAAACTATGATCTTGGCTTGGATAAAAAAAAGGACCATATTTCCACCAAATTGGAACAGTGGAAAACATTTTGAAGAAAGCAAAAAAAATTTTCCTGAATCAGTATTGCATATGTATTGCTGCAAAATGAAAAATGTAACTGAAATTCCTTGTGCAGGGCATGATACACACCAAGCCTTTGAAAAAGGAAGACGTTGATCAATGGTGGTTGCTGGTTGGTGATCTCGGTATTCACAATAAAAATAGTTCAGATATTAATACAAAATCTATGAAAGTGTAGAGAGTGTGCCCTACACTACAAAAGTATCACTTTTTAATCAGACTCAAGTGAAAATTAAATTTTGACTGGAATTAATTGACCATCATACCCAGAATTGCCAAATTAGTTCTTAACGGTGATAAAGTTAAGATTATCTAGTTTAGTGAAGGGTACCGGCAACCAGAAATACCAGTGCTCTTCTTAATTTAACTTTGAATAATGATAATCATCAAGCACTCCCTCCTCCCAATTGATGAAGAGTTGTAGTATTTTATCTCATTCTTCAAGTGCCATTTTATGTTATCAGAGTCCAAGACGATTTTTTTACTTTAACTGTTGATACCTGAAGGGTCTATTTTATTTTAATTAGTCTTGTTTTTCACTTACTATAAAAATTATTTAGTTCTAGCTATTATTATACAATTTTAAGAATAAATTTGTACTTTTTCAATTCTTTCTTACTTCTATTTGATGAATTTGTAATAGTGCCATGTTGTTGAAAATAGCTCTTGTTCACTGCAACTGTACTTGTGCACAAGTTGACAATATACGGAAACAACCTGGAGCAGATTTTTGACTTTTGAAGAAGAGCGAGTTAGTTATACTCTTTAAGTCACATCTCCTTCACCACCAATACAACAGTGTTTACCGATAAGAGAGCCAAATTTGGTGAAAACGAAAATTTGCAAGTGTTCGAAAGGGTCCATTAGAGTTAAACAATTCAGTGGCACACAGCAACTCATAACTCATATCCAACACAAGTAGAGAACAATCAAAAAGAATTTATAATATATTGCTATTGGATACAAAATAATATCAGACACTCACAAATCTTTAGGTCTTTTTAATATTTTCATACAATCTAAGACACTCGGTTGCAGATAACGCACCAAGATGAATTTGTTTTCCATCCTCAGCGATAATATTAGGGTCGTTAACTACGAGAGTTAACTTAGGCTCCTCTCCTTGGTACGTTCCCTTTGCTTTCATTTCACGGATAATTAATTCCTGTAAGGTAAAAACAATATATCATTAAAATCCTGAAGACTCAACACATGCCCATATCATTTACAGAACAATGTGTTTTCAAAATTTGTTCATTCATACCCGTAAAAGAGGGGGGAAAGGAGCAGTGGGATGAAACTTTCTAGTTATTTCATATGGCGGAGGAAGTTCTCCTCGTTTTACTTTTGTAAAGCTTTCTTCTTCCTCTTTGGGTATTAACCTGAAATCTGGCTTGAATGTATTCCAAGATAGCCACTCTGTACCACGATATGTGCCTCTGAAAACATTTTCAACAAGAGCGCGCACTCTTCGAACTTCACCCATATCAACAACAGGAGGCAAAACTTGAATTTTTCCCTGAAAACAGAAGCACGTCCATCAAGTGACACTAACTTAGTTAATAAAATAATTTTTTTAGTGGGTATGAACAAACCTCTGGAGGTAGCGCTTCGACTTTAAGTATTCTGAACCATGATGGAGCTGGATCTGAGTATCTTTTATTGTAATCATTTCTAATAACAATCCTACCAACCCCATTATTCCTTAGATTTCCAAGAATTTCCCACAAAGTTTTTCCATGAAACGCGGTAGCTTTACCATAAATCTCATACGGCATTGCAAATCTGGTCACTTTCCTACCAAGAATTATTTCAAATTTGTCTAGGCCACACGAAGGATAGCTTCTGCTCTCAAAATTTAGGTTAGGTCGTCTAGCAGACAGTTCACCAACATGACGCTTACTTTTTGCTTTCCTCGGGCAAGCTTTAAAACCATAATATCCCAAAAGAATTTGTCATATTCAAAATTGGAACTTTAGGAACATTAGGCTTTGACATTGAAAACGCATTTAGTAGACAGAGTCCCCATTCACTACTAATGCACTTCTGCAATGTTGGGTGAACTGCAAGTCGTTTTGGTGGTAAATTCGAAAGCAAGCGCGGTACAACCAGCTAATTCCAGTCCCCAATCACGTTTAATTCACTGACGCAAGGAGCAGGTAGGTCGACCGAGAAATCTGCGCAGACTCTTCAATGTGAAATTGTCCGGCAGGGCAGTAAAAGAAAAGAGTTCTCGAGACCGACAATCCGCAGGCGAAGGGTACCGCGGGGGGCGGGGCGTGGCGGGGCGGGCGGCTCCGCGGCGTGGTGGTGGTCGCGGCCCGGGGCCCGTCGCACATGCCTCCGCAGTGCAACGGGAGCGTCGACGGCCGGCGGCCAGACCGGAGCGCCGAGGGCCTTCCCGCAGACGAAGCGACCTAGACTGGGCTAGTCCTCGACCTGGTCCTCGACCTGGTCCTAGACGAACCGGTACGGGCGTGCGGCGCGCCGACACCATGTTCGCCTTGGTCCTACTGGGCTCCGCCATCTCCGTCCTGACCGCCATCCTCCTGGTCCACCAGCTGTCCAGGCCACACAACTTCCCTCCAGGCGAGTAGCGCGGGTGATCCTCCTGGTCTTTTGCAAATGAAATGGAGGTGTTTGAGGTCGTCCGCTCCTAGTTCCCCACGTGCGGCTCGCAGGGATGCCGTCAAACACGGATCGCCTGAGGCAAAAACGGTGCGCGCGGGCCGGCAGGGCTTATTGTCTAGTGGGTGGGGTGACTGCCAATCAGCCACGGCGCCACGGGTCCTTGCTCGTGCACTTCGTGCACTTGGCTCCGAGTCTCCGAGGCGCGAGAGCCGGGGCGCGGGCAGGCCGGCCAGGGGCAGGGGGCGGGGCGCCGCGCGACAGGGGTCGACGGGGACGTTACGTCGGGCTCGGGGCTCGCGCTAACTTTGGCCTGCAGCCGCTGTCCGGGCCAGCCCGGCCTGCTGGGCCCGGCCTGCTGGGCCCGGCTCTCGAACCATTCGCGGTCGCAACGCGGTCACAGCGCGGCAGCACGTGTTTGCTGATAATATTTGCCGCTCGTCTCGTCTAGCGTGGGGGGCGCGCGACGCACTATACACTATAGTCGGCGCGCTTGGAAGGCTTGGCCCCTGGCTTGGCACTGCATCCAACGGCCGTGGTGCTTGTGCCTTAGCGGCCGTCTTCCTCCTGCAGAGACGTGCGGTAGAGAGACGGGCAGAGGGCAGAGGCAAGCCTTGCAGTGCCGGTGTTTGCCGCCTATTCCTTCCGGGGGAACTCCCGACTGCCGTTTGTTTTGGCTAGTTCTGGGCCTGTCCGCAGTCGATTGATTCCGAGCGGTGCTTTCGTCGCTGTGACGGGGCGGCGAGGGGCGGCCCGTAGGGGTGCGAGAGAGACAAGACGACGGAAACGCAGTTCGGAATGAAGCTGCTGTCCACGACCACCACACTGGTAGGGGTGCGACGAGTGCGGCGTCGTCTGCCGCTGAGTAAGGCTCGCCGTCGTCGCCCCGCCCGGAGGCCTACGTGCATCGGCGCACGCGTCCGGAACAAGGCCGCCGAGGGCGAGACGGTGGTGGAGACGCGTGGATTGCTTTGCCTCAGGCTTTGCCGTAGGCACGATGGGACGGGACGGGGCCCTTGGTCGTGGCGGCACTAGTTCATTGATTGTATCGCCGACACGGCGTCGCATGGCTTGCGCGCGGCACCCGCACCACGCCGCGCACCCCGCCGTGAGCACAAGGGACTCTCACGGACGCGGTGCGCGGTGCATCCTCGCTGCTCATCAAACCAGTTTGAGACGCTTGACCGGGCGCGCTGCACGATGCCCCTACTGCATTCTGCGTCCGAAGGGCTTTACTGGTTCAATCCACGACCTGACGGATTCCGCACGACAACGCTCTCTCTCTCTCTCTCTCTCTCTCTCTCTCTCTCTCTCTCTCTCTCTCTCTCTCTCTCTCTCTCTCTCTCTCTCTCTCTCTCTCTCTCGCACTCATGGGACGCAGGCTGCGCGAGGACACCGAGGACGCTCGGACGGCGCGCCGTCGTGTCGCGGTGCGTGTAGCCGTGCAGCTACACGCGAAGTCGGCGTCTGTTGCACCGCCAGCACCGCCAGCGCCATGTCGCGCTGCAGCGCCGTGCGCAACACGCCCCTCGGGGTGACAGTCACTGCGGCGAGCAGATAAAAGGCGACGTGCAGTCACGCCACCACTCCGTAGGGACATCCTTTTTCGAGACGACTTACATCAGTTGGATTGAAATGACATGACCTTTGACCCCTTCCCTTAACAATGCCATTATGACTTGGCAGCTCCTTTCTGGCGAGCCTTCCGTCAGCATGAGGATGTGCTCTCCCCCCCTTTTCTCCCTTTTCCATCCCCCTGATGACGTCATTCTCGAACGCCCCCCGGTGAAGCGTTTCGGCGCGGCTGCTCCGCGGCTGTTCCGCGCAGCGCATCCCAATCGAAAACGCGACCAGCGCGTTGCACGTTAAGCATTACGTCATAAGAGGCTTTTCCCTCGACTTGCCCTGCGTTGCCTGCGTTGCCGGCGGCCAATTAGCTCGGCTGAAGCTCATATCATCACTTTCGCCTGGCGCCGAGTCAAGTTAGCGGCGTCGCGGTGCTTGGGCGCGGACAGGAAGGAAGCAAACATGAGCAGTAGGGATCAGCCCAGGGAAAAAGGGGGAAGGCCCCCCCCCCTCCCCCTCCTCCCCGCCCTTTGACCCGGCCGGCCGGCTGCCCGTGCGCGCCTCGCGGAGATTATTTCGGTTGACAGAGGATTATCCCATTATCCGCGCCTGCTGTACAGCTGTACTGCCGCGCTAATAAGTCGTGCCCGCTCTGGCCGGCCACGCGCGGCGGCGGCGCGGCTCGGCTCGGCTGGGCAGGGGCCAGTGCTGCCACTTAAGTAGGCAAAAGTTCCCACTATGCACCAGAGCCCAAAGGGTTGGCAACCTCACTCAACCGACTAGACTTCGTTATCGAACGGTTGCGTAGAGTGGGCAGCGCGGAGGTTGGCAACCCTTTCGACGCGGGTGCATGGTGCAGGGTGGGAATTTTCGCCGACTCACGAGGCAGCACTGGTTGCGGCGCAGCGGCGCAGCGGCGCAGCCCAGCGGACTAGAAGTGCGATAAGACTCGGAGACAGCCGCCTGTCCAGATTGTCATCCTTTCTCCACGCCGCGCCCCCCGCCCCTTTCCCCTCCACGCCCTCCACAAGGCCCACGGCCCGGCCGCCGCTAATTAAAACGTGCGCGGTTTAATTTAAAGCGTGCAAATGGCGCTCTTGAGATTGTGTATTGGCAAGCGAGAATAGGCGCCGGCTCGTTTCCCAATGGTCAAGCCAATCCACGGGCGGATCCAGAGACCGGTTGGGGCGGGGTTGCCTACTTACAGAGACAGAGTGAGGCTTTTTGCCGCTTTGTCGCTTTTAGGGGAGGGAAACGGCCCTGGACCGATCGCATCTCGCTAACGCTCCGCTGCTCCATCGCCTCCACCCCCAGGCCCGCGATGGCTGCCGCTGCTCGGCAACCTGCTGGACCTGAAGCGCCTGGTGCGCAAGCTGGGCTCGCAGCACGCCGCCTTCGAGGCCCTGTGCGAGGAGCACGGCACGGCCGTGCTGGGGCTGCGGCTCGGCAGCGACCTGGTCGTCGTGGCCTCCGGCTTCGAGGCCGTCACCGAGGTGCTCACGTCTGACGCCTTCCTGGGCCGGCCGGACAACTTCTTCATGCGGCTGCGCACCATGGGCACGCGGAAAGGTGAGGTTCAAGCCCCGGAGTCTTTTCTGTTTTGCTTTGGTTTCGTTCGTCCGTGTTTGTGTTTATTCTTGCCCCGGCGTTGCGCGCGCAACGCGTTTCCAGGCATCACCACGACCGACGGCGCGCTGTGGTCGGAGCAGAGGCGGTTCGCCGTGCGCCACTTCAGGCAGCTGGGCTACGGCAAGGTGCACATGGAGGAGCTCATCCTGGCCGAGCTCAAGGACCTGCTGAGCGAGCTGGACCCCGCGGCGGAGCAGGTGCGTGGCGCGGTTGGTCTGTAAAGTTAAGGGCGCGCGCCCGAGCGGCGCCGCGCCGAAGCGCCCGAGCGCCGCCCGGCGGAACGAAAACATGCAATGAACTCGAACGTGAATGCTCAAAATCAAAAAGTGGGTCAATAGTTGGATTCCCTGAACCATCCCCTTTCCAAAAATATATATTTTAGTGCACTTTGGAGATGTTTTCGTTCCGCGGGCGGCGCTCGGGCGCTTCGGCGCGGCGCCGCTCGGGCGCGCGCCCTTAACTTTACAGACCAGGTGTACTCGCCGTCGGCGTCGTCGTGGTGCTCTGTCTGGCTCTGACGCGCTGGTGCTGTTGCAGGCCACGGCCGTGTCGCTGGGCCCGCTGCTGCCGCCCTCCGTGCTCAACGTGCTGTGGGCGCTCACGGCCGGCACGCGCTTCCCGCACGGCGACCCGCGGCTGCAGCGCCTGCTGGACCTCATGAGCCAGCGCGGCAAGGCGTTCGACATGGCGGGCGGCGTCCTGGGGACCCTGCCCTGGCTGCGGCACCTGGCCCCGGAGCGCACGGGCTACAACCTCCTCACCCGGCTCAACGCGTCCCTCAAGGAGTTGCTGGAGGTAGGTATGCCACGCCGGTACGACACGCCGGTACGCCACGCCGGTACGACACGCCGGTACGCTACGCCGGTACGACACGCCGGTACGCTACGCCGGTACGTCTCGCCGGTTCGTCTCGCCGGTTCGTCTCGCCGGGACGCCGCCGAGCAGTGCAGCGACATGTGCTGAGCACAGCCGCTGGCCGGCCGTCGCGGCAGCTTGCATGCGCTGGGATGTCCGAGGCTTGGATTGTAATTCTAGGCCCCGCGCTCCAGCTGCCACCGGCCCGCCCCACTCCCCGCCGATCAGCGGACGCGCGGCCGCTAAACGCGGCGAAAGCTCGCCAGTGCCGGACGCCCTGCACGTCCTGGCCACGGTCTCGTCCGATCCGCGAGCCGCGGCGGCCAAAGGCGGCCTTGGAGCTTGAACCTTAATAACCCGCACGGCGTCGGTGACGTCGACGCCGCCGTCGCGCGGCCCCGCGGCCCGGCAGGCGAAGGCGGTCCTCCTGACGGCATGGGAATGCGCCGTCGCCGTCGTCGGCGCTGTCCGCCGCGGCCACTCCCGCAATGACCACTCGCCGGCCGCGTAATCTCAATCATCGCGCGGAGACTCGAACAACGTTTCGCGGGGCTTTTCTCTCTTTTCGGCGGCGACGTCGAGACGGTCGAGACGGCCGAGAGGGGCGTCTCGTCCAGCCAGCCGTGACTCCGCGAAGCGAAGGCCGCTGTAAAAGCGAGGGGCCGTGGAGCGGCGCGGCGACGCGGTCCGGAAGGGCGGGGTCCTGTTGACACGACGAGCAATCACTCCGCAAAGCGCGCAGCAAGGAACGCGCAACATTTGCCTTTTCGGCGATGATTTTCTTTCAGCGGCCTTTCCGGCTGTCTTTTGGCGCCTTATTCCGTTTGTCTTTTAGCTGTCGTCTGGCCTTTGCTGAATCGCACCGCGGTTATTGTGTCCCCAAAGAGCGCACCGCCGTGGAGGCCTCAGCCGCCGCGCCCTCGAGGTGATGTGCCTGTCGTTGACAAATGGCTTGCAGTGCTGCCCCGCCCCGCCCCACCCCGCCACTCTACGCCACGCCCCCCACCGCGCACCGGGGCCTAAACCTTTTTTTCGCGCACTCCGGGTCGGGAGACGTAACGCCGCGAGACCTTGACCCTGCGCGTCTTCTTCTAACCCTCCCCGGCAACGCGCCTGTTTCAGGAGACGATCGCCGCGCACCATGCCAGCTACACGCAGGGCCGCACCAGGGACCTCATCGACGCGTACCTACACGAGGTCAAGGCCCACCAGAGCGAGGGCGTCGAGTCCACCTTCACAGGTGCGTTGTGTGTCCGAAGGCGCGCTGGCCGTGCCGGAGACTTGAACGCCGGACAGTGCGAGCGCCGAGCACCCAGGATGCAGTCATGGAGTGTTTGTTGCAGACGAGCAGCTGGTTATGGTGTGCCTCGACATGTTCCTCGCGGGCTCCTACACCACCAGCAACACGCTCAACTTCGCCTTGATGCTGATGGTGCTGCACCCGGACATCCAGTCCAAGTGCTTCAAGGACATCTACAACAACGTGGAGAAGGGGCGCTTGCCCTCCCTTACTGACAGGCAAAAGTGAGCGTCATTTTCTTGATCCGCACGCTTTTTTCGGATAGGGCCATGCAGATCCTGCCTCGCCGACGGCTCCGCGGCCAGATCGGCAGGCCAGCTGGCCTCCCGGCGCCGCGTCTCGTAAAAAGCGGCTCGAATTCATTAGTCGGGCCTCATGAATACCGAGACCAGGCCATCCCGCCGGTGCATCCCATCGACTCATTGTCGGCCCGAGTGCCGCTAGTGCCAGCACCCGCTAACTTGCGCCTTCAGCGCCTAACGGTTGCGGGGTAGGCAGCCCGCCGAGCACACATGCCTTGCGGGCCGGCCTACCTTGCGCCTTGAGCGCCTAACGGTGGCGGGGTAGGCAGCCCGCCCAGCACAAACGCCTTGCGGGCCGGCCTACCTTGCGCCTTGAGCGCCTAACGGTGGCGGGGTAGGCAGCCCGCCCAGCACAAACGCCTTGCGGGCCGGCACTCGTGACCCTACGGCCGGGGTAGGCAGCTCGCCCTACGTTCAGGCCGTTACATGGATAACGGCTCGATAGCAATGGTGCCATCACAAGTGGGCCGCTTTGGCGCGTCGCCCTACGGACACCACACGGCCAAACACGGTGAGCAGATTTGGTGCTTCCTCGCAGGCTCCCACCGACCGGCCGTCTTGCGCAGGCTGTACCGCAGGCTCACTAGTGGTGCTCTACTCACGGGTGCCATCCGGCCGCGCCGCGCTCTCGGACACCACACTCGCCGGCCACAACATCCCCCAGGTGAGCTTCCAGCTTCACTGTCGTCGCTTCCTCGCGCCGCGTTCCATCCCCGTACCGTTCCCCCTCGTCCTTTCAACACCGCTTTATCCGCAGGGCACCGTGGTGCTCATCAACACCCACTCCATCCACCACGACCGGAAGTACTGGAAGGACCCACACGCGTTCCGGCCAGAGCGCTTCCTCAACGCCAAAGGCAAGATCCAGCCGGACGAGCGGCTCCTCAACTTCGGCCTTGGTACGTTTCTGTGTCTACGCCACTGGACTGACATTCTGGCATGGTGCCGCCGAGTGTTTCGGATTTCTCTCACGTTTAGAGATAAGTCGGCGCCGCGGTCGGCGCGTTGTCTCTGTCGCACTTGTTGAGTGAGAGACGCGCGATCTTTCAGAGTCAGACGGCAGCACCACGCCAGTCATCGCCGAGCCGGCGCGAGAAATCAGGGACCTGCTCTTCACATGACAAGCGTGCATGCTGATTAAACCAGAAACACCAAAAAAGTGGAATTAATGTGCGGTGTCACGTGTGCTGCAGGCAAGCGGCGGTGCCTGGGCGACGCGCTGGCGCGGAACTGCCTCTTCTTGTTCTTCACGGGGATGCTGCAGCGGTTCCGCTTGTCCGTGCCGCCGGGCGAGACGCCGCCGTCCAGAGAGCCCGTGCCGGGGCTGACGCAGTGCCCGCAGCCCTACCGTGTCCTCCTCACTCCCCGCACCGCGTGCCCCGGCTCCCCCAGGACCCCCCGCAATGTGTCGCCGCTGCCCGGCGCCTAGAACCAAGAACCAAGCCTGGACCTCGGTCTGGATCCACGACAAAACATTGCCGCAGTGCCGCGTTCTCGTTTTTAAAACATTGACTTTCCTATTCGTGCCAGCTCTTGGCCGGGTGGACCTGGCCCCTTCTCAACAGAAACTTTCTTCGCGTGCCCCTCCTGTCCACTCCTCCTGAGGTATGTTTATTTATGCCTTATTTTCGATACGTTGCAAATTTTTTAACTTGTATGCGTGACTAAATTTTTACTCCGGTTTACGAACGTTGCAATGACCATCTGTGATAATAAAGAAGTATTAAAGTTATTTAAGAGCCGCACCCGGGCTGCCATTTCGATATTTTTGTGCAGCGTCAGCATGCATTGCTATGCGCGGTTCAATCATTGTCAACGAAGGTAAAATAAATGGATAACTATATGTTTCCTCACATTTTTCTCTATACCGGTGCGCCCGGCTGGTAGACCACCCATCTGACAGGCAAAAAGAAAATTACACCCAACATAGGTGCATAGGTGATACGAAATACATTACAATTTCATTCATTATCTGCTTTTACACTAGAGTCAACGAGTTTTATTTTCTCTACTGACAGACTTCCTGAGCTTAAGTCCATAAAGAACAATCATTGTCCAATTACCTATTGAGAAAATGTGCAGAGCAAAATCTGGTTAAGAAAGAATTAGGAGTAAAATGAATAAATATTTTATTGATGCAAGGTGAGTAGCATGCATAGGATAAACACGTGATACAAGATCATCATTTCAATTGTATTAATAATATCATATGAAGATTCAAAATAATGACAACTTTCAAAAAGTTAGATGACTCATAAAGTAAATTACTGATGCCTCTGGCAGTTTCTTTATCTAAAATAGCAGCCTTTCATCCCTTATAAGATAAGGAATGATAATGAGAATGAGTAAAGAAAACTTATAACAGAGTAAATTGTCTCCATTCCAAAGCAAGCATGACTGTGAGAGTAATACACTGGTGCCAGAAGAAAAATGAGATACTGTCGACATATAAATCTGCATGAGGACGGGCTTAACATTTGAATAGATTATCAAAAATGGTCATCAAAAGGAAGAATAACTCCTTTTTTTGAAAATAGTAGGTATAAATTCACAGCCACCATACTCACAGTAAGCAAAATCCTCAATATATCAATCAAATTTGTAAGCTTGCCTCATGTTAAAAATAGCACAATAAAACTATACATTAACATTCTTGTAGAGATTTAAAAAGCACTAAGCTGAGAAATAGTTGCCCATGCAATAAATGCAATTTTAATGATTAGATTAAACACATAGTAAAGGTAACGAGATTTCTCTCACAACAATCAAAATTAACAATACTGTACAGCCAGAGATTTATAACAAGAAACATCCTCATCAAATGTGATGTAGTGCTAAGTGGAATATGGTCCAAATCCTAAACAGCCAACTCACAACACAAAATATCCATCTTCTGTAACCAGGCCAAACTACTTAACCATAACAAAGTGAGAGTGAATCTCAGAGCAGATTCAGTCGCTGTCTGAAGATGATGATCCGCTGTGGAGAGCATTGCTTATTGCATATCCACCGAGGCCTCCTATCGCCAAGCCTGCTGCAGCACCAGCAGCTGCTGAACCAAATTTGCCCATACCTCCACTTGACTGTAATGAGCAAGAAAGGCAGATTAGAAATCCAAGCATCTGGGCCATATTTTAAGTTATACTCGTAAGTACATACCTGGTTTTCAACAACATAAGTTTGAGGATAATCTGGAGCATATGCAGAATAAGCAGGTGGGTTGACAGAAGGGTAGATTGCTGGAGATGGGTCATAGGCCATAGGCATAATGTAGCCACTGGCTGGAGCCATAGCTGTGCCCCCAGGTACAACTTCTGGTGGTGGGTCTTCAAAGCGTACAGCTGATAGTTGAATATCTCCATCAATTGTAATGTGAGATACAGTTTGGAATGCAAGGCGGTGTTCAAACTCAGTGTAGTGCGCACCATTCACAGCAATCTAAGGACACGCCAGCATAGAGAAAATAGTATCAGCTGAATTTAAAAAGAACATCAGGATTACTGAAAAAAAGTATGTCTCAAGAAAACCAACCTTGAAGTGCGTAGCTTCGCACAGTAAAATTATTTCAAATGCTTGTCCAGGAGAGAAAGGAAAGTAACCAAGACTTTCTTCAGGTCCCCACATCAGGTTCTGAAGTGAATTTCTGATGACAGTGTGTGTGACAAACTGTGGTGAAAAGTGAAGAGCAATGTTGTCTCGAGGCTCTGTGTTTGGTCCACACTGAAGATTGATGGCAAACCTTCAAACAATTTAGAAAACATCATCACAAAACTGTTATTAGTTTCATACTGCAAACATTGAGAAAAAAATTGTGAGGTTCTTTAGTGTTTTGTACCTTTGGGCTGAAGGGTGAACAGTTCCCTGAACGCGGATCATACGTCCAGGAAAAATTCCTGAGGGAATGAGCCCTCGATACGGAACCACCTGAGAAGAATAAAATTATGAGAATGGGGTGTTCCTTTCAACATGGCTCAAAGAGAGTGGATGGAACACTTGGCTGATATTGGCAATACCAGTAGATATTTATGAGCTAACAGGAGCTATCACAAAACACCAATGACAGCAATTAAATTTTGAAACATTACTACATGGATACAAACTTAATAACCTACTTACCAGGTTTTGAGGGTAAGACATTTTGGCAGCAGAGAAACGAAGACCGCCCCAACCAAACTAACTGCAATAGAGAGTAAATGATGTCATGGGCTGTCTGCTGATGCAAGTGACAACTAACCAATTAATGACCCAGTTGACAAGTACTGTCAAGTGTCAAGCTTTCACAACAACGGAAACCGGTAGTTAACCTGCAGGTCCTTGAGGATTCGCAGGGAAGAAGTTGTAGAAACCGTACTCACCAAAAACGTTCTAAGTTTCCGCTAACGTGCTGTGTTCAAGCGATAACGAAACTTGTCATGTGCTGCTTTATTTGTTTTCGTGACTCACGACGAGTATTCAAAGTCGTGACATACGCCCAGTGGGGTGACGGTGTGACGCGGCCTCGGAATGACGTCACAAATGCCAGCTGCTAGGAGCCGCGCAGGCACTCGTACCGCAATGAAACCATATTTAGTCAAGCATTAAGGTCATGGGAAATCTTCTCTCATAAGATAAGGTAAGAATTTTTTCCACAAAACAGGCACATTTTATTTTATTTTCCAAAAGTTTCCTTTGTCATTTTTGTTAGAAAATAAGAAAATTAGCTTTACAGATGTTGGTACAAAAACAGCGGGAAAGTTTAAAAGCACAGGCCGAACACGCACAGCTGGATTGTCAATTAATTTGATATCTGTGTCAGTAAAGCGCACCCTCTGGTGACCCACACATCTTCCTTCAGATTTGTGGGGAGTAGAACAGTCATAACGAAATTTGTAGAGTGCCCGGTGGTGGAGAGAACGCCAGCTCGAACTGACGTCTTGTACAAGGGAGCTTTGTAACGAAGAGGGCTTTCTGGAATTGATGTGCCAGGCGCAAGGAGTACCGCTGGAAGTGGGGGATTAATTTCTCCTGCAGCATATCAAGGATAAGATATTAGATTAGTTATGACAAGCATTGAATGTAACGAATTTGGCATGCAATTTCACCTGGATTTGGATCAGCCAACATTTTCTGATCATAGTCCCAACGAGCGGCTTCCAAGAACAGGCCATGGATAAATACTCCATCTTTTGGTTGATGCACTCCTTTGTAAGCTGACTTTACCTTTTATCATTTAAATAAATCACAGTTTTTACAGAAATAGCAGTGATTTTAACAAATATATGACAACGATACTCTACCTCAGTTTTAGCCTTGCGGTGTTCTTGCTCTACCTCATGCTGATGTAGCAATACACTCCCAACATTAAAGTCAAACATAAGTTGGTCTATTGGAAGAGCGTATTTACGAGCATGAGTTTGTAAAACGCCTGTCAGGAATCCTTGAGGAAAAAAGAACCCGGACAGCCAAAATGATTCTGGAGGCCCAGTTGTAAGCCACATCTAGAGGAACAGGAGTAATAAGTCTTACTAATTTCCTTCCATTCTAAAAACAAACTGTAACCTGTATTATAAATTCTGATCCATTTTACCTTAATAAAATCTAGGCGAAGCTCCAGGTCATGGACCCAACTGGACAGTGACTTCATCGAGGGATAAGCTGCTCTTGCCCACAACTTCGGCACCTGTATTACGATAGAAAAATGTTATGAATTAATTTGAAGTCTGTCCAGGGAAGAAACTTTAGTGTAAGTTTAATAAAAGGACAAACTCAAAAACTTACTTGATTATTGATGAAAGCATAATACACTTCTTCTAAGCTTTCGGACATAACTACAAATCCTTTAATGGCACGATTTAAATTTGATAAGGAGGAGTGAATAGCCAGTAAGAGTTTGTTAAATCGGTCCACTTCCTGAAGGAGAACTGTGGTGAGGGATGGCAATCTACCCTCTTCATCTCTCTGTTAACAAACAAGTAAACAATGAACCGCAACTACACCATTGATTGGTTGATTGATTCACCAACATTATTAAAGGTTGTACCTTTCCCAGATGAGGGTGAATTTCTTCTACATCCAGTCTTTCAATAATTCTGAGCGAAATACTTTTTGATAATTCTAAAGCAATGTCATCACTTGATGCAGCTTCACCTCCTTTTGATTCTTGAGGTTGAACACTCAGTATTGTTTGGATCACTGCTTGAGTTTCATTCATCTACACGTTAAATAAAAGCTGTTACAATCCAAAAATGCTCCAACAAACCTAAACCTCTTCTTTTAAAAAAAAAATTAAAAAAATTAAAAGCAAAAAAAATTGGAAATTTACCTCAAATGCTATATTGGCATTTTCATGCATGCCAAAAATTTCAGGTTCATCAATAATAGGTAGTTTGTTGATGAAGTTACGGTATTCATCCAAAGTTTTACATGCCTCTGATTCAGGGCAATAGTAAACACCTGACTGTGAGAATTTGTAGCCTGAGGAGTAAGAAAGGCAGCAATGGTCACTTTTCATGAACGGTTTTGAAATAATGTAAGTACTTTCAAGATGTGTAAAAATAATCTGACCTGCTTCCAAGGTTTTCTCTGAAAAGAAACATCTCAAGATAGTAGCTAGACACCGTTGATCCCAATTATCGGTAACACGACCTCCATAAGTAATTTCCCCTGGAAACAAAACATAAGCAACATAAAATTTATGTTGGAATTTTTAAATTATTGAAATAAAGTTTTTATTAAATAAGCTGATACCTGTGATATACTCCAATGCATCCCAAGGTATGAACCCATCATTACAAAATAATTTTAAGTTAAGGAGAGCACATTCTCTGTCACTGTCACTAAAGTCATAGATAATATTCCAACCTAAAGGACCGAACTTTTTCCTTTCTTGGATGATTGCTTGAAAAATGCAAATTCCAAACACCATTCTTCGCCAATGAGGGCCAAGTGCTGGAAAAGAATAGTCATTGAAAATGAATAGAGGGGGAGGGGGGCAGAGGAGAATTAGATTGAGTGTGTAAAGTAATTATCCTCACGGTTGTCTTCAAAGAAATCCTCCCTCATTTCTGAAAATGCTCTCTTTATATTAGCTCTTAGTCCCTTTGGTGATTCATTGGTTACTTTGATAGAGTTTTGGAGCACAGACACGGGAAATGCTTGACAAGGTGACGAACTGAGAAACAGTCGGAAATCGATATGCACTTTATCAGGTGCCTCTGCCAATGACTGAACTAGTCGCTCAAGTGACAGCATCCATGAAGCTGCAAGATGACAGTTCTGAAAGGACAAAATTTTAATATATTAAGATTCTTTTAAATATGAACTCCTTTTGTGAGATTTTCTAGAAGAAACAGTAAGCACCTGAAGGAAGACCCAGTCACCTCTTGAAGACGCTGAGCGAATCATTTTCTCTGCAATAGGTCCTTGGCCCTGTCCAAGGGAAATAGCCTGAACTTTGTCCCTGTTGCCCAGGTCATATGCAAAGCGTTGGAATGATCCAAATGGATCTGAGCCAGTACTTAATATGAATATCAAAGGGGTGATATTATTTGTATCTTGGTACCTAAATAACAACATCAGAGAAGTTAATGCCAACATTAATGAATGAATGAATTGGACAATGAAACAATGAAGCCTCTACCATACTTACAGTACATTAAGATTTACTTGGGGACTTTCCACAAATGTTTGACCAAGTTTCTTTTTGACATATTCAGTAATGGCAAAGACCAGCTACATTTTTCAGAGAACAAAAAATGAGTGTAGATGAGAATATTTAACACTTAATTGATTAAGTTTCATGTATTACCATACCTTCTCTTGTTTTAATGCTTTGATCAGCATCAATTTACTGAAATCGTCCAGAGATCCATTCCAATCCTTGCCACTTTGGTTGCTGGAACCAAGTTTGATATCCTGCAAGTCACAAAAGACAAAAAGGAGGATGAAACATTGATAGGACAAGAGGAGCACAAGAATCCAACAAAATGAAATTACATACAATGCGTAAATCCCCAACTGTAAGTGTAATCACAGATGTCAAGGCTGCAGGTAATTCGATAAAAGGTGGAAAGACCTTAGCTAGATATTGTGCAGATATCCACATTTGGTCAGAGATTAATAAACCAGTTGGTTTTTGTGACCCTGCCTCCTGTGGGACAAAAACAGATGTTAGTAATGCAAACAAGTATTAACTAATTATACAGATACATAGAAATAAGAAAAAAACAAATGAGTCTGACTGGTTTTGTTGCTGACGAGCCTCTCAAGAGGAAATTCCATTGAAGCTCAGACACAGATCCTGCTTGTTGCTGAATGCTTGTACAAAGAAGAAAACTAAAAACAAGCTTGTGCTTTTCAAACAGGCCTCTTGACACTGTGGAGTACACAGCTGAAGTTGTCTCTGAGAGTAATACTCGCAACCTTTGGTTAAGGTCTGATGATTTTTTGCTAGTTTCAATCACAGTATTGAATACCTGCAGAGAGCAAATTTACAATACAAACAAGTGATAATAGAGGAAACATTTAAAAGGTCTTTAAGCAAAAGCATTAATAAAACTGACCATTTTGAAGTATTTTAGTGAGTATTGATACATTGGATCAATTTCCCCGAGTTGAGCAACCACAAAATAAAGGGAGGAGCCCCTTGCTGCAACTATACGGTACTTTTCTCTGGCAATGGAAATCTTTTCCTCCGTTGCCTCAGCTTCCTCTAACCGAGTGCTAATAATAGCAGAAGTTTCCTGAAAACAATGTTTGTTAAATTGACCACTTCAGAAAATCACATAAATTATCATTTGCACCATACTCACCTTGCTTTCATTTAGAGTTTCTATTAGTTCTTCATCATCTAAGATGTTTCCTGTTGAGTGGAATAGAAGCTGTAGTATTTTGTCCTCTATATTTTTAAGTTGCTGTTTATCTGCATTAATTCTTGTAATGAGCTCAGTGCGTTGTGTTTCTAAATCAGGCCGTTCCAATCTCACAACATCCCTAAAGCAAAATTAAAAGTTTTAAAAGTGTAGAAATAAACATAAATAATCATAATGACAGTGATAATATCTACATACGCTAGCAGTTGATCTTCCAAGCCTGAAAGTGTCACTGTAAAATTTACAAGGGTGACTTGTATGCATATTTCAGGAAGATAATGAGGATTGCTCATTTTTGTAGTCATGTACAACCGGAAATTTTTGTCATAATCAATCTCAGAATCAGCAAACCTAATCAGCAAACGGCCTGACTGCAAAGAAAAAGTAGATAAAGATAACAACCATAATAACAGCAGGACATCTTCTACGATTGAGGAGCACCAATACCTTCATGTAAGTTTGACGCAACAGTATAGGTGTAAGTGCAGGATCCAGTGTTTCCCCAAGTTCTTCAAGTAAGACAGGATAGCCTAGACGAATAGCACTCTCCAAAGATTGAAGGAGGTTACCATCCGTCAATCTTACAACCTTCAGATTCTTCTTAGCTTCCATTGCTCGTATCCAGCGATTAGCCTGCAGTAGGAAAATTATGTTTCATAAAACAAATACTGTAAAACTAAGATAAATTATTCAAACAAAAAAAAAATACCTGCTCCTGTGGATCAATCATTAGAGGCCAACGTCCAGCTTGTGTGACTAGGATAGCATTCTCAGTAGAAATATTATCACGTGGCAAGCCAAATGAATTCCACAAACGTATATCATACGGATCGGCAAGCACAAGGATCAGGCTGAAAATAAATTTCAAGTAAATTTGAGAAAATTTCCCAACAATGCCACTAGTTTGAGGAATTAGGATGAACATACTCGAATGCTGTTGAAGCAGGAATTTTTAAATTCATACATCGCTGCAGCCATGTCTTAATTAGTTCTTTCCTGTAGCTAGCAGTAAAAGCTCCAAGATATGACAAATATGCAGCAGCTATGAGTACATTCCCTGTCATATTCTGTAACTCTTCAGTCAACATCTAAAATTATAAAAACAGTTCTGATATGATTCTTTTAAGTGTGTACAATTAGAGAACAGTTTCATTTTATTCCATTTTTAGCAGTACCTTGACACTGCTTTCCCAACGAACTTGCTCATCACCAAGAGCAGCTGTTAAACTGGCCGAACGTGCTAGACGAGCAGATGTTAAAGCAATACTATCCTCCAATTCAATCTTTTCACTTAAACTTGCATCATAAGTTGCCTCTAGCTTGGCAATTGTTGCCTCAACATCTGCTAACTTCTGCTGCTTTTCCTGTAGCACAGCCATAACAGCAGCCAACTCACGCTCAGCCTGCTCTAATCTTCAAACCAAAAGAAACACAAAAGCATCAGAAACTTTTGGAATCATCTTCCATCAACATCACATCAAAACCTAACTCACCTCTTTTTCTTGGGCTCAACAATTTTATAAACTTTCGAGTAAGTGTCTATGGCACGAACCCAAAGACAAATTGACTTGCAAACCTTCGATTGTGTTGCTACCACATCTGGGACAAAATCTTTGTTGTCTATGTAAACCTTCAGCTTTCTTAAGGTCATATCAGGTATGTGGTCCTTGTCATACTCTTGTAATTTCTTCAAAAAATTAGTGTCAGCTAGAACCACCTTTGCTGTTGCCCAATCAGTTCTGCAAGTGAAAAAATATTCAAACAGATTGTAAAATCAAATTTGACTGAGACAATCACCACTTACTTTTGACCAAGAAGCAGGCAAACAGCTTCCATCACAGTTCGAACCAGAGGGGGAGGTTTATTGAAAACCTTGAGTTCATTTATATCATTTTTGTTGAGAGCTTCTAAAGCTTTTGTTGCTGCCTCCATAGCAGGTAAAGCTTGATCAAGGTCTGCTTGAGCATCATCGGCAATGGCTTGTGTTTCATCAGCTTTGACCTACACAAAATTTCTCAAAGTAATGAAGAGAGTAATTTATGTACAACAGCCTCTGGATAAAGGGACTTACTTTGGCAATGGCCTCATCAGCTTCTACAACTTGACGAACTTCCATAGCCTGAGCTTGCTCTTTTACAAGGCGATCCATTAACTTATTTGTCGCTTCTGACTTTTCTTTCAGAACAGGCCCTAAAGCTGAGAGCTCTATTTTCATTTGGGCCACTAGGTCATTAGTTTCATACAGTTTCTGTTGATGAAAATTTTGAATAATAACTAATAAGTCCTTATGATTTAATTCGAAGTAGAGAAAAGGAATATTTTAGATACCTGCAAACCGTTAGCAATGCGATCTCGTTGTCCACTTGTTTCTTTTTGTTTTTTGTCTAACAATGCCAAAAAGAGTTTTATGAGTTCCAGGTAACTACTGGGTGTTGTGTAATAATGTCTGCGCATCTCCAAATAAAATCTCTGTGACATTTCACCAACGCTCTGAAAAGTTATGAAAGTCCATTCTATAATGTATTACTTAAAAAAAAAAAATTAAAATTTTTAATAAACAGCAAAACAGATTTGGCTTGAAACATTTTTTACCTCATGGATCAAAACACAAATATTAGCATAGTTGTCCAAATGATCTTCTTCAATATGCTCTTTGAGAGAGTTCACAGCTACTGAGAGGAGAGCATCTTGCGGCCATTCAGAGAACCAATCAATAGCACAGCAATTCACCAATGAAGGAAACATGCGACACCTTTGCCTGAAGTATGTAAGCACTTGTTTGAACTTGTATTCATTGTTTTTACTTGCAAGAATTAATATGGCAGGGATCACGGTACCTAAACGAATCTCCTACAGGACTCATGCACAGTACGAGATGTAACTTAGAGCGCACACGGGTAATGAAAAAATTAAAAATGGCATCTCTGTTATGTTCCATGATGCCTGCTTCTTTGGCTGCTGGACGTACTGCTTGAATTACCTTTTCAAGCTCATCCCCCTCAAAGAGACCAGGTACTTCCCCTAAAATTAAGGTACATAAATTGTTAAATGAATGATCATGACAAAGTACAACTCAGAAGTGTAACATCCAAACCTGAATTCAAGATATTATTTATATCCTCAAGAAATTCTTCCTCAACCACTTGTGTATCAGTGAAAAGAAATACTGTGGCTTCATTTTTAGCTCCTGCATTAAAATACAATTTCCGAAGATCTTCAAAGAAGGACTCATGGTTGTAATTTCGAGCTAGTTCAATTTGGAAACATCTAAAGGGGAAGAAAAGTGATTGTGAAAGTGCATTTCTTTCATAGGCTCCGTTCTGTTTCGGTCTTAGAATACTTACTTGTAGCCATTGAGGTGGGCCCCCAGGATAGTCAAACTGCGTTTTCCCATTCCACCAACTCCCACAAGCAATCCATTCCCCCTTTCAGCTCTAAGAATACGAGCTATTCTGACAGTGTGTTCAATGGCATCCATAAAAAGTATGAGTTTCATTTCACAAGGTGCTGTTAAATTATATTCATCCAGATAATCTTGCAAAATATTCTGTAGCTTGGACATATCTTTGACTTCCTCATAAATTCTATCTTCAGTAGGAGTAGAGGGATTCATGAAATCTCCGAAAAGAATTATTGGAGGCTTTAAAATCACATCATCATCAGGCAATTCTATGACTGAACTGCCGAAACATCTCGAATTAACGTCTGCTAAGAGTTTATAAAAGTAGCTTTTGTCACCAACACTGGTCAGGCGATCATGAAAGACTCTCAAACATTCATGTGAAAACAAACGTAGAAGATCAATGCCTTCTCTTAAACTACTACTATCAGCCTGTAGAACTCCCTGTACACATTTAGATAAATCTCTCAAGTTAAAGACATAATGGGACTTTGTTGGAGTTGGTAGCAAGTCTTCCATTATTCTCCGATAAATTTCAATTGAAGCATTGACGACTGCATCCGCTAAATCTTGAATAGGCTTGACAAACTCCGACAAAAACCCTCGAAGAATAGACTAAAAATCAAAGAAATGAAAAAATAGCTTCAATGCAGATGGTCAATGCTTATAGGCAAATTGTACAGCCAATAGATTACCTTGAATATAACTTTGAGAGAAGCTTCATTGGGTTTTGGTATGTGAAGCACACTGAAATGTCGAACAAATCGAGGAGTCAAAGGGTTACGCCCCCCACCTGGAGGTGCACAGGCTGCAGTGATGATTACATCTTTGATGTCTTTCCAGAATAACTTTTCTCGATCATAGAGACCATGAAAATCAAGATATTGTCTAAAGAAAAGAAGACACAATAAAAGATTAAGGTATAGCGAATTAATGTGACTGATACAACAATGCAAAGTGAGCACTCTACTTACCTCAATAGCTCAATAGGTGGTTGTGCACCATACACCTCTAGTTTGGGCATGTTCACATCATCAATAAAAACTATTACTTTTTTTCCCATTGGAGCTCCAAGCAAAGTTTTCTTTCTCTTCTCTAGACGCATTTCCAAAATTTCTTGGGTGCGGCTACTGCTTGTTTGAGCAGAAAAGTTTAGGGTAACAGGAACATATGTATCGGTAGCAGATAAATTGTTCAGAGCAGATTTAGCTATGACCGACTTCCCAACACCTAAAAAAAAAGGTAGTTTTAAAAATCTCATAAAATAACACTTATTATTATTATTATTATTAGATCTTGTCCCCCTCCTTTTCCGCCTTGCTACCACTAGCCTGCGTACTAAGCGAGGGGTGGGGTACTGGCCACCGGGGCCTGGTCATCAGATTTTTTGGTTAACGGCCTACGGCCCCCGCTGGTTCGGGTAACCCCTGACAGATCAGCCTAGAAAAGAATTTTCATTAACGGGCCATTTTGAACCACCAGCTCGGCGTAACCTTTTATCACCTCACCGGCTCCCCCCGCTGCGTCGCGGGAGGATCTAGGCTCATAGTGCTGGGAGGGGGGAATGAGTGTTTGTACTTTCACACATACAGCATTGCAAGTCCCTCCACCACCCCAGACCGTCCTGCGCTCACGCTCCTTCCTGAAGGGGTGAGGGTTTCCTAAGGGGAGAGAAAATTGATTGCAACCGCTTCGTCCAGGTCACTCCATCTGTGCATTACGCAGAGCTCTATCTAAGCACGAGGAATTTCACCTAGCACCAAGCATCGTGCAACAGGCAAGGCAAGGGTTTGGTACAAGCAGCTGCCGTTGCCCGCAGCCGCAGCATTGGGCCAGTCGATGCAGGGCACACCCAAACGCACTGCAGGCACCCCAATTGGCCCCGGCGGCATGGGGTTTGAACTTGCCACCCTGCCTTATCGACTGGGGAGGCCGGCGAGGGGTCGCGCTGGAGTGGAGTGGAGTGGAGCATGCAGGGCGCTCAAGGCGGGCACGCAGGCACAGCCTAGAACGAGGCGTCGTCCTAGGGCGTCGTGTAAAGCAGGCGTGAAGACGGCCCCCCCCACACGTAGGGGGTGTGCAGGCTTCATGCCGAGCTCAGTGCTCAGTCATTGTACATGCAAAGGCAGAAAAGCATACATATCAAGCAGTGGTCATAATACAGGCGACTTAACTAACACCGCTCGACAGCAGTCCCATGGTTGAGCCAACCACAAGACTCAGACCGAGCGACGTGTCCGTCTTTAGCGGCTGGCATCATTTTCCACAAGAAAGCGATGGCAGCCCCCGGGGGGAACGTGTGCACACGGCCCGGACGCGACGGCATGGGGAAGGGAACGTGCGGAAGCAGGAAGGAAAAAGGCAGGCATACAGTGAGATGATTAAGCCAAGCGATAGAAAGCACCCTGCACCTGATGGAGCGACACACACACACACGCAGTCACACTCAACTCCTGCCCCCTACAGCAAGCCCTCAGCGCGTGCGCCGAAGGCGTACCTAGCACATCCCCTCCCCCCTCCCCCCAAATCTCATAAAATAACACTATGAGAAAAATAAAAATGGTTCTAAGTACCTGTGCCTCCTATGTAAAGGACTGGCTTGTTTACAGTCATCATTTTTTCTAGGATGTATGTGAAACATACAGTATCTTGGGTCGGTACAAGCAAATCAAAAAATGGGGTTTGTGGATCATAATGGAAAGAAGGCATAACTTTCGTCCACTGCTCCATGCGGCGTGCTGATACATTTATGTAAAGACTCCAGACATCTCCTGAGGTCGGTAATCTAATGTTGTGGAAGAAAAGGTAAAGTTACATTCATTAAATAAAAAGCATTCAGCTAAAAAAACTATATTTTACATTGATACCTTGCATCAGGATGATCATCAAAAATTTCTCTGATACAAATATCAAGACCATCTCTTCCTGTCTCCAATATATTACCACCAATGCCCCACAGGGCTGAAAATATAAATGCTTGACAAAGAAAGTTTTTGAGGCGAAGTTTATCTGCTGTTGACATGTCCAGTGCACCTGGCTCCAAAAGTAATGCTTCATAAATAGCGCAAAGGGCTTGAATCTTTCCCATGTCTACCTGACATTGCACACAAAATGAAAGCAATAGATTAATATTTATAACTCTTTTGTGCAGTCTATCTTTATAAAGAAACATGAAGTACTTCAATATTATTTTAAACACATTTAGCCTTACTTGATTTATGCCTTGATCACAGTGTTTAGCAATGTGATAAAATATGCGATCCACAGCTCTTTTGAAAAGATCAAGAACAAATTCTTTGAAGTCATCCTGCAGGACACTCAACTTGCTCAACCATGATTGAACAAAAGGTAACCATTTCAGCTCGTTGGGATCAATGTAAACCATTCCTAGAATAATAAATGTATATTATTATTATTATTATAAATCTGAACAGGACAAAGCGAGGTAAAAACAATTCATGGAAAAATCAGTATTTACCACATCTACTAACGGTTGCTGGGGAAGCCTGAGCCAAATCTTGTACCTCAAACATCATTGTAATGTGAGGTGTCAATTTTATTCGTTCTGAATTTGCTAAGCATAGCATTTTATTGTCATCCAAGACTGTATTCATGTTCTCAATCCAAACAGCATCAACCGGACCATCACATACGACCCATTGATGATCTTCATTAGTGCTCTGGGAGAATCAAGAAAACCGCAACATTAAATTTGGTACCAATTAAATCTGGATAAATGCTATAGAGGAGCGACATCAAATGGATTCATTAAATAAGTAAAGAACAACTGATGATGAGCACCTGAACAGCTGTTCGCACACTGATGCCAAGTAAGCCATCCCGCCACTCCATAGTCAGAGGGTTGACTTCACCATATAACTCTCCCATGGTTATTGACTTTGGGTTCAGAACATAATAATGTACAGGAGTAAACTGAGGATCTTTAACCCCTCTTCTATTAAGCTCTCCCAGTGCACCTCCAAGAGACTTACATAAAATAAAATTTTCATTAATGAAAACACTTAAACTTTTTCACAAACATCCACTTTCTCTTACTTTTCTCCAATGTCATAGTTACCCTTAAAACAGTGGTCTTGCCACCTCCTGTTGGGCCCACCAACATAACTCCATGTCGTACAATGCATGTTTCATGTAACTGGATCACCTTCATGACCATAGTCTCTACTGGTTGTAATTTCATAGATATCATGACAGATATGATGGCATCCTTCAGTTGTCCATAGTCTTGTTCAGGTATTTCAACCCCTGGAAATAAGTCTTTCAGAATACCCTGTCAATAAAACAAGGACATAATTACAACTTGTTATCGCCCAACTAAAAATAATTAGAAAAGTATATTTGATTTACCTGGAAAAGGACAGCATCGTCTACCAAGAATTTAGGCAAGTTGGAATCTCGTAATGCTCGAATGAGAACAATACTCTCATCTACATCTGGATTGGCCCTTTTGAGGGAACCTGCCATAACTAGTACACTTTTCACAGCCCTTTGAACAGAATAAACAAGGAACCAAATCAATTTTAATTCAGATACCTTTTTTTGTTCCAAAACAAATTTAATGGCTTACCTCATTCCAAAGTCATAGTGATCCTGTTGAGATAGCTGTTCACTGCATAACTTGTACATTTGGACCATTTTCTTGGCTAATACTTTAGAGGACTCAAAGCCTTCTGAGTACAAAATTACCTCAGCAATAAGACCTTAAACGAGTGGGAAAATACCTGTGAGCGCACAACCAAGGTACTAACTAATGAGGGCTTTCATGGGCTGCACTCACCATAGTCTGGAACCATCATCGATATTGGTCGAAATAGTGCTTTCAAATTGTCTGGCAATTCAGTACGCCCTGCATAGCCAGGGTTCATTGTAATAAATGCAGCACACTGTGCCACTAATTTGATCTCCCGCCCTTCAAACATAAAACTAAATCCAGCAAAAAAAGTGATCAGCAGCTTGGTCATAGCATCATCAGTTTAGTTTAAGTGACATTATTCTCACCGTGCAAGTTTAGCTGCTTTGGCATTACGGATAGTAATGATTTGTTGAGCAATCACAGAAAGCACCTCTATGTCAATTCTATTGAATTCATCAAAACAACACCAAGCTCCTGACTGGGCAAGTCCAGAAAAAAATCTGCCCATCATCTGAAAATACATTGTTGCAATTCAAAGCGGGAAAATTTTGAATAATTCAACTCGCCAGAAAAAAAACGTACTTTGTAATCCAGACCCTCTGAACAATTGAATACAACACATTGTATTGCTAAAGATTTGGCTAAGTCCTTCGTAGTCTCGGTCTTGCCAGTGCCGGCCGGGCCGGCTGGTGCTCCTCCTAAAGAAAAATTAAGAATAATTCAGCAGTAACAGATATACAACCCTCCACCTCATCACCATAGGGACCAACAAACCTAAATCTAATTGAAGTGCTCCCATTAAACAAAGGTAGCAACGATCAGTTAAGGGGGTGATAACAAGACGAGGAGATGCCCCAAGATATTCATACCCATATACATAGTGGGATGTTGACATCCTGGCTACACAATTGTCAATATCCTCCTCCCAATAGTAACGAAGCTGTTTCAGCCACTCAAAATTTGATCTACAACAGAAGACAGAAAGATATTGACAACAAGCCATTTTTGCTGTTAAAGAGAAACCTAAAACTTACCTGTCAACAACTTGGCTTTTCACCAAAGCAGAAATATTATCTCTAGCATGGACATTAATGGTAATCAGGGCACATAAGACGGCACGATTCAGCTTTGTGAGCTCTCCACGGACCATTCCAGCAAGAACATTTAAATCCTGCGTGCATATGGAAAAGGTATAGATCAAGTAAAAAATTGTGAACCACTAGAGGGATAAAAAATACAGCAGCTTTAGACAACTTACGCTAAAGTTTTTCTTCTCAAATTCCTGCATTCCATTGAGAGCAGTTGATTTATTTCCAAGAATGCTTTCAACTGTCAGTGCCCACATTACTTGTGATATGGTCAGGACAATCTAAATTAATACATAGAAAACAACAAATTCTAATTTATATTTTTTTTTAAATATGGGGTGCAATTTTTTAAATAAAATTTCAAGTACACCTTATGCACTGTAGATTACCTGTGATGGCTGATTTAGTACCCATACATCAGTAGGGGTGTGGGAATATGACACAAGTGCAGATTTCATTATACGTCTCAGAGAAGTAAACATAGATTCCTCAACTTTCGTAAGCCAATCTTCAACATTTCCTCTTGCTTTCAAACCCTAATTAAAATTTCAGCATTCATTAGCGCTGAAGATTTACCATTCTTGCTATAGTTGTATTTTAAAATCTATTTTTCCTGACTTACACACCTTTGTTAGAGGTACTCTCTCCCCTTCAGGGGATATCATAGCAACTATATCAGAGGAGAGTTTGTCACTGTCTTCTCCTTCTAGAATCCCGCCTACACCTTTCCCGAATTCTAGTTTGGCCACTGCATCAAAGCATTTTCTTAAATGAGGTTGAACTGCATGGGGATTTCTTGTCTGGAATAAAAAAATTCGAGTTTGTTTACACTATTATTCTTGCAATACTGCTGGCCATAAACATTGAAAATACCTGGGCCAAAATCTCAATCAGCTCATCATTTGAGAGAAAATAAAAACGAGGGAAGACAACCCGCTTTGATTCCAGGTATGCTTCAAGACACTTCATCACTTGATCCAAAAGTGAATTGTTGTTCACAAATGTTTCATACAGCCCAGGATATGTACAAGCAGGCATAGCAATGGGAGTTTTAGCAGTGCGCCGCATTATGTCTTTCCAAGATTTATCTACAGTCATAAACATTTTAGCCTCTGCTGGCAGTTGCCTCTGAATATCTGGTGCAGAGAAAATACTTTCTAAATAGAGCCACTTCTGTTGACATTGAATCCATTCATCCAGTGTTTTGGAGAAAAGCTGCAATTGTTCGAGCCAGTCTTCAACCCGGCTCTTAATAGGTCCCACATGACGGGAGCTTAAAATGGTGTTGATATTTATCATGCTTTCCTCTAGTAATGTGAAGATTTCTTCTAAACCCCCCAATATAAAAACATCCTTTTGATCACGATGATTTAACACAACTAATTCAGCTTGTTGCCAAGCATCTTCCACTTTACGAAGCAGGCTTTCAAGAGCTGCTTCTGAGCTAGCTTGAGCTGCTATGTCGTTGAGCTGGTCAGTGTAGCTCATGAGTCCTTTGTCAAGCAGACTTTGAAGGGTTACTGGCTCATCAGGTGAAATTCGAACATTCATCATCTGCTCTATGTTGGACCAATGGCGAGCTTTCAAATTAGGGTTGCGTAGGCTAGAAATAGTGGGTAACTATTTTTTTAGGAAAGGGGAGAGGGTGTATCTTATTAACATTCAAAACGTTCGAACAAAGAGTTAATAAAAGACAACAGACATTAATATTAATAAATCACCTTTTCCTTGATATCTTGAACCGCACTTTTAAACTGGGGCACAATTAAATTTTCAGGGAGCAGCTTTTCCATCTGTTGTACATTTTTCAGGTTCTTGTTAGTGAATTGCATCATTTCCTCAGGATCTAATGATGAGAATTCCGATGACATCCAAAGGTTAAATGATTGTTCCCATTCCTCCAGGCTATCCCATAACAATTGACGAATGCGTAGTTCATTTGTAACTTCATCTAACATTTCAAAGCGGGTCACTTCCACCTAAAATAGATTCCACAAAATAATTCAAAAAAAAGTTTTCTGACCAATTAAGAAATCAACCATTCTATTGCAAACATACTCTAAATGATTTCTGATACCCCTTAATTTCAGTGGCTCTTTCTGCATACTCATTCACTTTCTCTGCAACTTCTTCAAGAGCCATACGTATTTCAGCAGGATTGGCATTAGAGTCAACAAATTTATTATCCTGTGGGAGAGAACTTGTTGAAGAACTGAGTGACTATAGACTAGTAGTACACATATGACAATGCACTTTACCATGACCATTTCATGTGTCTTCATGATATCATCTAGCAAAGCATTTATATCCACTTGACACTGAGCAACAAATTTACCAACTAGACTAATCTTATCTGCCAACTTTCTGTCAACAGTTCTGTGTAAAGCACCAAGCTCTTCCCCAAATCTCTACAAGACAAGATGGATGAAATTTAATAACTGAAAGGATAAATGCAATCATGGTGAAACAACCATACTTACATAGTACTCTTCACTGTCATGCTCAGAAACTATTATGGAGTACTCATCACATAAATCATATAATTCCTTACAATAGTCTAAAGTAGCTTCCATTTCTTCTACCTATTTAAATCAGTTTATTCATAATTATAATTGCTTCACTGCAACTGCACTCAACTCATGAAAATGGGGTTTGTTGCATAGTTGAATATACTCACTCTCTCTGTTATTCCCTCAAGAAATTCAAGGTAGTCAACAAATTCTTTAGTCAAGATAGGGTCTCGATCAATGTACAACTGCTTCTCTTCAACTTCCTTGAGTAGAGTTAAAACTTTGTCCCTACCAATACTGAAAAGAAAAATTAAATTTTTAATTAGGATGTGTATCATACTTACAAAGGAAAAGAAAGGTTTTCTCGTCTGTACCGTGGCATCACTTCCTCAATAATGTCTCTAAGCCTCCGATTAGATGGTAACACTTCTTCTTTCAGACGATCTAACTTGACCAAAACAAGGCCCAATGATTGCGAGTCCACTGTTCTTTCCAACTCCCCTTCTTGCTTTGAAAACTCAGCCAGATGCTTTCTGAACACTTCCAACACTAAAATGAAAGAAATAAAAATGGTGTTTGTGTATTTCTGCTGTTTTTGGTTTTCAATTAACAAGTTAAAGAAAGGGGAGTACACAGCACTCACATTCGTTCTCAGCAAGGTTTTCAGGAGAAATTGCAAGGTTTACATTGTAAAATTCACGTATGAACTGAAAACGTTGCATATATCTTTCTGCAGCCTCAAAAGATTTGCGAAGGAGATGCAGACTTTCTTTCTTAGAATGTTTTACAACCTCATCAATACCAAGGCAAAATCGAAAATCACACCCATTACCACAGTCCCTTGCCTCCATCTTTCCATTAATTTCAGGTCTAAAATAAAAGGGAAAGGAGCCGATTGTAATGAGAAATATAAGAGATTGGGCTGAAAATAACACACAGAAGTATGTGAAAACTCACTCTGCAAATGGAATGAAAAATGGATCTGGTAAAAATGTGGGCACCGATGCCAATGCATCTGTCCATAAATCAATTATTTGATTAAACATAGCATCAAACACTTCAGCAGATGGATCTAATGTTAGTGCTTCAGGTTGACAAACAACATCAGTTACAAATAATGGATTCTGGAAGAATTGAAAAGAAATTGAAAACACTATATTTTCCTTGCAATTTAGTGAATGTGAAAACTTCATTTGTGTAGGCCTTACTTCAGGAGAGTCAGATGGACGTCTATCTTCCAATACAGCTGATGTATCTGTTTCAACCAATAAATCGTATGATGGAGTTAAGACCACATAAGAATCTAAGGCCTCCATGAATGCAGTCTGAGAGTTTCGAATGATGACATGGAAGGAATCCATAATCAACAGGTCAACCAAATGAATGAAACTGCAAGAGTTGTTCATAATGAAAGACATTTCTATAGTCATAGGCTGAGGACATACGAAAAGCACCCAAGGATTGTTACCATGTTAAACGGGCACAAAACCTCCGTTTCTTTGCTTGATCAGTGTATGGCATTTTCACTTTACCATCCTTAAGAGGAGGTAACCTCTGCCCTGGAACTAGATAAAAACAAGTAATCATTTCAATGCATAATACAAAGCAAGACCTTCAAAATAAGATAGGATTATCAAACCAACGTAGCTGTATTCTTGATAGTCGCATATTGCTGTCATGTGGAGTAAAGCCTTCCTCAAGTAAAGCTCCATGGCATGCAGTGTTTATTATTTCCTTGAATTGAGAGCGATATTCTCGGATCTGAGATTGAATGCTTTCTTTTTTATGCATCTAAAAGTTGATTTAAGGGCCAAAACCACATTTAGAATAGAAAAAATATTTTAATAATAAATAGTGCATGAAAAAATACCTGAATCTCAATGAACTGGAAAAGTGGATTGAGCTGCATTGATGATGTGTCAAAAAAGTTAATTTTAAGCAGCTCAATGCACATCTCTCTCATCTCCAAAAGAGCCTTCTGTAGCACAGGATTGAGAAGAAATAGATTTTTACGAATAGATTCCTGTGCATCTTTAAACTTAGCCCGGGTAATACTTTTCCTCCACATGAAAAATGCTTTCCAGAGCCTAAATTTCGAGAAGAGCTTTATCTGTGAAATTAAAATAATGGGGTTGAGTCTTATGTGACACCTTAAAGCAAGTCTCACTTCCTATCCCATCTAAACCCCACCTTGCTTATGCGACAGTAGTCGTCATATTCCTTCTCCCACTGATCCAAAGGGGTGAATATCATCTCATTTGGAAAGTATTGGGTTACACCATGAGCACTTATTGTCATAAAACATTCTTTATCAATCAAAGAATAGTCAACTATTCTGTTAAAAAGAGAGAGGGGCCTGGGGTTATGATATGTGACAGAGAAAATAGATATATTAGTGGCTCCCTAGATAAAAACAAATAATCTTCGATACCAACTTGAGATTGTATGGGGAGAACAGCTCATGGTTTCGAGGAACAGCATAAACCATGTAGTAGAAGCCTATCCGGGGGTCGTTTCGAAGCAACTGTATTATTTCTTTCTGATTGAAAGCACTGTCTTGAAGAGAGATCCCGTCATCTTGATTTGCAGCTAGAAATATGAGTTAAGATTAAGCATTGGTCAATAGTAATTACTATCTAGCACCAAAGTAAATTTTAAGGGATGACAAATCATGGCAAGGGACAAGAACAGTGTTCTCGTTTCGGAGCAAACACGTTAATGATGGGCCTGCAATTTTAGTTCTTACATTTTTTAGGTATTGAGGAAACCATCATATCGTTGCGGGGGAAGGGGTACTCTACAGATGTTAGGTCATCTCTCCTCTTTTTCTTTTGGTGAGCAGTAAACCCAGGCTGGAATAGATTCAAAATATTGTAATTGAAGGTGGCTTACTTTAAACAGAATCCATTAATTAAACTAAGACACTTACCAAAGGCTCTCCTTCATTTTTCTTAATTTCAAGTGAACTGAGGAGTCTCTTGTGTGGAAAATGGAATGGGATAACGTGCTGATCCCTACAGGTAGGGAGACAATAGATAAATAACATTTACTTCACTCCAAGAGGAGAAACTAAGACTGTTTTTAAGGATATCCGTTAGTAAATGTGGATCACTAGGTGACTTAAGATCCCAGTGATTAAAAATTTTCTGATAACCATTCACAAAACTCTTATACCTGACATATTTTTCAGGGGCAAACGTTGTTAGTTTGCTAGAGCCATCCCTTGGGCGTCTCTCTCCAGGTTTTGGGGGTTCGCCACTGTTTGTAGGATTCATGTCACTTCCTTCTTCTTAAGAGAAATAACAGATAATATTTTCTGTGTATCAAAATGACAAGAGCATGTTTGCAAAGTAGCTAAATTCCCATTTAATACAGGTTAGCCAGGCATGTAAACAAACCAGACTGTTTAGTTCATGCAGCATCTGAGTACAGGGGTATCACCATGGCAACCAATCACCTGTGTACAAAACTTGTGTGGACAAAAGACTGGATCAGATTGAGTTACTCCTGATTCCTATCTTCATATGTGAGGTAATGTAGACCAATGTAGACCTTCAAAGGAAATATTTGACCATTTCCTTCCTAATGGGCAAGTGGCTAAAACACTGTTTATATTAATGCTTTCACAGGAATGTGTGTCCTATATTATATAACCTGCGTTCAACAGCTCTAAGGTGAAGGATGACAACAGATATTTAGTTACTTCACAGGTTTCAATAACAAGTATGTTTATTAACAAGGACATTATGAAAACATAAAGGAAAGAAATGTTCTGTAAAAAGATAACAAGGCATTGCAGTGCATCAAATAAATATGGATTAAAAAAATTATACTTTCCACAATCAATGTGGAGTATGTATGAAGAAATTAATAAGAATAAAATATAAATGTGTACAACAGACCACATCTACAAATAATATTTCTTAGTTAGTCCGTGACAAAGTGCCTTAAGATGATCAAAAGGTCTTACACTTTTATCTATTCAACAAGAAATGCAAAACAAAGTCTTTTTATATTGGCACTAAAGCATTAATTTCTATATATATCAATATATCATTCATCAAGAAAAGAAAACAGTAGTCAGTTGCCCATGCTGTCACTTTTACTACTGTAAGACTAAAAATAAGTATAAAACATGATTTTATGGGAAAGCTAATGACGTAAGATTTATAACTAGACACCTTTTAATTATTGTCAGTATCTGAAAGGGAAGTTACTGAAACTTAAGTTCACCTCCATAAACCATTATCCTTCCTCAATCAACAAAGAAATAGAGAAATGTTAGAAGCCTGAAATGGCCTAGACACAGATACTGATCATGATGGCACTCTTCTTTACTTTCAAAGCTACACTTAAGACAATATAAACAATATACATGATAACTCATGACTTTACACATCAAGGTACAAAGACAAATAAAAGAACTCTCAAAATGTAGAGAAAGCAACAATTGCAAAGTCAGTTTCAAACTTTTTTCCTCAACACAAAAAGATTAATTGTGATGCCAAAATAAAGAGATTGGTAGGAAAATGTTCCACAAAACAACAGTTGTGAGATATAAAATCAGTGGGTTGTTGTAAAATCTCTCATACATTTACTTATGGAACCTAGGTACTGTAATTGGAACAAACTACACCATAACTAAATCAAATCTTTCCATGATTTGAGACTTCAAGCCTTTGCATTTCATCAGACCAAAGGTGTAAAAACAAGATTTTCCTAAAATTATTCATAATAATAAAAATTGTGACTTTTCAGCAGTGATAAACAATTGAATACTGAAAAAGAATACTGAAAATAGTTGATCAATTAAAAGTAAGTTTACAAATTCTTTCTTAGATCAGGGTGGTTAATAAAGGGAGAGTAAAAGAAGGAAAAGTGGGGAGGGGTCAATACAGAGATGACTTAACAGCATGCAGCACTTTGCCCTCAAGAGGAAACAAACAAACTGCACTGCTGCAAGGGATAGCTACCAAAATGTCCCCAAGAGATTGTCTTCTTTGACGCACATTGATTAATAAGATTGTTACCCAATAGAAGACAAAACATGCCTTGGTTTAAAGGTTATGATGAGGGAGTGTATGACAATCATACTTCTGAATGATCCTTGCTTACCTTGGACTAGTCCAACAGATCAACATAATTAGCAGGGAACAAGCCAAAGGTTCCATCAGGAGAAAAGCCTTGCCACCAGCCTTCATCAATTTGTTCAATATGCGTAATGATATCTCCGGGGTAAAATGTAATCTCGGTGTTATCAGCTGCAAAATAAAAGCAACATTATGTATCATAAAACTGTACTTGCCTTCACATTAGTGCACATAAAACTGACAAATAAACATTGAAACCTCACCTGCTTGATAATCATAAAGAGCTCTTGCTTTAAGGCCCAAGTCACCATCCTCCTCTTCATCATCATCTTCTAGAGCATTGCCATTGGTAAAAATAGGATCAGGCTCTGAGACAATAATGGGTTGAGCAACTACTTTTGTCTCAACAGCCTTTTCTTTTTGGACCTCAGTGTTCTTCTTATGAGACTTTCTGACAATGGTTCCTGTTTGAGAGTCTTCAGCTAAAACAAATAATAAGGAAAACCATAATTAATATAATAACATATAGTTTGATGTATGCAATTAGAATCATAATGACACTTACACTCCCAATCCCGGTCATCTTCACTTGCAGGTGCTGCATCTTCCACTGGTTCAGGTGAGTTCTAAACAGAAAACCCAACATTTATTGTAAGAGATACAACTAAAAGATAAAATAATAGACTTGCGATAAGATACGATCAAATACCTCTTGAATTTGAGGTGTAACCATCTCTTCAACTGATGATGGAGTTTCCGGTATGGTTGGCTGTAATGGTTCCGATGTAACTGAAGATTGCATAGGAGGCCATGAGGGTAAAGATGACTTCCTGCCTAAGGCTTGTGTAGGTGTAACTGCTTCTGGACTTGAAACACCGTTCTTAGCTGGGGAATTATCATAGTATAAACAACTGGCAATAACAATTACAGGCAGAGATAAAGGAAGCACTAAAATAGTTTAAACCTTTTGTAGAATCATTGGATGGTTGGAATGAAGCTCGGCGGCCTAGATTAGTCAGTTGTCCAGCAGCCGAGTTCTGCTCAAATATTGCTCTAGCATTAATAGTTCGCTTTGAAATAAGTGACTGAGCTTCCTGAAAAATGAGTTCATGAGAGATAACCATTTGGATGAGTTAGAACTTCAGTACTCGGAGAAAAAGAAAAAGAAGCCTGTGAACTGACCTCACTTCGTTGTCTCCTGAGGACTTCGCTGCGTTCCCTGCGTTCTCTTTCTTCTCGTTCCCTATCATCAAGTTCACCATCCATATTGCTTTGATCAACCCGGGTCTGCTTTTCAGCTTTACGAACAACTTCTCTTTTCACATTCAATTCTGATTCTCGCTTCTCTCGCTCTGCTGCTTCGACAGTCTGCAAACAGTAAATATAATGGTGTCATTATATTTTCACCCAAAAAGGGAGATAAAAAGAATTAATCAACACAGATAGGAAGAACACCAACTTCTCTTTTACGGCGTTCGTCTTCTTGCTTCTTTCTTTCCTCCTCACGGCGTTTACGCTCTTCTTCTTGTCGAGAACGCTCTTCCTGCTCCTCGCGCTCCCAGAACCTGTCTCGCTCCTTAGAATTGATTTCTTGTCCAGGATTGACCCTTTGGTAAACAGTGCCCTGCAAACAAAGGAGGAATATAAGAAGAGGCTGGATTGGTAACTATATAACTAGATAAACGTCATTACAATCAGATAAAATAATTTCATAAATTTTGCTAACCACGGGTCCATTATTGTTGGAATTGCTCAGATTAGAACGCTCTTTGAAGTTGTATGCTGAACCTGTAGACTTGCAGACCTTATCCATCACTAATTTAGGATCAACATCTTCTTCAGTGCGGGCATTAATGGTCACATGAACACACTTTAGAAAGTCACACACAGTTCGAATATGATTGGCACACATTCCTTTCCGCACAACAGGTGCACCCTCTCCTTGCTGGAACAAATCAGGAATGATGATAAGAGATGACAATTTAAAAATTCACAGAGAGTCTGAGTATCAAGCCAAATTTAGACTAGAATTAAGATTCAAAGCAACTCTTGCTTACCCAGTTGATGAGGACATACTTTGGCAAACTGGTTTTCGGGTCTTGGACCTGACAAAAAGCGTACATAATGCTTCCACTGTTGAGGTCCTCTGCTACCTCACAGAGGCCTCCATCTATGGGATTTAAATAAATCAAATATGAGATTTAACAAGTCAATGCACCAAATTGAATGGGTTATTTACATACTGATGATCACTATTATTACCTCCTTTTCCAACAAGTTTGAGCTGATTGGTTTGTCCTTCATATCCATAGAGCGCCCTGATCACATGAAACAATGGAAAAATGTAACAAATCATAAAAAAGTAATAGAAAATGTAAAAAGTTTTAAGATGACAAGAGATGCTTAAGACCGGCCCTCGATCGCTCAGCAATGGGCTTGTGGAGGCTAGGATTTCAATCCGCAGGAAAACAACAAAGTGTTGCACATAAAAAAGAATATGCCGGTACCGAAAGGATAATTAGGATTGAACAGGCAAACTTACCAGTTTATTGGGCACTTGTCATCCACGACCTCACTCCATGCAGCAAGCATTGACTCCTTGTGTTTATCCAAATTTACAGCCATTTTCAATGAATCCCAATCCAATTATTCGTCCAAAAATTGAGAGGATTCGCCTTCACAGTTTCGCACAGCGCATATTGGCCGTGAATCCGGATTAGATAAAGGTTTTCCTCATCACAACACAACCTGAAGCTGTCACTGACTCACAGGGCAAAGACCTGAAGAGGGCAACGCACAGCGCGCTCTATCTACAGTGGCGGGCAATTTTGGAACTCCCTGGAGGTGAAGCTGGCGACTAACCGCAACACTATTTTCACTCATTTGATTTGCACTGTCACTTCAACACCGCGTTACAAAACGAATCTGTTAAGGACCATTCTCATAAGAATGCCTTTCCCTAAAATAAATTTTTAACACTTATGGTTTTCTAAAGCTTTTAAACATTGGTGGTGCTGGTGACGTCACAGCCTCCCGCTGCAGCCGACGGTGACGACCGATCGATGTAAAGATTCGATCGTAATTGAAGGAAGACGCCAACTGTACAACAAAAACATCAATGGTTTCTGGGCCGCTACGGTGAAGGGAGAATAAGAGAGTGAAAGTAAACTATATCAAATTATGACTAAAAAATTACATCAAAACTCATATTCCTTTCTTTAAGAGATAACAACATGACATGTCTTGTATGTAGCTTTGTGCTGTTCGCTAGCCTGCTTTTGGATTTCAAATGAGTGACAAATTCAGATCATTTGAATGTTTCCGTGGCCACTCGAGTCAGCAGTAATCTTTTAATTTCCCACAATTTTCTTTCCCCCATAGAAAGCTCCAATCATCAGTCATTTTCTCACCCCAAAGAGTCCTCAGTGAAGTGAGGAGATCTTTTCTCCGCCTCCCCGCTTTTCCCGCGCGGTGCACGAACCGACGTGACTCCGGGCAGGAAGGACTACCGTTTTTGAAAAAGCATCGGTGATCTAGATAGCACTGTTGACGTGTGTGAAGACAAAGACAGCGGCTCGGCTGTCGCTTGGCGCGAAGTTCGAAAACCGACAAAGAGAGCGATAAATCGATAAGCGCCTTGGTGAGGCCCGTCTGGTGGTGTCGAAACGCGTTGGCCGTCCACGGCGGGCCTTGCCGCTGGGCGTTGGGCGCGTTGGGCGCGTTGGGCGTCGCGACGGAGGCCCTCGTCCTCGTCCTCGTCGTCGCGCTGCTCGCCTCACAGAATCCACCGCGACTCTCCGCCGTCGCCGTGCCCGGCCGCGGCGAGGCGAGGCCCTGCGGGCATTTGGGGTTTCAAAACGAAGCCTTGACAGTGGCGCAAAGTCCCGGCGTTTAGGAGATGTCCCCCGGAGCAGCGGGCCGCACCGCGAGCGCGCTTTCGCGCCCAAACGCGCGCAGCGATGACTCGGGGGAATTTTGGCGGGCGGCGTTATGGCGGGCCACCCTAAGCGGATAGCACTGAGGCGGATTTCGCATTTTTGCAGCCGCCTGTCCCTCGTCCCTGTCGGTCTTGTCGCTGCGGAGGCTGGATGGTTGTTGCGGGTCACCGTTCTGGGCGCTCCGGGAGTTATGCAGCTATGAGGTTGCGTTTTCAGGTTTTCGGCACTGGCTGGCGGGCGACAGCCCGGCACGCGGCGCGGCTCGCTCGAAACGGGGGCAGCTTCCACTTTATGAAATACCACCAAAACGGGGGACAACGGCTACCGCTGATAGGCCTAGGGGCTTGAAGTGTAGGTGGGGTGGCGGGCAAACTAAGGAACTTAGGTTGTTTTCCATTCAGAAGGCCATTTCAATTCTCGAATTAAATTTTCCCACAGTTGAAAGGCGCTTCCGTATCCATCGCATCGAAATATGCTTCAAATACTTTGTTATAACAAGTCACTTTTCTTTGAAAGGCCCAAAATAGTTCGTAGGGTTTTCAGACTGCTCGACTTAGACCCACTTAGCCCCCCCCCCCCCCCCCGGCCAGGGAGGGACCTCGGTACAGTGGCGGATCCAGGGGGCCTTTGGGTTGGGCAAAGTGGCACTTCTTGCCTACTCCCAGGGGGCAAAGTATTGCCTTTTGCCTACCTTTCAGGCGGCTATGCTTATGGGAGGGGCGAACACCCCTTCCCCGTCTCCGCGCCTGCCTCGGCACCCACTCGGTGGTTCGTGGGGCCCGGCCTGCCCCCCTGCGGGAGGGCCGTAGCCTCACCACCAGCCTGCTAGCGGGAGGGGGCCGCGGGGGGCCTCGCTGGAGACTACTGGAGGATAAGTACTCGGCGCGGCGGGCGGCGCGGTCATTCGCCAGTGGACACGGCCAGTCGGCGCGCACGCCGAGCACGCCGAGCACGTCGAGCACGCCGAGCACGTCGAGCACGCCGAGCACGCCGACGCACGCCCCTCAGCCTCGGCCCGAGCCCCGAACACTGACAGGTACGTCGCCGCCACCGCCGCCGCTCGGGTTAAAGTCAAGGTTGCGTCGCGACGCGTCGGCCCGGACGACAGGTGAGATCCCTGCGAAAAGGAATCCGCGCGCGGCGAAACATAGAGAAAGGAAGCAATAAAAAGGAGCGGTCGAACGGGCGAAACTAACTGGTCTCCTATTGTGCTCCCTTTTGTTTTGGTCCTCTTGGCCGCTTGGCCTAGTGACACGAACTCACTTTCGGGCAGAAGCAGCAGAAACGGCAAAAGCGGCGGAACGGACTCGCATACGCCCGTCTTGATTGTTTTTGGGGCGGGGACGGGGGAGAGTGGCCCGCCTCCAGGCCGCCCCCAGCACACTGATTCCCGACAGTCGTTTTCGTCGCTCTGTCTCTCTCGCACCTACACGGGACGCACCATGAGTGCGAGAGAGACAGAGCGACGAAAACGACTCTCGGAATCAGTCTGCCCGGCGAGTCCGCCTCATTCGCTCGCGGGCTGTCACGCAGTCCGGCGTGCAATACGGAGCGCCATTGTGCCCCGCGAGTGCCCCTTGTTGCCCAGGAGCCCCAGCACAGCCAGCACACTGCCGGCCGGGCCAGAGCGCCAGAGCGCCGCGCCACCCGAACCGCCCAGCGCGCACCGCCCTAGTAGGTGCGCGGTGCGCCGCCGCCGCACTGGACTCGCGCGTGTCGTAAGCGGTGCATCGAATCCCAGCGAAAGTGAAAACACGCCAAGCGCTTGGATTTCAGTCAAGTCGGCGGGCGTTTTATCCGTACTCGACCTGTCGAATCGATTCGTTCTCGACGTGTTCGCTGCTTTGAGACATGCAAGTTATGTAAGCTGGTCCTTCCCCGTGTCGAGGGTGCCGCGACCAGATCGTCGCCGTGGGTGTGGATGTGGCGGGAGTTTCTTCGAAGGGTTGGGGTCACCTTCTCCTGACGGCATGACGGCACGGCGGCTGGCTTAGCCTGTTTCTGCGGCTCTGCCGTCTGATTCCGAACACTTGCCACCCCTACGGACCGCCCCATGAGTGCGAGAGAGACAGAGCGACGAAAGCAGTGCTCGGAATCAGACGGCTGGCTGCGCGCTCCGCTACGCCCACTTGGAGCGAGCGCTGTGCGCCGTCGTGGCGGCATCGGCGTAAGCGAGAGCGACGTTGAATGCTTCATCTTTCTTCTCCCCTCTCGCGCTTTTTGCCTACCCCCGCGGCGCGTATCAAGGGTCACCCACAGCCCGTGGCCTCGGCCGGCCTTGGCCACCAGCAGACTGACTCCGAGAGTCGTTTGCGTCGCTCTGTCTCACTCGCTCTCATGGGGCGTCCCGTACAGGTGCGAGAGAAACAGAGCGACGAAAACGACTCTCGGAATGAGTCTGCTGGTCAGGACACGCCGTCATCCCCGGCCGACTCGGACTCCCAGGCTTCTCCGCGCGGCTCCCGCCAAAATCAATGAATGGGCTGGCTGCTGGCTGTCCCGGAATGACTTGGAGATTTCAAGGACGCCGCGGCTCGCGCCACGGCGGCGGCGTGGCCCGGCCAGCCCGGCGAGTGCAGGAACCTCGCGCCGCGCAGGTCAGGGCCCGCACTACCTGTGCAGCCATGCAGCCATAGGTTTCTCATAGGCATGCATATGCACATGAGAAATGCCGCGTTCATGGGCGCATCGCGACGCGCGCATGGACCGCGCGTTGTATTGTATGGGGCGCGTGAGGCGTTCGGCACGCTCGAGCGCCCTTCTCAGGCGCGAGGAGTGCCAATAAACCTTTAACGAGAAGACGAGGTGGTCGAGGTGGAGGGCGCCGTCACTGTGACTGTCAGTGGCAGTCTGTTTGGCTTTGCCCCCCCCCCCTCCCTCTTCTGTCTCCTTCGCCTCGATGACGCAAGGGCCGTAAGCAGTAGTAAGGCGCCAGTCAGGAGCACCAGATGAAAGCATCAATGCGACCACGTCGTCGTCTCATTCTCGCGGAAAAACCGCAACTCTCCAGCATTTCGCGACGAAATGACGAAATGCAACTGGCCGCCCGATCCAGGGCAGCAGGCGGCGGCGGGCCCCTCATCTGACTGCATCTGACTGCGGTGCGGCGTGTGCCTGGGCCGCCTGGGCCGCCTGGGCGCGCGCTGCACCGGGTGTGCAGTGTGCACACACGCGCGCGCCTGACCGCGGGGTGCCTGCAGCGCCTTGCAGCGCCTTGCAGCGCCTGCACTGGGATTACATGGATTACCCGGTCTCTCCAGACTCGGCGCGCCGAAACAAAGTTTTAGTGCCGCCAAGCGAGCGCACCCTGCCCGCCCGATAGTCCTCGCGGTCCTCGCATCGAGACGCGTTACACTTTACGCAGTCCGCGCCACGTAATAGGGAGTAAGTATAGTCGGGCCTGGATCTCATCTGACGGAAGCGGGCGGCCCCCTCGCCCGCAGACTGATTCTGGGCGTCGTTTTCGTCGCGCTGTCTCGCTCGCACTCACGCGGCGTCCCGTACGGGTGCGAGAGAGACAGAGCGACGAAAACGACTCTCGGAATCGGTCTGCGGCACCCTGCGCCGATGACTGCGCGTATGGCTGCGCTTGGCAGTCGCCCATAAACTCGTTGCGGTTTCGCTGGCTTTCCCGCCGGTTCGCCACAACTAGCGTAGGTGCTCCATCAAGGCGGCGCCGGACTGGACCTGCAATGCGGCCGCGCCACTGTGTAATTACTGCTCCCTTTCGGTCTGGCGGAGCGACCGGGAATCGAACTGGGTACACAACGAGGTACACACCGCGCAGTGTTCTGACGCGGCGTTACGACTCGGCGGCGTGAACTTGGACAAACGCGAACCTTGCCGCGCGGTGCGGTGCAGTGACAGCGGCGGGGAGGGGGAGGGGGCCGGAGGGGGCTCGTGAACATGACGCGACACATCAAGCTGCAGGAGCAGTACCCTCGGGCGTCGAGGTCCCCCCTGGACCCACTGACACACTTCGGCCACTGGACCCTTCACAATGCCCACGCCGTCACCGCCACCACCACGCCGGCGCCTTCAAGAGGGCCCTGAAGGTCGCCGTGCCTTTCGGGGACCTGCTACACTGCAACACGGCAGCAGACTGATTCCGAGAGTCGCTCTCGTCGCTCCGTCCCTCTCACACCCCTACGGGACGCCCCATGAGCGCGAGAGGGGCACAGCGACGAAAGCGACTCTCGGAATCGGTCTGCTGCAGCACGCCGAGGGGCGGCACGGGCTGCACGGCCACGGCGGCGGGGCGCGCGCGCACTTCAAGGCCAGCGCGGAGGCACGCCGATTTGGCAATTTTGAACTCAATGGCGTGCCTCTCTATCTTTGTCCCCAGGATGACGACGGCGCCGAACGCGACTGACACGACGCTGAGCGAGGAGGGCCGCCAGATCGCCCTCGAGGAGCTCCGGGAGACGGAGCAGACGCGCACCCAGGCGCTGGCCGCCATGCGCGAGTGGGTGGACCAGAACGCCGCCATCATCCGCTGCCGCACCGGTCGGTATTACCGCCACTGTACTGTTTATTCTTTTTCCAGTGTGGGGTGCAGGCTCTAGAGTTGGCGGGAACCGACACTGGAAACCGAGCGGCGGAATCGGTTTCCCTGCAGGGTTGCCATCCGATCTGCATATCGGGGTAATGTGGGACAATTTTGGGGGAATTCGAGGCACAGTATCCTAATCTGTAGATTTGTAATTCCAGTTTCATTTGATTACTCTTCCTTGTTAAACCTTGGAGGAGGTTAAACGTTGAAAAATTCTAATATCAAGAGAAGCGCACGTGTTGTAATGGCAGCCTTCTTAGTGACCAAAAACGGGGGTTTAAAGTGTGTCTCAAGACCCCGAAATGGTCTCAAATCACCCCGAAATGGCCTCAAACTACCCCAAAATTGTCCCATTTGACCCTAGTTCACGGTAACGCGGAGGACGGCGTCACTTTCGTTTCACTGCTCCCGCGCACTGCAGGCGCCCTTTCCCCGTGTTGACTCGCCGGACGTCCCATTTTACGGCCAGAACGCGTTGGCTGCCCACATACTTTTGGCAACGGTAGGCACACTGTACCGCCTGATCGGAGCGCCTGCGAGGTAGGCCACGGATCTGTCCCGCAACACACCTGTGCGGAGACGGTGGCCTACCTGCCCCGGCGTTTCCACAGGCGCAAGGTAGGCCACCGTCTCCACGGCGGTGTGTGACGGGTCGGATCAGTGGCCTACCTCGCAGGCGCTACCGCTAACTCTTTTGCCTGGTCAGTGGACGGTGGGTTGCCTACTTTCACGGCGCACGCATAAAGAATCCCTTTTTTGAGCTCGTCAATGAGTGCGTATGGCCGAAATGTTCCTCGCCACGCACCCTCCGTTCTCGATTCCCCCTTGAGTTGACTGTCCCGATCCCGTTGCAGATGACAACTTCCTGCTGAGGTTCCTGCGGCCCAAGAAGTTCTCGCTGCCCATCGTGCAGGAAGCCATGACGCGCTACCTGGTGCTGCGCCAGGCCCTGCCGCCCTTCCGTCGCCTGGACTGCGAGGACCCCGCCGTGGCCGCGCTCATCGACAAGGGGTGGGTCGAGGTGCCAGCCAGCTGACTGATTCCGAGAGGCGCTTTCGTCGCTCTGTCCCTCTCGCACTCATGGGGCGTCCCTCGTGGGTGCGGGAGAGACAGAGCGACGCCAACGACTCTCGGAGTCCGTCTGCAGTGCGGTGTCGTCGTCGCGGGCATGCCGCGGTTTTCGTTGAGGGCGATGGTGACCTGTGCCTCTGCCCTGCTGCAGCTACGTGTTCCCGTCGCCGCGGCGCGACCACAAGGGCCGCCGCGTCATCATCTACCGGCCCGGCGTGTTCGACCCCCACCAGCAGACCAACGAGGACATGTGCCGCATCCACGCCATGGCCATCGAGGTGCTGCTGGAGAACGAGGAGGACCAGGTAACGCAAACCTTCTCCCGGTTCCGCTTTCTTTTCTATGCCAGCAGGGCGATTCCGCGCAGTGCGGCCGTCCATCTGTCTCTCTCGCACTCATGGAACGTCCCGTAGAGGTGCGAGAGAGACAGAGCGACGCCCACACTGCGCGGAATCACCCTGCAGAGTGTGGGAGCAGTAGTTGTCATTGTCGGACGATGATCTCTGTACTATTTCGTCTGGTGTCGGTCTGACAGGTGCGTGGCTTCGTCCACTTCGCGGACGGGGCGGGGGTCACCCTCCCATTTCTCACTCTCTTCACGCCCAGGGAAGCAGTGAGAATCGTCAAAAACGGAGAGGTGAGGGCAAATTTTGATTCATGTCTAGTCAGCAAAAGAGAGGCACCTCTTTAGTTAACAATGTTGTGTCGGTTGCAGCGCACCGTCCCCATGCGACACAAGGAAGTGTACGGCATCAATGTGCCCTCGTCTCTCAAAATGGCTCTGGATTGGGGACTGGGTCTCATCTCCGAGAAAATTAGAAGCAGAATTAAGGTAAAGTTCCAAACGCAAATTTTCCAAGGAGTTACGTGTTTATTTAAATTGGGCACTGACTTAACTTTCTGTTATAAAGATATTCACCTCATTGGAGAGCTGCTTGGAGCATATTGACAGAAAACTTCTGCCGAAAGAATACGGAGGAGACATTCCCATGGATGAGATGATTGGTAGGGACAGAATCTCCAGTTAAATTAGAAAGCACATTTTACTTTAATCCATTGTTTAATTTTATCTAATCTGCTTGTCTTGCTTTCAGCCCTATGGAAAGAAGAGTTGCGGGCTTTGCGACCCAAAATAATGTCTCATGATCAGATGGAGGTCAACCTAGACATGTTTACAGAGCAGGCTCGGAGTGGTGCTATTTCAGCACTAAGAACTGGAAATATGTTGGTCTCCACACACAAACAAGATGGTAAAACAGACATTAAGGGCCTTTCAGGTAGCTTCCGTAAGCTTGAGGTGGATTAACTTAAGCAGTTTTTTTTCACATAATAAATAATATTGTACAGTAAGATTTTAAGTCAACAGAGGAAATGGTATCATCTTTCCATCTTCATGGATAATCAATTAAATAAAACATTTATATATACATCCAAACTATTATTTTCCCCAACCAGTAAACACTAATAACAAACAGTGCAGTGAGTTCATTTGCCTTTTTTTGAATGATAACAATGATTGCTTACTTTCAATCCTTGGAAAAAGACAACCAATAGTAAAAGGATTTGAATAACAAAAATATTGTAAAACTTAAGGTTTACACTCTTCATGGTAGGGTTCTAGCGTACGAAATTCTCTCCATGTAGGGGGCATTGCATTACGAAGATGTAAGCCGCATCCTTTACAAGTATCACTGAAAAGAGTGTTGAAACTATGGAGCCATGTCTGAAAAAACACAAATGAAAACAATAAAACAACAGGAAGGAAATAACTGATTAAACCAATAAAGGCTATAAAAATAATTTTAAAATGTGCATTACCATGAAGCTTTTCACAGAAACCTCTGGCATTGGGGGCATGTAGAAGCGCATGACAGCGGCATGAGCATTTTCAGTTACTTTGCGGAAGACTTTAAAGCGAGACTCTGTCCATAAGTCCAATGACTCCATGAAACCTTTGACTATAATCCATTCAATTAAAAGACCTTTAAAAGCTATTATTGCTCTAAGTACTCTTCCAACAGACACCTGAAAGCAAATGAACATTTGTATATATAAGTATATGAACAAAAGGAGGAGAACCAAGATTTAAATAGTGTTTAAGAACATTTTGAGAACTTACATGCAGCACCACATTGGTAGCAAATGGTCGGGTAATGCTAACACTCATTTCTGGCAGAAGACGATCAATCTGTGTTATCACCTTATCCACAGCACTGTTTGACAAAATAATGAGATAAAATAGATTTAAATTGTTTAATAATGAACATGATTCAGTAAATTTTAATGTACTCACTGTGGGGGGACATTGTGACTACTGGTTTGCACTCTTCTTCTCTTAGCAGATGCTGTATTGGTGTACGATCTAGTCAATGAGTTCTGCGATAACTGGGCATGTGCTAGATTGCAGTACTCGTGTACCTAATAAAACAGAGATGAAATTAATGAAAAATTATAAGAAAAGGCATTTGGAGGAAGTTACAGAGAGAGGTAAAGAATAAATATACAAAATAAAAATGCATGGAAAACAATACCTTATCTGTCCATTTATAACTGAGAACCAGTTGGCTGTACAGTGCCTGGCGATCATGTGAGTATTCGTGACTTAGGTAGCCAGAGTTACCTAGACTGAAAGGGTTGTGTGGAGGTTGTAGATTTCCAATAGACTGCTCTACGTCCCTAAAAAAACAATAAAATGGAATAAAAACCCACCCTAAAACAACGTATACATTCACAAACACAGTGAAGTCATTCATTGAGGGGTTGAGGTTAGAGTGCCCCATACGGAGTGAACGGTACCTCAGGTTGTTGTTAACGACGGTGAGTTGATCTTGGAGTTCGAGGAGAAATTTCGTTTCTTTCCCATCCTCACCATGGTCCGAACGGATTCCATTTCCCAAAGATTCAAACGCGACAGCTACATTCGATCTCAGTGTCTTGATGGCACTGAGTGCGTTGTACAGAGGCTCGACGGCCATTTCCACAGGCGATTTAAAGCTATCAACTTATCTCCAAGACAAAGTCTTCAGCTATGTTTGAGAATCTATTCCATCGTTGAGGAAAATAATAACATCGAAAAGCCGCTACAAATATTTTTTGGTTATGACAGCCCAAACCCAAACAACGCTAAACAAAAGACAGCAGAACAACACTTCTGCTAGCCAGAGGTACCAGCCTGACAAAAACACATTCGCATTTACTTGTTGATTGATTAAAACTAAGCAACCATGTGCTTTTGATAAAGAAAACATCTCGTAAAATATACTTGATTTGAAATTTCATTCTTTATGGACATATATTTGTATATGTGTAAGGTGGTTTGAGTATTTTTTCTCAGCGTTGGTTGTCAACCTTGTGTGGGGAAGTTCAGGTGGGCAATACAAATTCAAGAAAACAATTTATCATTTTGTTTAATAGGGTGTGACTTTATTAAGAATTTTTGTATGGTGAGTTGACATATGAAGTAACATTATCGTAATCACACAGGATTCAACATCTGGTTTTCAACCCTGGTTTGACACGGAAGACACATTTAGCACCGGGTAACAAACCACAAGTTTGCAACATTAAATATATTTTGCTTACTCAATTTAATTATCCTCCTTCAAAACAAAAGAGATTTCCATTAAAATTTGTGAAAGAATAAATTACTAATTCTTATGAGTAAAGATGGTTAACTTACTTTGTACTTGTTTTTTTCTGGAATGTCTTTGTTCCTCATCAGTGTGCGCACAATAAAAACAATTAAAATACATTTTCCCCATTAAGTCTGCCTCCCAAAAGATTAAATTTTGATATATATGATCACCAACAGAAATTTTTAAATGGTAGTTGCGCTGAACCAGACTCGAAATACTCTATGACTTAACTACAATGAAAGACTATAAATTGCTCCAGCCAATTTAATAAATTACTATAGGAAAGCCTGGATCACAAACTCAAAATTGAGGGGCGTTGCAATGAGTAGAGTACCCTCAGTCTTAATCACAAACAAATTTAAACTAAAACTAATCTAATATTACTATCTCAGTGATGCTGCTACAATATGACAGCCGAAAAATAATGGAAAGTAAAAACAAATGTAAAACAGTTAACTTAAAATCCGGCTCTAGAACCAATCCAGCTGATGCCCTTCAGTAGAACTTCATTGCATCCTGGACCTATTCACTGATTTTCTACACTAACACAAACTTTAACACTGTATAGGAAAATGCAGCTTACACTATACAAACGTGAAGTGTTCACTACTATCACGAGCTACTCGGTACTCGGTGCCTTGGTCCTTGATTACGGGGGAATCCAAGGCCTGATTCGCAGAGCCAGGGTGCTATCGTCCGACAATCCAAAAGCGGACGGCCTGGAGCCCCTGCTCGACTTGTTCACTGGGTTTTGAACTTTGGAAGAAGCCTACAAAACAAACCACACTTTTCGAGAGCAGGCCGCAGGGTGCAGGCAGCAGAGTGCAGGGTGGCACTGCGTGACGATAACGCGGTGCCAGGCTGGCAGGCACACGGCCTGCGGGAGGACGATGACACGATGTCGCTGTCGAGGCAGGAAGCCTGCAGTCTGGAGTCTGGGGTCTGGGGGAGCCTAGATGGGCTTCCACGCGACCACGGCCCGCTGCTGGTCGGGGGCCTCGCCGAAGGGCCGGCTGCCGTCCGCCGCCACGTACTGGTTGACCTGGTAGTCCAGCATGGTCTGGTAGCCGAACACGTCGCGGCCCAGCTGCTGCGTCAGCGGGCTGGTGTTGGTGGTGAAGACGCCGGCGAAGCCGCGTCGCCGCGCCAGCCGCAGCAGCTCCTGCTCCATGAACTGCATGGAGAGCACGTTGGTGCGCGCGGTCTCGCTGGCCGCCGTGGCCATCATGAAGCCGTGCAGCACCTGGCCGCGGCCCGTCGGCAGCTTCGTGTCCCTGCAGCACCAAGGGGGGCGTTAGTTCGGACAACTCGGGGGTCAACAGCGGGGGTTTGGGGGTAAGTTGGGGAGGAAAAGAAAAACCCCGCGGGGTTTTTCTTTTCTGGAGGCAGTCATCTCGAACAACATCCACTTTTCACAGATTTAGTTGATGTAACGGGTTGAGAACTTGCACAGTCAAGATATCAGCTCCTGAGGGGTGTGCCTTTCTTACACTGTCCTTCACCCCTCGCCGAACAGCCCTCGGAGACGACGTACCTGATGGGGCCCTCGATGAACTCGAGGAAGTCGAACACGATGCTGAGCTTGCTGGTGATCTCGACGGGCGGCTCGTCGTGCGCGTCGAAGGTGAGGGCGCAGGCCACGGCCGTGCCGGAGTCGTTCTTCACGACGAAGCTGAGCAAACGGAGCGGACACGCGTTAGCTTCATTCTCACTCCAGGGTGCGGTGGGCCAGAAGGCCGGTGGAGGCGGTCAAAATTCTAGACGCGTTTTGAGCTCCAGAGTCGCAAAATGGGACTCAAACCGAACGCGTGAATGAATTGCTCTCCGAACGAGGAATCCACTGATGATGGGTCACACGCTCGGTTCAAGTCCTGTTTAGCGACTCTGAAGCTCAAAACGCGTCTCGAGATTTGACCGCCAGCGCCGGCCTTCTGGCCCACTGTGCAGTGCGGGGTGCGCCTTGCGCCGCGACGCAGGCAACCCATCGCGCGAGCGGCCTTGCGCTGCTGGCGGCATGCCACTCGCCGTTGCCGCTTACCTGAGGTCCTTCTCCAGCAGCGGCTTCCAGATCTGGTCCAGCAGCTCGGAGTAGTCCGACGGGGACACGTGTGGCATGAGCCAGTGCTCCAGGTCGGCCTTCTGCAGGAAGCTGTCCGTGATCATGCTGCAAACGGAACGAGAGCGGGTGAGATGACGAAAATGGAAGAGTCGAGCGGCAGGACTGAGGGCTTCGAAGCCATGGCGAAGCGGCGAAGCAGAGACACTCACCTGTACACGTCGGCCTTATGCTCCTCGGACAGCATGACGGCGTGGAGGGACGACGGCTGCATGGACTCGGCCAGGAGGGACGCGTCGGCCTCGGAGACCTTCATGCACTCCAGGGCCTTGCCCAGCGACTCGGCGCCGATGAAGTCGCTGACGCCTGCAGCAAGGCGAGAGCCAGGTCAGTGTCGGCCGCGCAGACGAAACGGTGCTTACAGTGTCACAGTGTCCGCCACTTACTGATGAAGAATCCCTGCTCGCGCAGCCTGGTGACGGTGAGCACGGAGTTGAGCGAGTTGCCGCCCAGCTCGTAGAAGGAGCGGCCCAGGCAGATCTTGGCGCCCTGGCGCACCGAGGCGCCCAGGACGTCGGCCACCGTGTCCAGCAGCACGCGCGCCGCCTCGGCCAGGCCGTCGGGCGCGCCCGAGTAGTCGGGCATGCACCGGGAGCGGGCCTGCGCGTACGTCTCGGCGTAGCTCCGCAGCAGCGCCTGCCGGTCCACCTTGCCGTTCACCAGCAGGGGGATCCACTCGACGCACAGCACCTGCGGCACGGCGTACGGCGGCAGCGACCGGCCCAGCGCCGACTCCACCTGCGGCGCCGTCAGCGGGCAGCCCTCGCGCAGCGTCACGAACGCCAGCACGGCCTGCAACACCACGGCGCAGTCAGTCCTGATTGCCGCCATCGTCGGTAAGGAGAACTGATTCTCGAGCGAAAACTCGATTTTCGCCCCGGCACTGGGAATGGAGGCCTCTAATGGCTGGCGCTGCTCAACCCTCTGCTGGAATAAAGGCCCGGGGCGTTGGGGCGGGGGCGGGGCGGGGAGGCAGACCGGAACAAAATCAAGGCTCCGCTACGCGGCGCGCCATGCGCAGTCAAAACAACTCGCAACTCCCTCCCGAGCTGTTCACGGGCAATAAACGTCATTAACACGGTCGGTGGGGGCTGGGCGGCTGCTCACCTGGTCCTCCTCGCCGGGCCGGTAGCAGAGGACGACGCCCTTGTCCACGCCGTCCACCCGCGTGAGCGCGGCCTCCAGCTCGCTCAGGTCGACGCGGTGGCCGCGGACCTTGACCTGCGAGTCGGTGCGCCCCTCAAACACCAGCGTGCCCTTGTGCACGCGCGCGAAGTCCCCGGTGCGGTAGAGCCGCGTGTAGTCTGGAGAGGAGAAGAAAGACATGAGCGGATGCGACGATGCGAACATAAGGCCGCCGCAGACTTATCCCGACAGTCGTTTTCGTCGCTCTGTCTCTCTCGCGCCTATAGGGGACTCCCTGTGAGTGCGAAAGAGGCAGAGAGACGAAAACGCGACTTTCGGCATCAGTCGGGGTGCAGTGGGCCAGAAGACCGATGGAGGTTGCCGTTGCCAAAATTCTAGACGCGTTTTGATTTACAGAGTCGCAAACTCGAACCGAGCGTGTGACCCCATCAATGGATGCCTCCTTCGGAGAGCAATCCATTGGTGGGGTCACACGTTCGGTTCGAATCCCATTCAACGACACTGGAGCTCAAAACGCGTCTAGATCTTTGACCGCCTCCACCGGTGTTCCGGTCCACTGGGCGGGAAGGGCCAGGCCCTGCGCTTACCAGGGTGCACGGCCAGGGGGTTGTTGAGGAAGCGGTGCGGGTCGCGGCCCGCCACGTAGCCCGCCGCCAGGTTGCGGCCCGCCACGAACAGCTCGCCTGGCTGGCCGGCCAGGGCGGGCCGGAAGTGCTCGTCCAGCAGGTACACCAGGGTGTTGTCCAGCGGCCGGCCGATGGGCACCTTGTCCAGGCCCTGCACGTCGGCGGGGCCGTGCAGCGTGTGGAACGTCACGTCCCCTATGACCTCGGTGGAGCCGTAGAAGTTGCACAGGCAGTGGCTGTCCAGCCCCACGGATGAGAAGTGCGCGAAGAACTGCTGCGCCAGCGACGCGGCCAGCGGCTCCCCGGAGCACACCCACAGGCGGAGGCGGCTCAGCAGCTGCGGAACCGGAAGAGGAGGACTGTCAGTGGCCCGGTCGGGAGGGGAAGTAGGACGGCGTTGGACAAGGAAAGTAGTCGACACGCTGTGAGTGTGGGATATCAGAACTGATAGCAATTTATTGGTCACGCGACGAGATGGATGTTCTGCCACCAGGTTGGGATGTCCGGAGATTCAAGGCACTGGTGATGCCAACTATGACAAGAACAACTTCATAGCGACAATTTTTCAGCCCTAAACCTGCGTCTCTGCTGGACACTCCACCCGGAATTCTGGAAAAAAACCATTCCTCCACGCGCGAAAAAAAGACAAATTGTCGAGTCTTTGCTCCTGTCGGTCGCCGCGCTGTCCCGCGACAATGCCCCGGCGGCGGATGATGTATGGAAGGGACATGCCAGCAGACTGATTCCGAGAGTCGTTGTCGTCGCCCTGTCTCTCTCGCACTCGCGGGGCGTCCCGTATGGGTGCGAGAGAGACAGAGCGACGACAACGACTCTCGCCTGCAGGGCCGCCGCCGGGTCGTCCAGCGCGTCCAGCGCGTCCACACAAAGGCGCCACCCGGACACGTGCGCGACACTGTGCGACAAGCGGCAGAGCGGCGCACGCGGCACGGCGCGCTCTTTGGCCGTGGCCGAAGCTGGGGCTCGGGGATGCCTCCCCGGGTGATCGCGATCGGCGGTTCAGAGCCGCGCCCCGCCGGGTCCTTGGTGGCCGACGGCGGCCGCCCTCGTCCTTGGTGACTCGCCGGTCGCTGTCATTCGCGGCACGTGCGAGCGCCTTGTGTGTGTGTGTGGGGAGGGAAGAGTGAGTGAGTGAGTGAGTGAGTGGTGAGTGAGTGAGCGCGGAGGTGGTGAGTGAGTGAGGAGTGAGGAGGATGAGTGAGTGAGTGAGTGGTGAGATGAGTGCGAGGAGTGAGTGGAGAGTGGTAGTGGAGTGAGAGTGAGTGAGTGAGTGAGTGAGTGATGAGTGAGTGAGTGAGTGAGTTGAGTGATAAAGGGTGAGTGAGTGAAGTGAGTGGTGCTACGGCTGGCGGGCGTGTCGCTCCGTGTCCATCTTGAGGTAGAGCAGCATGGCCCGCAGCAGGGACGGCACCAGCACCAGCCTCTCCACCTGCCGAACGAAGAGAGAAGAAACCGCGGTCACTTTAGGTCAATCACTTCCCGGTGCGCGCGGTGTGTGCAGTGCGCGGGCGTCCGTGGCGGCACGCGCCGTCGTGCAGGAACATGGAGGAACATGGAGGAACATGGAGGAACGCGGGAGGGAAGTCCAGAAAGGGAAGTCGCGGTTGACGGCCGAACGATCGGTGTTGCCGACGTAAGTGGGCGAAGACTCCGACGTGTTGAAGTCATCCAGTATTCGGGCTGAGGTTGGCCACCCTTTTGACAGTGGTGCATCGTGTGCAACCCTGCGAACGATCCCGAGCGGCGCGGGCCCGAGCCCCTGGGAGGTAGGCCGTCCCGTTGAACCGGCGTGCGGCGCACCGCGCAGCGTTGCCTACCCGCACGGCTGTTCTGCGCCGAGGCCTTGGCCGAGGCTGCCGAAGCGAAGGGCGCCGAACCCTTTGCGTGACGCAACGCGGCCCCGCGGCCGGGCAGCCGCTAGGCAGCCGAACCGCTACTCGGCGGTCGCCGTCGGCCGCGCGGCCTTGAACTTGCACCGCAGCGCCGCGGTGGCCGCGGCAAGGCGGCATCGAGGCTCCTTGATTTACCGCAGCTGCACTGCAAGATGGCCGGCCGGTGCCTTCCGCGCTGCGACCACTGCGACGCTGCCACGGCGAATAACGTCCGAGGCTTATTGGCTCGAGTGCCACTCGGGAGGTGAGGGAGGTGACACACTGCTGACGAGCTCGGCTGTCGCAGTTGCAACTCACTCGCGGTGCGGGTGCAGAAAAAAAAAATTTCCAAGACTCGACTGCAGTCTGTCTGCTGACTCCACTAGAGCGACATACTCGACTTGCACCGAAGTGTCGAAGTGACAGTGCCGTCCCAAGGCGGCCCAATTTGCAACCGGGCCATTTTCCGGTCAAGGAGCCTTCCATTAGTGCGCCCGCCGCTGTCCCACCCAGGTCCAGTGCCACCTTCCGGGGGCCCCTCCCCCCCCTCCTCCCTCTCTCTCCTGGCCGGGGGTCCGACGGGGACGGCCCGGACGGCCCCACCCACAACCATGATTAGTTTTAATTCAGACAATAAAAGGCGAACCTTGACCCCATTAAGGAGCACCGCATTAGTGCGCGCTGGGCGGGCAGGCCGACTTCCTGGGAGGGGACAGGGAGGGGACAGGGAACGGCAGGGCACGGGTCCACCTGGCCTGACCAAACCGCGCCGGGCCGGGACGTACACTGTACCGCCCGTACCGCCGCCAAGACACTGACACTCTTTTTGGCGGCGTCTCGATTGGCATCGCTTCGTTTTCGTCACCACGTCTCTCTCGCACTTGTGGAGGAGTGCGAGAGAGACGGAGCCTGGCCGCGCGCCGAGGCGGCGGCCGGCGGCATAGGCACTGGTTGTCCGTGGCGGGGGGCATGTCCTTTGCGCTGAGCAGCCAAACAGCCCAAGGAGAGAGGCGAGAGAGGCGCCCAATCCAGCCTCCCGGCCACGCTAGGCCGGCGCGCCGCCACGCCACGCCACGCCACGCCACGCCACGCCACGCCACGCCACGCCACGCCACGTCCGCTTTGCCGGAGGATGTGCCGCGCGGCTTAGCACGGAGTCGCATGGGAATAATTCAAAAGAGGAACACACACGTACAGGCACACGCACACCAACTCACACACTGACACGCACACACCTAGCTGGTTCTCACGCCAGCAGAGCCCTGAGCCACACCTGGGGAGACGTTTGTCAAAGCGGCGCGGCGCTTCAAACCGCTCTGCCGGCGAGCGCTTCGGAAGAGCGCTTTGGTCGCGCTGTCCCTGTCGCACTCCATGCCGTGCGGGTGCAAGAGAGACGGAGTGACTCCAAGTCTCAATTACGCCGCACCGCCACGCACGTGCACGCGCCGACAAGCGCCGCAGTGTAGTGTACCATCAATTTACTCGATTTGCGTCGCATCGGCCGATCTGGGGAAGCCTCAACTACAACCGCGGCTACCGCGCTTCGACTACTGACGGCTGGCGGGGCGCTCCGCCCGCGGGGGTGCGAGAGAGACAGAGCGACGAGGCACTTGTTCGGCTACCTCAGCCGACACGGCGTGGAGCGCGGCCTTCTCGTAATCATGCAACGACGGCGACGACGCGTAGCGATCCACATCCGTCATCTTTCCCACGGCAGAGGCAGACGCCGCGACGCCTCGCGACAAGTTTGAGTTAACAGCGGCGGTGGACAAGACAAGACAGCAAGGCGGCGATGCGGCAAGGCGGTGCGTGTGGCGATCGAGGCACGTAATTGGCTGCGTTGCTGCAGCGAGCACTGGGCAGCGCGGCCAATTGACTCAGCCCCGGCAGAGCGGCGCAGCGACGCGCAGCTCCGGCCAAATCCGGGGGCCGATAATGCGGAACGGAATAATTGCAGCACTCTGATTCCAAACGGCGTTTCGCCGTCGCTCCGTCTCTCTCACACCACAACGGGACCCGCCACGAGGGCGAGAGAGACGGAGCGACGAGATTGCGCTGCCTGCAATGCACGCGAGTACGTCCGCCCCACGCCCGTCCCGTCCCGTGCGGTGCGGGCCGGGGCTCCTGCATCTGCGTGGCCAGGGCCGCCCCGCCCGCCGTATTCTTAGTCCGAGGACGCCGACGGTGGAGGAGGACGTCCGCGTCGAGAGGCGGGCAGACCGTCCGCCACACCCTCTGGGCTTCGCTGGCTTCGCTGGCTTCGCTGGCTTCGCCACCGCCAGTCCCAGCTGCCCAGCCTGCAGCGAGCCATTAGCTTGTCAAAGACGGGACGATCAAACGGACTGCGCCTACTGTCCTGTGTGCCGTGTGCACGCGGTGCACTGTGCAGCGCGGCGATGGGGGCTTCATTAGAGATAAACACGGCCGGTAGAGCACGGCGTCGAGCACGGCGTCGAGCACGGCGTCGATCACGGCGTCGAGCACGGCGTCGAGCACGGCGTCGAGCACGGCGTCGAGCACGGCGTCGAGCACGGCGTCGAGCACGGCGTCGAGCACGGCGTCGAGCACACGACGGTGCGGTGATGAGCGTGCAGTGGGTGCGCGTGACAAACGCCACGTACAGTGTACACGTGTAACCCCCGCGCCAATTTGCAGGCGAGGTCCCTGGCGAGGATTTCTCGTGTTGGTCCGGCATGGCAACGCAAAACGCGGCGTCAACATATTTCATCTCGGCGCTGCCCCGCGCGTCTGGCGCCACCCACGCCACGCCCTCGGGCCGGGGCTTTTCTTTGTGTTTTCTTTTTCGCGAACGAAAAGCCATGAACGCGAAGCAGACTGGGCAACCGGTCGGGTAAACAACGCCACAGGCAAGGTGGATTTTTGATCGGCGGCGCCGTAGCGGCGTAGCCAGGGCGTAGCGCATGCAAGGTGAAGCATCCTTGTTTCGCCGTCGGTTCTTTGCTGTCGAAGGATCGGCGAGGCGGGTCGGGGCAAGTCGGGGCGGAGCGGCCGGCGAGAAGAAAGGGACGTTTTGGTCCGCCCCGCTGGCTCCTGTTTCACGATTCTCGCGGGACTTAGCTGCGACTTTTGAGCCTGATCCTCGGAGCGGCAGAACGGCGGAATGAACTCACCCCATTGTCCTCCAGCGCGTGCACGAGTCGCTCCGTGTCGGCGGTGACCTGCTTGTCGAGCACGAGGAGCGCGCGGCCCTGCAGCAGCGGGCCCCAGATCTCGGGAACCGAGTCCACGAACGTGAGGGCCGTCTTGAACACGCACAGCGCCTCCTCGGCGCCGAACGGGAACTGGCGCCACTGCCAGCGAAGTCGGTTCAGCACCACGGCGTGTGGGAGACGGACCCCTGGGGTAGACAGTTTTGGGTTAAAACACAGACCCTTGTCGATTTATTGTTTTGAACAGCAGGGGGCTGGGAGGACCCTTTCTTGGCTCACCCTTGGGGACGCCGGTGCTGCCGGACGTGTAGAGCACCAGGGCGAGGCACGGGTCGGGCAGCAGGCAGTCCTGGTCCGACAGCGGGGCGCCGCTCAGGTCGGCGGCCTCGGCCAGCAGCTCGGAGTACGTGGCCGCGACCGTGCCGCGGAAGAGGTCCGGGTCCGGGAGGTCCGAGACGATGATGGCGGGCTGGGACTCGCCCAGGATGTGGCGGACGCGGTCGGCGGGGAAGGCCGCGTCGACGGGCAGGTATGCGGCGCCGGCCTTCATGGCGGCGAGCAGCGTCACCAGCAGGCGGTCGGACGGCGGCAGGCGCACGGCCACCAGGACGTCGCCGTCCTGGTTGGCGCCGTTGCTGCCCGCCGACTCCATGCGCACTTTGCGCACCAGGGCGCGCGCCAGGCGGCTGGCCGCCGCGTCCAGCTCCGCGAAGGACATCCGGTGGCCTGTTGGAAAGCGGCAAAGCGGCACGCGAAATAAATAAAACGGAAACAGCAAGAAACCATTAACGGTGGCGGTGCAGTGCAGGCGGTGCCCGAACGGCTGCCTTACCTTCATAAAGCATGGCGGGCTGGTTGGCGGAGGCGCCGGCGGCGACCTCCTCCAGGAGCCTGTGCAGATGCTGGGGCCCGGCGGGGGTGGGGACCGCATCGCCCCGCAGGATGGACAGGTCGGGTAGCGAACCCATCTGCAGACAAGGCGAGGATGTCAGTAAAACAACAAGTATTTTGTGGAGTGGTCTGGCACGGCACTGCGTTCGTTCGGTTCAGCAATCCCGCGGCTCTGGCCGTGACGTGCCGTGACCATGTCCGTCTCAATTTCGGACTGACACATTTCGCCCATTGGCATGCGCGGCGAGGCGCGGCGAGGCGCGGCGGGCCGCCCGGAACGAGCCTTGCGACGGCACATTGGCGGGGCTGCCTTGGCGGTTCCTTGGCGCCGTCGCGGTCCAATCGAAGCGTGGCGGCGCGTAGCGGGGCATCAGTTGTCTTGTTTGTTTCGAACGCCCCTCCCCCTCCCCCTTTCCCCCACCGGAAGCTTTGAGGCACTCCGCGACGCCGTGCCCGCGCGGCCTGCTCGCTCAAGGCGCTCAAGGCTGTGCCTTAGTACTCGCTTCTCGTGGCCCGGCCCCCAAAGTCACACCGCCCATTTTGTCCTCGCCAAGGGTCCAGATGTCCGCGACTGCGACGCGGCGCTCGGGATGCTGGCGGTACTCACCGGGGCGCACTGCATCGCGGGGCCGGGCTGGGAGCCTCGACGGCCACCCTCGACGGCGACCCTTGACGGCGACCCTTGACGGCGACCCTTGACGGCGACCCTTGACGGCGACCCTTGACGGCCAGCCGTTGGCGACACGCGACTCGACGGCCGAAGGGCCGCGGCCGGCCGAGGCCCACGACGACCGGCGGGGTTTCCGCCGCGCTCAGCCCTTCGGTGCCTCGTGCCCTCGGTGCGTGGTCCAGCCAGCCGGCCGGTGGGTCGCCCTGCACAACACTGGCCGTCTTCGCCCGCGCCTTCGCCGCCTTCGCCGAGCGTCGCCCTCGCCTCGCCAATCTGCCTGCCTAGCTGCGCTGGCCGCGCTGCGCCGCGCTGCACCAAATAGACCACGGCGGAGCACGGCAGTCCGCCCGGGCCCCGGCCAGCGACATCGAGGCGGCGGCAAACAGTTCACTGCCGCCACGCCGTGCACACTGGCGGCTCGCCGTCAGGCGGTGTCGCGCCGTCGCGGACCTGGCCGGCCGTAGCGGACGCCCGACGCCCCCCGGCGAGGGTGTTGAAACCGAGTGTTTCTGCCGATCCGATCCGCGGCGGTGTCGCGTCCGAGGAGGCCGTTGACGTGGACGCGTGCTTCACCGCTTCGTCGCGGTGCTCAGCGCTTCCGGCCAGCGTCGCGCGTTCGCGGGCAGCCATGACCACGCCGCGGACCAGCCAAACACGGCTTGATTGGGCCACCCTGAGCTCACTACGCCGCAGCCAATCAAGCAGACTTGTCCGGACACCAATAATACACTTTGAGGGTTTTCCTCCTGATTGGACCCCCCCCCCCCCCGAGCCGGCCAGAGAGAGCATACATTGTCTAAGTAGTGTCGAAAATTGAGGAAAAGTTCTGGACGCCGCGCGGCCGTGCCGGCCGTGCCCACGCGGGGACGGGGCAGAATGGAGATGATGATGTCTGACAGGAACCAATCAGAGGCCAGGCGGGACGCGACGCGCGGCTTGACCCCCTGTAGGGCCCACCCCGCCCCACCCCGCCCCACCCCACCCCGCCCCACCCCGCCCCACCCCGCCCCACCCCGCCGCGCCCCACCCCGCCTCGCGGCCCCGCCTAGGCCTGCCAGCGTGATTGACTCTAGGGCCGTCCATCTCGGCGACGACGACGCGGCGACGCGGCGACCGCCAGCCCTCGGTTCTCGGTCCCGGGCCCGCGCCACGCGCCGCCATCTGCGGCGACGTCATCCACTCATCACCCTCGTCAAGGGCTGCCGGACCCGCTGGGCCGGACCAGCCAGGCCCGCTAGGCACGCCGTGGCTCAAACAGGTCCTCGCAAACTACTTCGGGGGCTGTTGACTCCACTCAGGCCGTAAGGGCTGGCTGGGCCAAAAGCGCCACCGACGCCCACACACACACGTGGGATGAAAATGCCGCCTCCACGTGTCGTGTGCCCGTGCGAGCGAGGCGCCGCCACCTTTCTCGTTTTCGTCTTCGCCGTGCCGAGCGAGGAGGCCGCCGTTGGACCGGGCCTCTGGACCCGAGTCGCCGCGGCGCCACGCCGGCAGTGGTGCGCGAGTAGCTTTGCCCGGCGGCGCTGCGCTGGGCTGCACGGTACCCCCTTCTTCCTGCCCCCTCTCCCCGGCCACGCCGCGCCACTCCACGCCCCGCTGCCCAGAGGAACTCGGCCAGGGCCGCCTGGCGACTGCGAACGAACCGTCAGAATGAATTGGGATAGGATACCGACCGCGGTCGACGTGCCATCGGGTACGTCAGAGCGGTGCGGTACGCTGCGGTACGCGGTACATACGTCGCCTAAACGCGCCGTCCGCCGTCCCCGCTTCTAGGGCAAGACCAGCCAGACCGGCGACCGCGGCGCGCCGGCAGCCGGTCTGCCTCGCGGCGCTGGACCGCGGCGACCGCGGACCGCGGCCCGGGGGACGGCCGGGCCCTTCCGACCCTCCACCCGGAATAATCTCGCCGTCGCCTTGTTTGCGATTCGTCGCGCGGCCGCGTCATCCCGTCGTCGTCCAGCAGAATGATTCCGAGAGTCGTTTTCGCCGCTCTGTCTCCCGCGCACTCATGGGGCGTCCCCAATTGGCTCGAGAGAGACAGAGCGACGAAAACAACTCTCGGAATCAGACTGGAGGGGGTTGGCGGGGGCCGATGGGAGAAAGGGTGAGCAGAGGTCACCGCGTGGACACGCGTGACGTACGGAGGGAAGGTTAACGCGACATTCCGTAAATTCGGACATTCGGGCATTCGTGCGCGCGGAGCCATGGCGGAGCAGACACGCGTAATACAGAACAAATTGGCTTTCGGGGAAGAGCAGGGGCACGGCGCGCTCCTTGACCCATGCAAATGCTCCCCCCCGCCTGCCGAGTCGTTTCGTCGCTGTCTCTCTCCCACTCATGGGGGTCGCCATAGAGGTACGAGAGAGACGGAGCGACAAACTCTGAATCGCTCGGCTGTCTCATTACAGGAGGACCACGTAGCACGTAGCGCGTCCTTGCGAGTCCTTGCGCGGCTCACACGTTACTTTCATTCTTCCGAACGGCGGACGGGGCGCCAAGGCTCGGCGGCGAGCCACGCCATGTCGCGCCACGCCGCGCCACGCCGCGCCACGGCCCCACTGACCTACACGGACGCGGCCCGGCCGGCGCCGCGGTGCGCGGTGTTGATGCCTGCTGATTCCGCTGCTGCCGCTGCAGCCCCAGTTCGTTGGCCGGAGATCCCCCGGTAATCGCGTCGTCCTGTCTCTCTCGCACTCGTGGCGGCGCGGCCCCGGCCAATCAGACGGCTGGATCCTGGCATTCTGGATTCCGCGGCCGGCATTAATTCAAGCGGCGCCGAAGTGCGGGTGCGAGAGAGACAGAGCGGCGAAAGCACTTTCGGAATCTGCGCCGGCGTCCCGGGCCTGGTGGGGCCAGGTCCTCAGCCGCGCCGTGTCTCGTCGTCTTCTCGTAGCCTCAAGGTCGCGAAGTACTAGCAGTGCGTTGCGTAGGTTGCGTACCGCACGCGGAGTTCCGAGTTTCGAGCATCCGCCAGTGTGGTTACACTGTTACACTGGTTGCGCGGGCCAATTTAAAGTTTGTCTGGCTCGGTAGGCGTGCCCTCCCCTCAGGTCCCACGGCTCGTCTGCTGTATCATCCCGCGGCGTCGGCAAGTGAAAATCACATTCGCGTCACCAGAAAGAAAGAACAGTGACTGCCGAAGGAGCAGCCTCTCTCCCCCGGCAATGCCGGCAATGCAGACCCATTTCAATTTGTAGCCCAATAACGGCGCGAGGAACGAGGAGGCCAGAAGGCCGCACATCATCAACCTCTGCCCTGTCGACTGTTTTTATGTCCGCCATGCTGGCTAAAGTACACGGCCACGGCGGCCACGGCTGCAGCATCTTCGTGTTTTGACTTTCGTCCGGCGGGCGCTGTGGAAAAATCGGGAACCGGCGTAATAAACAACGAGGCAGGGTGCGTGAACCTGGGGCAGGTCAGGCAGGACAACGGCCTGGGCAACAACGGCCTGCTCCAGGGCGCCGACGACCAAAGGAAAATGAGAGACGGGCCAGAAAATCATTGTTCGTTTCGGCTTTGTTTAGCGAGGAGCCCGGTGATGTCGCCTGGTGTTTTATTTAATTGTTTTGCTCATTTCTACTTGCTGCAGATGCGCTTTTGATGAGACAAAATGAACGAAGCCCACCGGCCGTCGAAGATGAACATTCCGCGCCCGGAAGAAGACAGAGAGGACGGAGAGAGAGATAGAGAGAGGGGGAGAAAGGAGAGGATAAATAGAAAATAAGTACACTCGGCCGGACAGGCACACACGGATTGCGGTTCTGCTGCATAATGACCGCACTACCTGATCTTGCACTTCGCCGCCTCGCCGCGCCGCGCCACGCCGCGAGCCTTGACATGAATGGGCTCTGGGTGGTGGGTCCGCCACGCCACGCCGCGCCACGCCGCGCCACGCCGCGCTGGGTGCGCCATTGCCACTCCTATTAGTCCCCGCCTTGCCTTTTGCCTTTCCATCCGCGTTATGTTCCTACCTCGCCTCGTCCTTCCTTCCTTCCTACCCGCCGCGCGGAGTACGCAGCCTGGCCGGCCGCAAGCGCGGATCCAGGGGGGGGGGGGGGGGCAAAAGGACAATTGCCCCCCCTTGACCCCTAGATAGCCGCCTGAAAGGTAGGCAAAAAGCACCAATTTGCCCCTGTAAGTAGGCAAAAAGTGCTACTTTGCCCCCCCCCCCCTTTGGGCTGACTCTGGATCCGCCACTGGCCGGCCGCGCCGACACTCCCAGCCGCCATCAACAAAGTCACTGCCACACCGCTATCACTTCCAAACCATCACTATACACTACACTATCTCTAGAATCACCATCACGAGCAGCCACTAAAAGAAGCAAAGTTACTTTATCACGATGAGTCATATCACGAGCAGTCACTAAAAGGAGCAGTAACTTTCGTGGGTCACTATAACGGGCAGTCACTATAAAGATGAGCAGCCACTTTATCACGTTGAGTTACTCTAAGCAGCAGTGACTATAGGGAGCAGTCACTATAAAAACAGCCATTATAAACAGGGCACTCACTATGTGGATATTGAGCAGTCACAATGAGGTGCAGTCACTATATCGCGATGGGTCACTGACCGAGCAGTCACTACATATGGTCAATGGTCACTATCACTGCCTTGTCTCGAGTACTGCTGCTTCTCCCCTGAGGACTGCAGGCTGCAGGCTCTTTTCGCCGCGAGGTCGCCGACTCACCGACGCATCTCGGCCATGGTTTCGCGAAGACCAGCGCGTCGTGGACGCGCCGCGAAAAGGAAAATATGCATCGCCCCGCGGATCTCGGCTTCTCGGAATCGGAGGTCGCTCGAATCCCAAGTGTCTGCCTGCCTGTCTCTCCCCTTCGCTACGTCCCGGGAGTGAGAGAGACGGAGCGACAAAAACACTCCGGTGACACGGAGGGAACCCCCGCGGCACGCGCGTGACGCGCACCATCAACACTCCACGGCGGCGACGCGCGCACGCCGATGCACTGTATAGATTTACGGTCGTCGCAAAAATGCGGGAAGCGAATGAAAAAATAAGGTAACGGAGACTTTGCGTTAACGAGGCGAGAGCCTGCTAATGTGCATGCGATGCAGCCGGCCGATCCGACTTCTGTCTCTCTCGCACCCCTACGGCTCGAGGGACGCACCCCGTGGGGGGGGGGGGGGGGTGGCACTGACTGCAGTGCAGGAGTGCCAATGGGGAGCAGCGGCCAACAACACGCATGGCGCGCAATATAAAAGAGCCTGGAGGCGTAGTAATGGTATTCAAATCACACGACCAACGTCGCCAAGAGCAGCGAGACGCAGCCTCGCACCGTCTTGCAATATTCTGCGTTTGCCATGGCGAAGATTTATCTTCTGCAATTACGCTATACTGCACACCAGGAGCGAGTGCGTCCGGCAGCACCGCAGCTATTTTCTGCGACTTATGATGGATACACGATCGGCCGTCGGACCCAGCCTGGCCCGTCCGCGCGACGCTTGTGACCGCATCTGCTTGCCCTGCAGGGCAGCCATGGCAGAGCCTTCGGCGCCTTCGGCCCTTCAACCCAGACTCATCCTCCGGGGCCGGAACCCGTCCGCCGGGTTGCCGGTCTCCCTTGCAGCAGACTGATTCCGAGAGAGGCGTTCTCGTCACTCCGTCTCCCTCGCGCCTATGCGGGGCGCCCCGCGAGTGTGAGAGAGACGGAGCGACGAGAACGACTCGCAGTGTGCAGGTCCCAGTTCCAGTTCCCAACGAGAGTGGCCTTCTGCAATGCCGCGCTGCGTCTGGCTGCGCCGCGCCGGCCTGACGAGGGAATCCGGCGGGGCGAGCGAAAAGCCGGTCCTACTTGCAGTGGCGGCCCACGGCCCACGGCAGCAGGCTGCTTCCGAGAGTCGTTTTCGTCGCTCTGTCTCTCTCTCACTTGTCGGGACGTACCGTGAGTGCGGGAGAGACAGAGCGACGAATTTCGGAGTCAGTCTGCAGCCCACGGCGGCCGGGCCGGGTTCCCAGCGAGGCCCGGGCGGTCCAGGGCACTTCCTCGTCGGCGTGGCCGTGCCCGTGACCCTCGGCGCCGTGGCCGCGAACACCGCGAACACCTCAACGCCGACGTTGCTGTCGGCGCTCGCAATCGCCTGCGGGGTAGGCAGCGCCGCGCGCGCCGCGCACCCCTGCCGCCCTGTTGCCTACCCTCGCGGCGTTCGGCCCGCCGGCCCGCTCCAGGCGAGGAGGCCGACGCAACAGGTGGCCGTCATGGCGTGCTCCGCGGGGGCGGCACGGGGGCGGCACGGCGGGGGCGGGGGTCGCGTCGCGGCGAGTCCAAGAGCGAACAAAGGCGGTTCCCTCCGCACGCCTTCGCGTGCTTCGCTCGCAAAGTTTGTTTTCCTTTTCTGTGGGAAGCCCTTCTTGCCCTTCTTCGAGGCGCGCTTCGGGGCGTGGTGTTGCGGGGAGTGGCGGGGCGAGGCGTGGCTTTCAGGGTGCGTCTGTCGAGTCGGGCCGCCGGCGAAGGCGTCGAAGCAGCCCGTCGTCCCGGCCGCCCTGCCGCCTTGCCCCCCGCCCCGCCGCCACCCCGAGCCCTTGCCCTTGGGGCACCGCAACACGATAAGCTTAACCTTCCGGCCCTTGTTCCGGCCGCCCTTGGCGACCCTTGGCGGCCCCCGGTCCTCAAAGCTCACCTCGGCCTGCCCTGACACACTGCTTGTCAACAAAACCCCACTTTTCACACGTTTTTCTTCCAATCTCTGCGTCTGCTTCACCGTTGCGGACTTACCTCGGACTACACTGTGGCGCTCTGCAGGCGGATCGGTGCGGTCTCCTCGGTGGTCGGGCAACGACTGTAGTGCCCGGTCGGCAAAGCACGCGGCAAAGTGTCACTGTCACACACTGTCACTGCTGGAGCACCTCCCTCACTGCCCGCGTCATCTAGAGCATCTCGCCGGCGCCATGAGGGCGGAGAGAAAGAGAATCACAAACATACACACACACACACGCACACACACACTGAGGACGGCGAGGCGCGAAACGACACTGCTCGACACGGCGAGGTAAACGGGCGGTGCTCCTCGAGGCGACACAGAACAGCGCGAAGTGGCGGGCTCTATGTGCAGGCGCTAATATTTATCAAGTTGGGAAGTGGCCGAACGGCAGAGCGGACGACCGGCGGAGCGGGCGGGGCGGGGCGGGGCGGGGCGGGGCGGGGCGGGGCGGGGCGGGGCGGGGCGGGGCGCTGGAGCGGCGGTGGGGGTAGAGGGCACGTAGGAAAAGGCGGAAGGGGGAGGGGGACGCGCCTCGGGGCCAAGCCAGGCCACTGCTGCTGCAGCCCCGCGGCGGGCCGCCCAGAGGCCGCCTCGCACCGACCAGGCACTCTGCCATTAGATATCGAATTGGGGGTCGCAAGGCTCCGGATCCGGAACGCCTCGACGTCACAATCTGATTGACTCGGAAATGAAATTACGTCAAATGTCCATTGATGAAAGGGAAAGGTGTGATTTTTAGGGCTCGGTGTCCCCGCTGGCCTTAGTCGCGAAATGGAGTCCAAAACTAAGTGGGGCTCCACGGCCGGGGCCTTGTCGTTGCTTCGCACTGCTTCCTTCTGCTTCCGCCCCCGAAAGCCTCCCGAAAGCCTCCCGAAAGCCATGGAGGCTTTTAGCGCCGCTCGCGCGGCCGCAGAGATGATTGCGCCTGTACTTTGTACTACGACTCTGTGCGTTTGAAAGCCCGTCTAGCCAATTAGGGGTTGAATGAAAAAAAAAAAAAAAAAAAACACAAACACTCCGGTTTTCACCTGAATGTTTTGCATAACGTAAAAAAACAACACTCCCAAAAATAATTTTGCGCGGTGTACAGCGGTTCTTGTAGAAAAGTTGTTGTATAAAGAGTAGTAGAAAATAATTTTGCGTCCATCCTTTTCCCTTTTGCTTGGGAACTGCACTCTGAGAAAAAATGACGGTAAATCCTGGATAATTTTTTTGCCAAACTTTACCGTACTTCAAAAACCAGTATCCTCCGTACAGTCTACAGTATTTACCGTACTTGTTTTACAAAATATTCCGTAGTCTTTTAACAGTAGTTACCGTTCTTCCGTACAGTTCATGCCGTAGGAAAGACCAGATCTGGTCCCATCAAAGGCCGCTTCCAAGAAGTGCCCACATCAGGATCTTGAAAAAAGGGGGTCGACCGACTGAAAAATTTTATTGCACCTTTCAATAGGTCTCGTCAAGACCTTTCCAACGAGTGGTCGGAAGAGGGGTCCAGGAGTCCGACTTCAGCAGTTGCGTACATCAGGAACTTGGAAAAAGAGGGTCAATCGACTGAACAAAATTATAGCAGTTTTTGATAGGTATTAAAAGTACGGGATTGCCGGGGGAAAATGTACGGGATTCCCTGTAAAAAAGTACGGCGTTTCCTGTAAAAAAAGTACGGTATTGCCTGTAAAAAAACGACGGCATTGCCTGTTTAAAAAAGTACGGTGAAGTCTGGAGTAATCAGTACAGGATTTACCGTGATCTTTTCTCGCAGTGTGGCGTAAAAAGTGGCTCGGCTTTCCTTGGACGTGGAGCCGAAACTCCGGCCGGCCGACTGCGGCAGGGTGGCCGCCGAGGGGGCCACCACTCTCATTTCAGGCGTACACAAGATGACGGGATTACGGGATATTTACCAGGGATTACGCGTGAAATTTTCGAAAATTGGTTCGAAAACGTTGAAAAATAGCTCGAAAACGTTGGAAAATAACTCAAAAACGTTGAAAAATGACAGAATTTTGTCAAGGATTACGTGATTACGCCATGGATTACCAGAGATTACCAGCAAACTTGTACACAGGATTACGGGGGTGGTGGCCCCCTCGGTGGCCGCCGGGATGTATTGGCTGTGCGGAGCGCCGCGCCATGCCACTCCCCGCCACCGCGCCGTACTTCGCCATTACCTCAGAGGAAATCGAGGACCGTGGCGACTGAATCCGAACACACTTGCCTTCGTCGCTCTGTCTCTGTCGCACTCACGCGGCGTTCCCTGGTGCAGGGTGCGCGCGAGAGAGAGACAGCGACGGCGGGCCTCCCCTCGGATTGAGTCTGCTCGCGGCAGCCCGACGACGGCGAGGGTGGGCATTCCCCCTCTCGCTCGCGCACAATGGCGTCGCTGGCGCGCGTCACCGGCACCGCACGGCAAGCCACGGCCGTGCTGCTCTCGGGGGACTCTGCTTTCACCGGAAACACATGAATCCAAACTTGCGAATGGGCGCGTCAGAACGCGGCGGCGTGCTTGGGCCGCCACCAAACACCCCCCCCCCTCCCCCCTCCCACTTTTGGGGATTACCGGTCGAGTGGCACGCGGTCTGGCACGGCCTGGGCGCGGTCGCGGCGCTACGTACTCGCCCGGCCACGAGAGTCGCGGGTCATGACGGCATAGCTGGAAGCCGCCGGATCGGAGATCGAAGCTATAAACCGAGTTCAGCCGAATGATAGTGTTTACGGTACACTGGCTGACGTCGTCGTCTACACAGCTGAAACAGCCCGCAAATCAAAACAAAAACACAAACCTTAATTAAAGTGAAATCATGTATATTACTCGGCCGGTTTTCTGTACATAGTCGAGACGAAGTTCAGTACACTTGAATCGCTTCGGCGCGGCGCGGCCCTCAGCCCCCCGCGGCGGCGTGGCGAGTCCGCGATGACGCCAGAAGTCTTCTCGCTCCTTTTGCTCGTGTTGGCCGCGGCAGGCGCGGCGGGGCAAGGCCCTGGCCGGGCCGGGCCGGCCGCCCTGGATGGGCTGGGCCAGAGCAGGGCTGGGCCAGTTTGGCATTTAGGCCTTCCCAAATACTCACTACGCCAGAGCCTCGCGGGCCCCGCCGCAAAGGCCGTGACGTAGCAGGGAGTCCCTGTCTGTACGACGGCGGGGCGTCCGCACCGCGCACAGCGCCACGGCGCGGCACAGCGCGGCACAGCTAGGCCGCTGTTTCGCTCCATCAGCCTCACAGAGCGGCTAGGAGAGAGGTTTGACGTCCCAGCATCGCCGGCATGGCCGGCATTGCCAGTATGGCCCGCAACGAGCGTAATCAGGAGAAACCCGGCGACGCCGTGGCTGCCGTGGCGGAGCCAAGAGCCAAGCACAGCGGAGCAGCAGACTGATTCCGAGAGTCGTTTACGTCGCTCTGTCTCTCCCGCACTCATGGGGCGTCCCATACAGGCGCGAGCGAGACAGAGCGACGAAAGCGACTCAGTCTGCAGAGTGAAGCAGAGCGTCGCCTTCCGGAAATGGACTCGGCGCGAGGCGGTACGACTTCGCGAGAAGTCCAGTGCACTGCCGCGGCGCCGCGGCGGGGGAGGAGCGTCGCGGATGACGCGGCTGGACGCACGCAGCGCCACGCACGTGTGTGGCGATTGTTCTTGCTGCGCTGATTGTTTTTATTTTTTCTGGCGGCCGAGGCGGAGTCCAAGTGTCATCGCGGGAACGGTCCGTGATGCTGCAGGCAAGCAGGCAGCAATCATGGATCACCCGCCGCCGCCCCGCTTACCGCTTCTGTGAGGTCCGTGTACAGTGTAGCGTCGGCGTGTCCTTTCGGACGGGTGCCTTTAGGTCACTGCGAGGCGGTATCGAGGGAGTATACGTATATTACCAGTAATGTAGGTAATATATGTGTAATATAAAGTAATACAAAGTAATATATACTAATATAGGGGTATTATAGAGGCGAAATTGTGGTAATATGCAAGTAGTATAAGGTAATATACAGGTATTATACGGGTAACATAGCCACCCCGTACGAAGTAATATATGAGTTGCCGACCCCTCGGGTCACTGCAGCCCTCATTCACGCCCTCCCTGTACGACACCGTTTGCAAGTCCATTCATTTTCCATCATTCCATCATTTATTTTGGCGTGTTGCTGCGGAGCACGCCAGACGCACCGCCAGGTCCTTGGCCCGGTCCTGCAAGGACTAAGGACCCCCTAAGCGCATTACGCCGCCGAAGCCTCCCCGTTGCAGCGCTTGCAACGTGCGGTGCGTGTCTGCCTGGTGGAGCGCTAACCGGATTGCAAAGTTGTTGATGTGGTTGAATATAAATCTGCAATCGATCAGCGTATCAGAGGACGAACACGAGAACCGCCCCGCGCCGTCGAAACGCTGCCGAATCACTCGGCTGGGGGTCGCCTCCTGTGTCTCTGCTAAAGAAACACCGCTAAATTCCAAGTAGACGGGAAACATCACTATGACGGAGGAAAATTGTAAAAATACGCGCCGGAGTTTACAAGTACGCATCATCCGTCTACCTACCCCATAAAAGTAAATACGTTGTGTTCACAGGTAGTGTAGTGTATTGGTAGCATGTGAGGATCGCGGGAGCTCGATGTGAGAGGGCGGTGTCTTTTGTTAACCTGTCTAAACCTGCCCAATGAGAACAAGGTGGTCGATTCGACGTCGAATCAATGTCTAACGGTCTAGGTTACGGCGAATCGAAAGTGAGGTAGAAGAAAAGTGTTTTTCGACGTCCCGGGAAACGCAATAAAATCAATTAAAATCACTTACACTGGCATCCTTTAGCTCGTAACTAACGGTAATTATTTTCAAATTATTCCAAAAATGGAATTTTTTAATATTTTGTGCTTAACGTCGATTCGACGTCTATTCGACGTTAGCTGCTCAGCTGTTTAAATTCGCGCGCGCAAGGTGCAGCACGACCGCTGTGCGTGCGAAAATCTAAAGATCCTATATACAACTTTATTAATATATCAAACACCTTGCAGTACTCTCGAGGCCCTTAATAAAATAATTTAATGTAAAGACGAGTTCGTTTGAGTGACGGTGCCCGTATTTTCGCGTAAGGATGTGTTGGATCCTCTTTACGGCCGTTGTTGGAGTTGGCACCATTGGCTGTTGTGTATGATAGGGCCCAGAAGACAGTAGCCCCCACCACCATCCCAAGCGTACCCCACCCTTCCTGCCTTGCTTTCCTCACCCCCCCGCAGCGAGCTAAACATTCGGCGTAGGGACGGCGCGGGTGGTGGAGGGTAGGGAGGGGGATAGAGGGGGACGGGTCCGCGCTATGCCTGGTGCTGGGCAAGTCTAACTCGCTGCGCGGGTGGTTGCGGGTTGGTGCGGTAAGGTGGTGGGGGCTACTGTCTTCTGGGCCCTATAAGCGATCGTAATCAAATACTACCAGAAAGAGGCCGAACAAATTTGCTGGTGCTGCGCTGGATGAATCGTTTCAGGAGAATTTGAAAACAAGAACCCCTTTTTTAAGAGCTGTTAACGTTTTGTAAGTATTCGGGACTGACCGTATTCTGTCAAGGGCCCGATGTGCGGTCAAACTAAGTTTCTTTTTAGGTTATGTTAACATGTACACAGAGTATTAATTCTGTTGACAGGGTGAATCTTATGTTTTGCATCACGAAGATGGTGGAGATTCGGCCGTAAGTTACCAGAAGGCAGTCAAAAATTATATTTCGGTAACAGTTGGCCGGGTTTAACTTCAAGTGAAAGAACTAAAAGGTGAGAATTTCCTTACAAATAACGAAAATTTTTGAAGTTGTTGATAACAATTTACAGGAGAACCTCTCCTGTTCCGTAAAAAACATGGAACATTGTGTCAAATTTTTGTTAGAAAATTTACTTCAACTGGTGTGATAACGGCTTTTTCATTTCAATCTATTCCAACAGTTGGGCTCATCTTGCATTATCGAGGAAAACATTTGCTGAGGACTTCGTACGACGCTCCCAGGCAAGAATGGAAGTGCACCCAGCGTTAAGTGGCCAATGTGTTCATTACAGGTTTTTTTAAGGTACTGTTTACGTGACATTTTGCATCGTGACGTGATAATTTCTGTCTGGAAAGTCAGCCTTATTGGCATATAAATTCTCTTGTTCTATGTAAGTAAAATTGAACTGTTCTTTACTTTAAATAGTTAAACAACTTAAAAGCGTTGTTATCTGTGCCAACAAGGAGACTGCAGTTTGTTGTGTCGTAATAAACCTTTTGGCTTCCTAAGTTTTTGGTGCAGAATGCTAATATGTGAAAGCTCATTGATCTTGAAATAAAAATATAATTTATGTCTTGAATTTTATATGCTTGTACTTCCCCCGACCCTTTACGGAAGCCACAGGGCTTCTAAATTGAAAAATATAGCAATATACAGTAGCATAGACCGCATTTCGACGTTATTTCGACGCATCGACCCCTGATCGACGTCGCCGGGGCGTCGATATTTTAGTCACAGGGACGTCGATTCGACGGAAATTTCGACCTCCCCTTCGATCCCCCTTTCTACATCGAATCGACGTCGAATCGACCACCTTGTTCTCATTGGGTGTATGAAGCCTGGATTAAGCACGAGAACATCCAACCGGATTTACATGCGCCCTCATTTAATACAAGATCACTACAATTGGTGACGAGGAGGTGAACCCAGTCTAATAAGTGGAGATATCTGAATAACCATGGACGACGTCTACATTCAAGCATTTACAAGCCTATACAAGAACCCGAGTAGCATCGGGCAACGCTGGATGCGCTGGCTGCGGCAATGCGACTTTGTGATGCAAGGAAGCGAGCTGGACCTCTGAGACAAGCGGGCAGCGACGTTCATAGAGGAGTTCGCGAGGAGCGCAGCACGGGCTGAGGCATAGCAGCGGCAGCGTTGGTGCCACCTGGGCCTCAGGTGGCGGCTCCACAAGCAGAGGATGTTTGGAAAAAGGTTAAGAGGTTGCTGAATGAAAGATTTTTGCCGAAACATAATAAGCATTTTGAAAAATACTTGTTATAGAAAATGCAGCCGTTGTCAGCAGAATTAGCAGAGGCATACATCCAAAGATTACGTCAACAAGCCAAGTTGTGTCACTTCGATGCAAGAATGGATAGAGAAATAAGGGATCAGTATATTAATACATGCCCATGGCCAGAACTTCAAGCTAAATCAGTTGAAGACCTGCTGGCTAAAGGAAAGGACCTGACATTGAGTGACGTTCAAAGCTGAAATGTTTGAAAGAGCCAGACAGCAATCAATGGCAGCGTCCAACACACCGAAAATAAATGCACTCAGCAAATTTGACAAATCTAAAGGGTCATCCAAATTGCAGACAGGAAGTGTTTTGGCTGTGTGGTAAGACAGGCCATTTCGTCAAGAGTGACAATTGTCCAGTCAAGGGTAAAGTTTGTAATACCTGTCCTCGGTAAGGACTATTACACAAAGCTTCTGCATAGCATCAAAAGCAGTAAAACAATCTTTCAAGAAAAATAAGAAGGAGGTCAAGAAATTGACAAATGTAGCAAAGAAAGAGGAATCTGCTAGCGAGGATGACAGTGATGAGGGGTGTGTAAGAAATGTAGTCAAGGCTGACGGATGTTTTCAACTGGACTCAAAAGTGTTTGCACAAAGGGAAGCACTTCCAAGGTATGGCCTACCTAAACTGCTGTTGTCAAACGAAGGGATTCTAGGACGAGCCTGTGTTCAATCAGTTCTTGAGAGAGCAGGGCACAGCTGATGAGTACTCAACGCCACTGTGGCAGCAAGCTAATGGGGAAGTCGAGAGGTGTAACAAGTCAATTCTGAAAAGACTGAAGCTAGCACAAATTGAGAAGACTGGAAGATGGAGTTGATGACCTACCTGGCAGAGTATAGAACAAATCCTCACTCCACAACGGGTCAGCCCCCAGCGAAGCTGTTCTTCGGAAACAGGGATATTTGGACCAACTTACCCGAGTTGAGGGGAAGTTTTCAGGAAGACGGTGGTGTTTGAGAGAAGGATAGATACAAGAAGGCGCAAGGGAAGTAATACGCTGACCGAAGGAAGAATGCCACCAAATCTAGTGTGAAAGTTGGGGATACAGTGTTGGTCAGGCAGGCAAAGCAGAATAAGCTGTCAACTCCATTCAACCCGACACCGATGAAAGTGATACAAAGAGAAGGTTCCGAGGCCACATTCCAAAACCTAGAGACTGGAGGGATCTATACCAGGAATAGTTCAGCGGTCAAGGTCAAGGTCCTGAAAGAACCAGTCCAAGCAAATAGGGAAGAACAACAAGAGGGAGTGGCGAGTGGCGGAATATGGAGCCCAGTCCGACAAACACCAGGATCAGGAAGGACCATTGTGGATATTTGCACAAGCATAGTGCAAATAGGTAGTGTTAGAGTATTTGCACAATTTGTGCAATTTCCCCAACACACGCTATTTGCACAATTTGTATTTAATAAAATTGTGCAAATATCCTTGCCACAAGCTTTTGCACAATTTGTGCAACCCAAAGAACAAACACTATTTGCACAGTCGTCCAGCCATCAAGTCATTGGTCAGTACCACAGGACTAACCATCAGCACTGGTGGCTGGGTGGGATGGTGAGCTGTGTCTGATACGCCACGTCTGTGGTTCTAGTCATGGCAAGGGCCTGTTTTTTTTGCTCTTTTTTTTTTGATATTCTTTTTTGTTCAATTGTATAACCACAAGAAAACCCGCTACTGACACAAATTCTCCAAGAGGAACCGGCGAAATGGTCCTTACAAGGGTCCAAACAGCTGTAGGGCAGAAAAGGCGGCAACTAACGTGATTTGCTCTGTGCAAATAGCTGCCGTATCGAACATTTCACAATTTGTGCAATTTGTCCAAGTGCCAGTGTTTGCACAAGCAGCCGACAGGTTGGCGTTGTTATGTTAAAATGGTTAAGAAAAACCTTTCCCTTCCTCAATCAGGAAGAAAACGTATACTGTTTTACCCATAGATTGGAAATTTGATACGGCTTGGGCAAAATAAGGACATTGAAGTGCCAAGTTTTGTTTCATGTACAATTGGTGGGAATAAGTATGTTGCTGTGCAAATAGTTTCTATTCAAAGTTGTACACAAGTTGTGCAGAAAGATGTACAAAAGTTATTTGCACAGGTTGTGCAAACACTTTACTCTTACTTCAGTGCACAACTTGTGCAATTATAAATAATCCAGGAAGGACAGAAGACGCCCAGCCAGCCATCAGAAGGTAAGCCAGTAACTCGTTGTCAAACAGAGACGCAGCACAAAGCAACAAGGCCTGAACCAGACTCGCCAAGAGCAAGACCCAAGAGGGAGCGTTCGAAGCCGGCATGGTTCAAAGACTTTGAAATGTAGAAATGAGCCCAAAGATAAGGAATTGATCCGATGTGCTCTTAGTCACTGGATTGTGATTGTATTTTTTCTCTTTTGTTGTTTTTTTCTTTATGTTTTTGTTTGTTAATTTATGAGTTTAATTTGTTGTCTGAGTTTGTCAATTCTAGTTGTGTAGTCTGTAAGTTCAAGTGCCATTAGGTTCCTATATGTGTAATTATGCAATGTTTTGCCATGGCAGTTTAGGGGGTATTTCCAACCAGTGTCTATATGTAAGTTGTTACAAATAACTTCCAGTATTTCTTGTGTTCGTAATTATTGTATGGAGGGAAGGTGAGATGCAGTGTATCGAAGTTAGTAGCATGTAAGGATCGCGAGAGCTCGATGTGAGAGGGCGGTGTCTTTTGTTAACCTGTCTAAACCTGTATGTATGAAGCCTGAATAATACAAGAGAGCATCCAACCTGATTTACATGCGTCCTCATTTAATACAAGATCACTACATATGCTTTAGGATTTTTGATGTCCCACATAGTAGTATTTTTTAGTATATCCTACAGTATTTTTGATGTGTCACATGCATATTTTTGGTGTGCCACAGAATATTTTTGATGCCAGAGTTTTTTCTATACCTGCTCAAATAAGAGCAAATGATATTTGAGGCAAAGTTAGAGTTTGTTCGATTTTTTTTCTGCCTTTCGAGTCATTGTTCGAGTCAAACCACGGAAACAAGTTTTTCTTCCGGCAACCCGTGCACCGTGCACGTGTGGTCTCGTAACGGGTTCGCGACTCCACCCTTCTAATCTCTGAACCCCACACAACGCGGCAAACTTTGTCGCCACTCACTCACCCACTCAAACTTGCCACTGCCGACTGCCGTGGTACACAGTTTCGGTATCACACTGTACGGGATACCTTACAAGCGAGCGGCTGATTCCCCCACCCCCGCCGCGATGCCACCTCCCCCTCTTCTTCCCCCACCCCTTCTCCCTCCCAAGCCGTCGAATGAAACAAGAGGTGGGTGACAGTGGGCCACGGTTAATAAGGAAGTGATCAAGAGTCCCGATTGTCCGCTAGTTGGCCTAATTGTGCAGGCCGCTGCGGTGCCCCGGACGTCCCCCCTCCCCCTCTCATGTTTTATTGCGCAGTCTGGGCTAAACCCGACGCCCAAGAGTCATTCTGCGTGGAGGATGAGTCAGAACGGCCGCCTCTCTTTCTGCAGGGGGCGAAACCGACTGCAAACCTCAAGGCAGTTGAAGTTTATCACGAAAAGGATCGGTTTTTCGCAACGGTGGAGCTTCCGTTCGGGTCAATACGGAAACGGTTGCAAGGAGCGCGTGGAATGAGCGAATTTCGCTGTTCTAAACTGATTCCGAATCGAGCCCTTTGGTACAACAACACGCCCGCCGCGTCTGTGTGCTTTTCGGACGCGTGCTTGCAATGCCGCGGGCTGCGGCCCAGGCCATGGCCCTGGGATGACGGCGGCCAGGGGATAGCCACGCCGCCGCGCCCTCGGGGGGCTGAGCGCCAGAGCACCAGCAGACTGATTCCGAGAGTCGTTTTCGTCGCTCTGTCTTCTTCGTCGCACCTGTACGGGGTGCCCTATGAGTGCGAGAGAGACAGGGCGAGGGAAACCTCTCTCGGAATCGGTCTGCAGAGCGCCACCGCGCCGACCGGCTTTGAGAGCACCCAGCCCCGGCACGGCGTCCACGGCGAGCGGCCTTGACCTTGATCACAATACTATCGGCGCGGGCCAGGGGCAGCTATGAGCCGCCATGGGGCACCATGTGGTTGGGCTGCCCGGCACGCCTGGGATAATCCTGGCGTTACAGGTCACACCCCGGGCCGGGGGCAGGACAGGCCAGGGCGCAACGGCGCATTCGACCGCCAGCAACAGCGCGGCAGCGTGGCCTTCGCCGACTCTCTGCGCAGCGAAAGGGGTGTCCTGGGAACCACTTGCAGGAAATGATCTCAGGCAGAATACACGGTC